AACACAGGAGCCAAGAACCTCCCAAACGTGTTCGCGTCGTGGCATAGAATCGCTTACGAAGACTTTTCAATCCGACATCATCCAAGAACTTTTACGACAAGCAGACGTCGCCGCATCCGCCGCTGTTGGAGCCGAAGAAGAACAGCCACCGCCTTCCTCTCCAGCATTGACGGAGAGAGCGAAGAGAGTCGTCGAAGAAGTCAAATTCTTCCAACGCTACGCTCACCACGTGGCAACTAGCGATCACTGCGGCGACGTACTCAAGAGGATCTACATGATTCCCGAGGAACGGGTCCACATCATCCTAAACGGCGTCGACGAGAGCGTTTTCAAACCGGACGTTTCCAAACGCGAGAGCTTCAGAGAGAAAATTGGCGTTAGAAGCGGCAAGAACAAAAGAACTCCTCTGGTTCTTGGAATCGCAGGGAGGTTAGTGAGAGATAAAGGTCATCCTTTGATGTTCTCAGCTTTGAAACGAGTGTTTGAAGAAAACAAGACAGCACGTGAAAACGTGGTCGTTTTAGTAGCTGGAGATGGTCCGTGGGGAAACAGATATAGAGACCTCGGGTCTAATAATGTGATCGTTCTTGGACCGTTGGATCAAGAAAAGCTAGCCGGATTCTACAACGCGATCGATGTGTTTGTGAACCCGACGCTTAGAGCTCAAGGGCTCGATCATACTCTCTTGGAAGCCATGGTTTCAGGCAAACCGGTCTTAGCCACGAGGCTAGCGAGCATCACTGGGTCAGTGGTCGTTGGTCCACATTTGGGTTATACTTTCTCACCGAACGTTGAGTCTCTCGCGGAGGCGATTTCTCGGGTTGTTAGCGATGGAACAGAGGAATTGCAGAGGAAAGGCAAGGAAGCACGTGAACGGTCTTTGAGGCTTTTCACGGCGTCTAAAATGGCTGATGCGTATGAAAGGTTGTTTCTTTGTATTTCGGATAAGAGCTTTTGTACAATACAAGCTTGAAACATTTGAGCTACGTTACTAATATTGTTAAAACTAATCAAGGGTTTCGATTGTTTGTTTAGATTTCACACCTTCATGTCTAGTTGGTTTCATAGTGTTTTGCGTCTGCGTTTGGTAAAACGCTAAAGATATGATTTTCTGTAAGGAAACGATTTTTTAACATGTTTTGGTCCCGGTTCAAAGAGATTATGGACCAAAGATAAGATTTTTTTCTTCTGATGATCTACTAAAGAGATTGTTTATTTTGTTGGACATGAAACAGAGGAAAGCAGAGTAAATATTGATAGAGTTGATTATAACAAGTACTAGAGTAATTAGACAAATCTATTTAAGACACCTTTACCAGGAGATCTCTTTGATATTATCTTTTAATCTTCGAAATCTCCTAGTAAACTTTTTTTTCCCTCCGGTATAAACTTATTTATACAAAGTCTCGATTCGGTAGATATTAGTACTTTGGCTGGAGCTTCATGTGTTTCTGGTGAGATTTACAAAGAAAGTGAAGGAAGTGGTTTTTAGTAATAAAGAGAACCTTGCCACCAGTTTCCTCTTGAAACATCTTGCGAGTTCTGTCCATTAGCATCGTCTTCTCCGCTTCTTCGACGCTCGTTTTTAACCTGAAAAATGTTTTCCAAATCAGTCACGTCCTCTGATTTTTATTTTTTTCGAAAGTGATAAGTAGATTAATATACATAAAAGACGCACTGTTGGGTAAGTTTGGTTGGTGGTGGATCGAGAGTATACGTCTTGACCACCGTAGTAAAGAGAAGAGCTTAGATGACATGGCTCAACTCTGTCTTCTTGCGCAGTTGAAGATTCTCTACGTTGAGCTGTGTAAGAAATTATCTTCATTAGAAAAACAGATTGTTTTGAGACTAAGTGAGCAAAGACGAAGAAGGGTGTTTTCTTTTTCTCACTGACCTTGTGAGCCATGTTTGGAGCTTTGACCATCTCTTGCAACGCCCTGAGCAATCAAATCAAGAAACCGAAGATTAGCCTCAAGAATCAATCAGATCACTCAAGAAACAAAACTTGAAGAAAAGGAAGGTAATATAACCTTGGAGGGATGTGGGAAAATGGAAGAAAAGATTCCGGAGGAAGAAGATGGCGGCGAAGGATCTTTAGAGCCAAATAGTTCGGTGGTGAAAGAAGAAGAAGTTGGTGATCCGACTCGTCCTTTACCCTCCATTAATAGATGTTAAAGCCTACACTCTAGTCAATTGGAAACAGATTCTTCTTATGTAAGAGAACTAGATTGAAGAAGAGGATAGTTCTGTAAGGTTTGTATAGTTTACAAGAAGACCTCAATGGGGCTATATATATACATAATGCTACAAGGGATTAGGTTTTTGAGATAGTGGAGCCGTCATCATCATGACCATCACCATGATGATCATTATCATCCGTCAAGAAAAAGAAGCTTATTATGGGTATGTTCTCTCTTCTTGATGCTGAAAAGACTATTGCTTCTTTTTTTTATTTTTCTTTGATAATTATTCTAATATTATTTTCCTTGTAAGGGAAATTTAGAAGCTTCGTTATCTTTCTTATTTGCCATTCTTATTGGCTATTGTTTTTTTTTTCGTTAACTTGCAACAATTTATTTTAGTTTTTCATTTGTAGTTTAATATTTTTATATTTTTTTGGTAGTAAAGCTTATAGACAAATTTGGCTTCTTTATCTCTTCCGGATAAAGACACAAACAGTGAGATTCTTCGAAGACTTCAATGTTCAGTGTTTCTCTTGTAATAACCAAAAGAGATATATAAATGCGGATAAGTCCGGCGCCGGATCTCATGTCGGACCATTGATCTGTTGCCACGTGTCATTCCGAGGATAAGTTGCCGACCTTTCTTGATCACATAGGGCCAAAGCGGAATAGAGAACAGAAGAAGAACTTGAGCTTCTTTTAAATCGCACGCATGTTCATATGATCCGTTTCTTAGATCTGACATAGTTGCCCTTTATTAAAAGAGAAAGTAATATGCCCAAAAACAGTTCTATTATATTGGTTAAATGTATAGCTTTATATCTATAATTATATAAATTTTAAGAAAAAAACATATGATCAAAGACGAGAAGATGAGGTCCACAAAAATTCTCCACTTGATGAAGTCTATTCGTTTTCTTCTTCTTTATCTCTAAGGCTCACAAATCACTCATTAATTCTTGAGAATTTTTTTTTAATAAAAATATCGTTGCTTTTTAACAATAAAGATAGTTTGTTAAATATTGTTTTAATTTCATACTTTCATGTATATTAAGTTAAAGTGGTCTTGTAAATCAACTCAACAAACCTAACGAAATGATATAAAACATGTTTAATTCGGATAAACCAAACGAAATGATAATATCTTAACTGAGGATTTACTGTTTTCGCATTTGAGATATTATCTTTAAGTAGTTACGACATAATATATGTTTGGATTCGTTCATAATTTAGAGTTTAGATTTTTCAAGCTACATGTCTTGTATAGATAGTTTATTTTACACTAATCAATTAGGTTCACCAATTAACTTAGATTTAACATTTTCTCACTTAAAATATTTATCATGTAATTACACATTATTTTGGATTTGCCAATTACAGTTTGAAGTTTAGATATATATCACGGTTCAATTATGTCTTTTATGGATGACTCATTTTGCACTAATCAATTTAGATATACCATTCTTTGATTTTTTAATTAAGATCTGATCATCTTGTTAAATATTTATGACATTACATTTAAGTTTTACATTATGATCTATAAAATTTTATGAATAATACCATCCAACTACCATAAAAGTGATTGATACGTCTGTCACATATGAATATAAATTTCTTTAAATAACTTATGTGCGTTGGTGTTAGCATTCTCACTGAACAAGTGTTTTTTTGGGGGTAAAACTCACTGAATAAGTTTCTTGTCGCATGAGCTACAATAATGTTATCAGATGAAAACTCAGATCGTCAAAAAGATAATTCGATCACAAAGTTTACTTACTAAACGCTTGAAGAGAAAACGCCATAAAATCACATTATATCGCCAAAATAGGCTAGATCGCCGCGCATCGCCCATAAAGATTTCGGATCATTTCAATGTTTTTGTAGTATACTAATATTTTAATTTATCTATATTTGGATGTCTTACTCGCAAAGTATCACGTGATGATGAAACACGTCGTTTACACGGTGTTGGGAAGAGAGATTCGGTTCTAGGGAATAAAACTTGAGACGATATATCTCATCATATAATATCTCAAATTGGAGACCAAAAATTATAGCTGCCTTGAAATATTGGTACATATATGGTCCTTTCGAATATATGTCAAAAGCATCATAAAAAAATTCCAAAATTTATGGATATATCTACTACACAAACGGGTATTGACATTTGTAAATGTAAATATGCGCAGAGTGTAAATACCTAAAAGCTTGTAAAGACTGAGAACTGTTGTCTATTCTAAGATAATAGATAGATTCTCACTAACCCTTTCTCCAAAACAAACAAATATTCTTATGCCTTTTGACAAAAATAAAAAAAAATTCTTCTCACTGGTCCTATTTTACTTCCCAAACAGAAGTCAATAACATATATGTATCAAGTGTATTTGTATCATGTCTATGCAGGGGTGGACGTAAAAATGGAAAATATGTGGCATATATCCCAATTCTTACTTTTTCTTTCAAATAATTACTATAAAATCCATTTTTCGATGATACAGTATAAAATCCATTTAAACGTTTATAATCTAAAAATATTAGTTATAATATTAAATATTATATACCCCTTATTAAATAAGTTTTTGGATTCACTATCGTGTAAAATAAGTTTTATTTTTTACTTTTTTTGATGTAATTTCTAGAGGAAAAAAGTTTACCAAAAACTTTTACAAAACAAAAATAAAAATCCAAATAGCGGATATTTTAACCGAATGGCAAACCTTCAATGTTTTCTAATCTGAAGATACATGAAATTCGCTTAATGTAACTTAAAAAATAAACATGATTAATAATTAACAGCTTAATCTAACTTAAAATAAAACTACAATATATATTATACAATAATTGAACTTTAAACCGCGCTTTTATGGTGTAGATTTCATGGAATACCAATCACTTGTTCCCGAGATCAATTAGAATATTTGACATGTTAATCACATTTTCATTATAATTTATTGGTAGAAAAAATGATTTGACGCAAATATTCGGATCAATGAAGAATACTAAAGTTTGATGCTTGATAGGAATTACACATTAGCCGTTAGGGATAAGTTCTTGATATAGTACTATATAGTCAAAAGGTCGCAGAAGAAAGGAGTGATATCTTTTGTTTTGGTTAACAAAGGAATGATATCTTAATGAATAGATTGGAAAATATTCTCTTAACTTTAATATGCATATTTTTTTTTTGACAACATTATTATGTAGATTAAGCTGCCAATAATAAACATATTTATTTCCTTTGACGCGAGAACAAGAATTTGTCAAATGCTTTTTTTTTGCCTTGCTAGCATAAGAATCTTTTTGAGTTGTAAGTGAACTTTGAGCAATAATTTTATAATTGATATTATGGTGGGGCTTCGATATTTTCTTTTAGTGATATGTATAAGGTAGGTATTTGATAACTAATAAGGAGGGAAAATGTTGAATGGCATATGGAGGCAAATCTGATTAGCCCATTAATTAATTTCATTTGGTGGAATTTTGTCTTGGTGAATATTGTTTGAGTTAAAAATGACATTCACGTGTGATCGAATCATGTAACATGTGTAGCATAATGTCATAAAAATCGCACAGCAAAAATTCTATAAATTAATGATGTTGGTATTTTGATATTTTATTAATTTATAAAATTATTAATTTATAGATTTAAAATAAATTTTTTTTTTATTTCTTATTAATTTTAAAGAAGATTGTATAATTTTTAAAAAATTCTTTCTAAAAATTAAGATGAATTCCAAGAATATTTTAATTTAAAATTAATAAAAACATCACTATACTCATATTTTAGTAAATTATCTCATATATATGTTTATATCAAATTTTGTTTATGTTAATTATTAATTTATTATATTAATGGGACTATATATTTACATAGAAATTTTATTAAAAATTATTATCTTATTATTTTATCGAATTGTGTCATATTTTTAACTGGCCTAACTCGGAAATAATTCATCTTATTTATTAATTTATAGAGTTTTTAATGTATAATGTCACGTGTAACTTAGTTTAAGCGAGCTCTATACTTCTGCATATATATTTGATCGCTTGAGTTCACATGACTGACTTTGAAAATGTTTGAGTCTGAATCTATTAATGCTCAAATAACTCGATGAATAAGACAATTTCCAACCAGTATCTACTACAACTTGACCGCTTAGCCACGGCCCACGTAGTCTGATATCATCAGTTCATGGAGCTTGTAGAAGCTTGAAGAGAAGCTAGACAAAGCTTAAAGAAGATGAAGCAATCAGATGGTAAAAGAAGAGTGAAATCAGGTTGAAGAACGGCCCAAGTAAAGTGAAGCTTTTGGCTAAAGAAGAGGGTATCAAGGATATAAACTATTAAGTTTAGTTTACTAATAAAAGTTAATTTAATAGGAAATTGCAAATTAAGTAAAATTACAAAGAAAGACTTTCAAAAATGGAGAGGCCAGAAGAAAAATGGAGAGTTCTAAATATAAACTTAATTTTTTTTCCAATTATCAAAAAGAATGTGGTCTCTTCTCACAGTTACGAAGCATCAGAACAATGGGAATAAAAAAGAAGGCATTCAACAAGTCGTCGTGTGATGTAACAGTTACCCGAGGCTTCAAAGCACATTCTGGATATTGATTGATCAAAGTCAAAGACTTCCCCACTTAAAGTTGACGGAATTAAAAAGAAAAACCTCCATCAATGGAGAGAATTAGATTTCCAGTAAACATCTTGAATATCAGAATTTGACAAAGATCTCTTGTGGGGATAATAAGCATGCTTTCCAGGGAACATGCATATGAAGAAAATTCTTTTTTTTTTTTAATTAACGTTAAGGTTTCTATTGATGAATTTCGTATTAATACTCGCAAGTCGACCTAAATCCCAAATTAGTTCACTTAATTTGACCTTGTGAGGCAGTGCATTTAACTAATTAACACAAACAGCTTTTAAGAACTAACAACAGCTACATCAAATAGTCACTACTACCCTTGAAAACCTCTATTTTTTTTCCTCGTAAGGATTCTGTAATATTAGAAAGATTGTTTTTGATCAAAAAAAAAAGAAAGATTGTTATTTTTGGTCATTTCATAACATTGTGTATGATTAGTACCAAAAAAAAAAAAAGACCAACAGTTACAGGCAGGTCCGTCCCTGCCTCAAAGGCACATAAAGCATGTGCTTTAAGCCACAAATTTAGTTAGTAATTTAGAGGCCACACTTAAAAATATGATCATGTAAGTGTATTGCAACTTCCATTGTAATTGTAGGAATCGGTTAATATGTATATTTTTTTTTTTTTGTTTCCTTTCATTTATCAGTTTTAAATTTGAAATCTCAAAATCAATTTTTGAGCAAAAATATAATAATGATAGTAAAATTTTATTAATACGTAACTAAATAATGTTAGACTTTATTCTCTACTTCAAATATAATTAAGGCCACAAAGTTTTTTTAGCTTTAAGCCTCCCAAAAATACGGGTCGGCACTGGTTACAGGTTACAAAGGAGCCAAATGTTGAGTTCTTAGTCCCGAGTCTATGCCACCGTCATTGATCGCCTCCGCGTCCTGGTAGAGTTTTAGCATCAAGCTAGGGAAAACCGAAACGACGTCGGGCATGGCTATAAGTCAATTTCGAGCAGAGAGAAACCAAAAACAAAAGAAAGAACCATTAATTATTTATTAAACACGAACTAAAACTTTTACTCTAAGACAGATTATCCTTTTCAAAATTTTGGGTAACGAATTAGAATCTGTAAAGTAAAACTCAAACAAATCTTGTAACTTTGCCATTTAAATAATTCAGTTTGGTTATTTTGGTATTTGGTTTTTCAAAAAGGTTTGGAGCAGTTTTACCTGAAAGCTTCTTGCTTTCCTTTTCAGTGAGCCATGCGGCGAATCCATCGACCGACTTCCCGTAGTTGGTGATAATTAGGCTCGGTGTGTAACTGATTAGTACAAGTACACGTCAAGTAATCACATTTTGTATAGCAGAAATAAAGAAGATATTCAATATGACGAGCGTTAGATATTTATAGACCGAGACTTAGATATGATGTTGTTTACCTTTTACCGGTGACACTACGAATCAATGAGAAATGGTGGCGTTTAATATTGGCGTACTCGCTGCTTGAAGACGACGATGCCCCCATGTAAACGATGTAGACCTGCATTACCCACTCTTAATTTTACCATTAAACTGTTTATTGTTAGGAATTTAAATTTATAGCAAAATAAAATAAATTAATCGATACGTAATGTATTCCGACCATACGTTTCTTCCATCGTGGTTGGCTTGCGACGAAGTGACCATCAAGAACATGAACAAGCACAAGAACATAGTAAACTTATTCATTATTTTTGTTTTTTTTTTGTTTTTATAAATAATACTCTTTGGCCTTTTTTTTTAATAAGAAATTTGGTATTTTTTGTGTTTTTAGTTTTCGTAGATATTAACAAAGTGGGTGGAGTTACATAGGTGTTACATAGAAGAAAACAAAACGTAAGCAACGGAGAGTATATATATATTGGCGTTTGGCTAATGAATATAAAATAAGTAGTTATTTTATAATAATAATTAATATAAACCTTCATAACGTATAAGGCTTCACCACTTCAGAAACAGAGACTTAAACTGAGAACGTTATGATGCCCGCCAACAAAAACATATTGAGAAGTTTTTATTTTTGGCCGAAACGGGCCAAACACCAGTTTATATATATTGAGTCCGCCACTAGATCAACTCATAGCATAGACAACTATGGGACTTCTCACATGATTACTGCCATCAGACCAAATTAGATTTGCAGACACAGGTTGTTCTATTCCAAGACTATCGCCTGAAACAGTCACCGTAAAAGACTGCTTCTCATTCATAGACTTCATAAACAGAACACTAGGCGACACCTGGATGGAGAGTTTAGATCCAGGACTTGTGACTACCTTTGCTATGTATGTAGAATTTGGCGTACCGACATTTGTGACAATTCTTTGGAAAGTTACTTTAAACGATCTTGTTCCAGACACTTTAGCTGACATCGTTGGATAGTTGAGTTTTCTTGGTAAATTCTTGGAAAGTTCTTCCGTGCAAGTGCTGTTGTCTCCAGATATAATTCTTAAGTTCTTACTCGTATAGTTTAAACCGCAGAGAAAGGCGATGTGGTCTGCTTTGGTCGATTCATAGACAAGTCCAGGACTAATAGCAGCTATTGGGTCCACATGGCCAGCTCCATAAGCAAACTCGGTTGATGTAAAGCCAGGACAAGAAGCATTCATTGGCCAAGCTATAAAATCAATGGGTTTCTTGCGTCACAAGTAAGGTTGTTTTTCTTGGTAAAACAAAAAAGTTGATCTAATTTAAGTTTTTTCTTACCGGTTGTCATAATGGCAGATTGGATCATGGAAGGAGACCATTTAGGATTAAAAGTCTTGACATAGGCGGCAACGCCTGCAACATGTGGACAAGCCATTGAAGTTCCAGACAAAACAGAGAACTTTACACGTCTGGTGTCAAACTTGCTTTCAGTTGGTGAACTATCAGGTGAATACGCAGCGAGGATCTCCACTCCTGGTGCTGTTATATCCGGCTGTATTTTAAATCCATTATTGTCTCTCAGAGCTAGAAACAAAAGAGATAGACTATAATAAACAGCACTAAGATCAACTAATTACCTTGAGAATATCTGAGACGATGGTGCTTGGACCGCGAGAAGAGAACGAAACAACGAGAGGAGCTCTCTGATTAGAAATTTCCTCACTTTTCAGAACGGTCGCTATTGGTTCTCTGCAAATACACACACACACACACGACAAAAAAAAAACAATAAAGATTTTTTTGAGAATTTGAAGTTTGTAGCGTATAAAACATAGATTAAATCGTTACTTTGCCAATTTCATGTAAGAGACAACCGATTTGTAATCGTCATCGGATAAAAAAGAGACTGGGAAAGAGCGGAGATAAGCGTGGTCCGGTTCAGGGTTCTTAACAATGGATCCAACAGCTCCCAATTTTTGAGCTTCTATTGGACCTGCTGAAGAATCACACAGAACAATCTTTCCTTTCACGAGTTTTTGGTCTAAACACTTTGGCTCGCACAACCTGATAGAAGAAACAAAAATCTCATCACAAACTAGAAATGTCAAAACAGTTTTCGCGACAAAAAACAAAAAAAAAACAAAACTTGGGGTTTCTTGGATAGGAAGTTACTTAGCCTTATCTTCGTTACATGTACTCAAAGCTGCAGATTTTCCGTAAACCAGAGGATACTTGACTCCATTAAGATCATATGTATTCACTGATCTTCCCTGTTTCATAAAGAACATAAAAACCATTTGGTTAAAACAGAGAAAGATACTACTACAATAGAGATTAGAGACTGTTTCTTGATACGCACGACAAGGGTTTTGCCATCTCCAAGAACAACTTTAGCCATAAACGCACGGTTCGTAACGCTGGCGGCAACGATGAAAACCCACGGTGCAGTACTCGTGACCGTGCTGATCTTAGGACCGTCGTTACCTGCCGAGTTAACAGTGAGAACTCCTTTAGCCAGAGCGTGAAATGCCCCAATCGCTATAGGATCCTCCTCAAACGGTGGAGTGTTATCTAGCACGATGGAGATAGATACAATGTCCACACCGTCAGCGATTGCGTCGTCAAACGCAGACATAATTGCTTCTCCGCTGCAACCTTCATCGTCGCAGACTTTGTAAACCGCGATTCGGGCGGCTGGAACGCCACCTCTCGCGGTTCCATTTCCGAGACCGTAAAAGTTTGTGTCTGCCACAGCGTTTCCGGCCGCCGTAGACGCCGTGTGCGTGCCGTGTCCCAAGTAATCCCTAGCCGACTCTTTCCCGTTAGTTTCGGCTGTGTAGTATCTTGCCCCAATGATTTTGCTTCAAATAATGAGAAATTGTTGGTTTGAAGATTAAAAAATGCTATAGAATTTGTTAGACGAAATTCTACGGTGAAGGGACGTAAAAGTGTGTATACTTGTTACAGGTGAAGTTTTTGCCTCCGGCACAAGTACCCTTCCATTTTTTAGGAGAAGGACCAAAGCCATGGTCGGAAAAGCTCTCCGATTCGGGCCAGATTCCAGTGTCAATGACTCCGATGATGGTATCGCTCTCAATGCTAGGCCTCCGCTTCGTTCTGTTGCCTTCTTTGAGACCCATGAAGTTCCAAGACGACGTCGTTTGGAGTTTCATTTTTCTGCTTGGGAACACAGACACAACTCTCTCCATTCCTAATTAAGAAGAACATTACATAATGTAAAAACGGAAAAAAAAATATATAATACACAGGCAATATAGAAAACGTGAAAATAATCATTTTCTTAATTTGATACAATATAGAACGTGAAAATAATAATTTTCTTAATTTGATACAAAATTTAGACTTTTTAGAGATTAGATAAGAAAACGATATGTAAAAAAGCACTCACCGGCTATTCTTTTTCGTTGGGACTCGGTGAGTCGTGCTGCGAACCCGTTGAAACTCCTTTTGTAGCTTCTCACCAAGCGTTTCTCGGTCGAACTAAATATGAGTATCACTTTTTAGAATTATCTCAAACGTTTTATTTATACATATTAAGCTATGTATCTATATAGTATAATATGAAAACAATAAATCAATAAGACCTCTCTCCGGCGACTTCTTGAAGAATACTCATGTGATCGGACATTGGTGTATAATCCTCTCGCGAAGGAAGTGTTCCCAAGTATACTATATATACCTTCATGGATTATCATTACCATCAGTATCATCATGTAAGATGGAATATGGATGGTCATATATAGATCTTATAGTGAGAAACAAGAGATCATAAAGATAATTCTACAAGAAAAGTACTGCCCATTTTGATAATAAATAAGTACAGAGTAATACCTGCTGATCCTCATCATCATCAATCGTTGCTGAGATTGGAATCATAAACAAGACAAGGAGACATGAGAAGAGGCAATAGGATGTTCTACCTTTCGCCATTTCCAATAAACTAAATTAAAAGCACTCTGATTTTTTCTCTTTACAGAATTTGCGGAAAATGAACATATAGGGAATATATGTTTATATAGAAGTGAGATATTCCGGTAGTCAAACAAATTCAATCATAATCTCATCTGATTGTATTAGTATAGAAAAAATCTAGGAAATACCTTATTTTGATAGAATATATAATCTAATAATGATTAGCTTATTATGCCAATACAAACCTTGGTTTAAATTGATAGATACCATTAGATTTAACATAATTAAGAAATGTAAGTATGATATCAGTTTTTGGTGAACAACAATAAAAAATAATTTCTTCGCTAATTTGGACAGCAGAGAGACAAAATTAAAGAACTTCACAGTAGAGCATTTGAATCGCTGTCTAAACAAATTAAGGTTTAAGGATACCTGCAAAAGTAATTTACTTTGTTTTTTTTAATGGCAAAAAATAACATTTTTGATTATTCGATAAGAAAGTACTATCATAAAATTATTTTAGACAAAATATTATGGGATTGTGCTATTCTCCATCAAGATTGGTGAAAAACTGTTGGCGATATCAACACAGACTAGGCGCTAATTATCTAGTACAACAAGTACAGCATCCAACGTTGGTTTGACAAATGCCTCTAACATAAACAACCTTTCTTCTACAAAACGCAGTGCAACCTCTATCGCCTCCACGTTCACACGGATTGAATTTGAAACATTTACAATCGTATTGCTTTATTCCCAAACCTATGTAAATATGTAATACTAGTTGTCAATCCAATATATACATAGATAAAAATAAATAAATAAATGTCCATGATTAAAAACCAGAAAATATAATAATAAGTTAATACCAAGAATGCTAGTGGATGTCGCATGACAATGAACCGAAGATATCATAAAGAGGAGAGCGAAAACATATGTGACGACTAACATTTTCTTGGTGATATTCATTTCTATAAAATAATCTGAACAATTGGTTTTGTTTTACTCTTTTTTGCTTCGCTTTAGATGATTATTATATATGAAAACTATACATTAAATGTACTTTTTTCTGGTCAAAGATTAAAATTTTTTTCCAATTTTAGTCAAAAGATTTATAGTCAAAAGAATATATATAAAGAAAATAAGTTTTTACCTAATTACGTTTGCACATAATTACTGAAATAGTATCTATTCTTCTACACATAATAAAATATTTAACACACGTTTTTGAAAAGTTTAATTAAATTTTGGAAATATATTTTGCAGATTCTAAGAGCATCTCCATCAGGGTTTTTAAACATGTTTTGTGGCTCGGTTTTATAGACAGGAGGATTAAAAAAAATACTTTTAATTTAAATTTGCTAAGAAGTGCTCTTTATATAAGGAGCTGAAAAGACTATCTCTTAATATATGTGGCGGCTGGTCATCGGCCGTTTCATTTTTTTCTTTTTTCTTAAGAAACACAAACATAAATGGACATAAAAAACACATAATCTCTTAGCTTTTTCTCTCTCTTAAAAAAAAATTACTAAACTATTTCTAAGAATCCTAACATAGATAACACTAATAGAGATGCTCTAATAATCTTAACTTGTAATTAAATAGTTAATAAACAAAATTACTTGATTGCTCAATCTCTTTCACGAAAAATGTTGCTCCAGAGATTAAAAGAATGTCAGTTCACATCTGTTAAGTGAATTTTCGAACTAGTTTTTAAATTTAACCTTTATATCCATACAAAGTAGATAAAATTTACGCCATTTAATAAATAACTATAATTACACTCAATATGCGCATATTTTTCAATGTGAGAGTAATTTATATTTATTTGATTATATAGGATAGTAAAAATAAATAAATCATTTATTTTTTCTTTTATAAAAGTACTCGCAATATAACCCGTCTAATCATCTAGTATATTAAAACAGAAGCACATTTAGTACTTGCTTCCAAACACTCCCAAAATTTTTAAAAAAATATTTTGAGAAACAGTTTTAAAATTATCCTAAATTTTTAGAATGATCGGGTTAAAATTATGTTTTTATGATTATGGTCATAATATAGCAGAAAAAATTTTAAAATAAATTATATCTAAACACAAAAATAAATCTTTGTTATTTATTAAAAAGTTATATCTATAAAGAAAACATAAATAATATTATAAATTTTGACTAAAAAAATTTCCTGCACAGAATAAAATCTAGTAAAGTGTTATTTTTTTCTGCTAGTTTGTTTTAGGTTACATCAGTTTGAAACGCTTATTAAAGAACAAGAAAAAAAGAACAAAATATATCGAAGCCAGAGAGATTAGTGGAATCGGGCTGGCGCAGGGAGGCGTTCGGAGAGACTTCCGGGACGAGATCTACTCGATTGTTAAGGTTTGTCATTTAGATATCTGAAGATGAGAAGAGAGCTTCCCTTTGAATTAGTGGTGGAAATACTCGCTAGGGTTCCAGTTAAGGACTTAGTGCGGTTTAGATGTGTCTGCAAAAGTTGGCGGTCGTTGTTGCAAGACGAGAGGTTTTATAGACAGCACATGACTCATGCCCGAACGAGGATTGTGGTGTTCCGTGAATCTCCTATTCCTCTATGCCAATTCTCTTATGAACGTGGCAAGCCAGAGGCTATATTCGAAGCGCTTAACTTGAACATTGGAGATACAAACTTGGTTATCAATTCTAGTGTGATTGGTCACTGCCATGGACTATTTTGCTTAGATCTTAGAGATAATACTTTTGGTGTTTGGAACCCGGCATTGAGAGAATTCAGAAGAATACCAACAAGGCATCTTAAGTGGTATGAAGTGGGTTTTGGCTATGACCACTCAACTCAAGATTATAAGATCGTGTTGGTTCAGTATTTGGAAGGCGGCTGCTTTGGATCACAAGTATTATCCTTAAAGTCCGGTACGTCTCGGATGATTGATTTCCCGTGTTTAGAAAAGTTTGTGATGTGCCACATGAGAACACCTGGAACCTTGGTGGGAGAAAATTTCATCTACTGGCAAGGTAAACTTAACTGAAACAGTATTGAGCTTCGATTTTGTGTCAGAGACATTCAACTACTGTCTAGGTCCAAGTGCGTGTGATCCACGTTTTCCTAAACTTATACAAGGGTTGAAGGGAAGTCTCTGTACAGTGAAGGTTGACTTGTCTGATAATATCGTCGTTTGGTCTGCCCAACATGAAAAGGAGAAAACTGGTGTTATCAAATCTTGGAGCAAGATCTGTAGTCTCTCAACGGCAATTGTTGAAAGCTCGCTTAGTCGTCGTACCGATACGTGTCGGCTAGTGTCTGCGATTACTTATGCTGGATTCCTATTATTCTTAGTAAATATTGGAACGGAAGGAAAATTGCTTGCATACAACTTTGAGGAGAAAAGTTTGACAAATGTTGAGACTAGTTTGTCCCTCCATTGGGGGTAGTAGTCTTCACACGTATGTTGAAACACTTGTCCCTATTCCTGCAGGTGCTTTTATTAGTTAGGCTTTAAATGTTTTTGAGCTTTACTTCTTTTGTTTTAATTTTATCTGTCTGCAAGACTGTAATTGTATCATTGTTTTTTTTTTCTGGATATTTAGTTTTTAATTGATGAATTTTATTCGTTCTGTGACAAAAAAAAATCATAAATTTTTATTTTTCTAAATTTTAGCGGCTAGGTGGTTATCAGATTAATTTTTGATTTGGTACAAGTTTTCGTTCACTTTAAGTTTCTTAATAAATATTAAAAAACCGCGTGAAAGCAACTGAAATTATCATTTAAATTGTGTAGAAGATTTCATCTGAGAAGTACACTTAATTGATAGCACAACAACATATGTTGTCAGCATTACAACGGCCTTGGCCTGGCCCTGGTTTCAGATGCATCCTCGTACAAAACGCGGTACAGCCTCTTTCCCCTCCACCTACACACGGAGCTAATGTGTAGCAAGTATAATCACTCTCCTTTATGCCAAAACCTAATGAATAATATATAATCATTAAACCGATATATACATTCATCAAAAACAATAAAATTATGTCTATAAATATAGAAAAAAAAGTAGAGAGTATGATAAGCCAGTACCAGTAGTGCTATCAGAGGTACGGCAATGGACAAAAGATATGATAAAGAGGATGGTGAGAGCAAATGCAACTAAATTTTTCTTGGTGATAGCCATTTTATGATATCTTTTTTTCTTATTGTTTACGGGTTTCTCTTCATTTAGGCTGATCAAATTTATATATAAAACACAAACATACATAAAATGGAATAGAATCTTCTAATTTAATTTTTGAGATATAAATTTGTATAGAATCTTCTGATTCACTTCTTTAGAGTTATAGTCAAATGTCTTTAGAGTTATAGTCAAATGAAAAATAAAGAAATTTTATTTTCACACATAATTACATTTGAACATTCGTTGAAAAGTTTTCATTTGCTATATTAATTAAGAGAAAATTCCCAAAATAAATATATTGTTAATTTATCAAATAAAACATAATTTCATTAGTTTGTTGATTTTATTCATTATGTTGAAATGTCATGTTGAAAAAAATTACAAAATCTGTTGAAGAAATTACAAAGGAGAGCCTTGTAAAATAAATTTGTTTCGAAACTAATCTGTCTTCTTTTAAAACAACAATAAATCTGTCAGTTATAATTAAATGCAATCAGACCAGATTGGAGTTGGGGACGAGTCAGATAATTAAGACTCCACGACAATCTCACTTACTTTTATAAACAACAATGAGGCTTCTCACATTATGAGTGCCATCAGACTATATTAGATTTGCAGAAGAAAGCAGTTTTGAGTCGAGATGGCTGCCTGTAACAGTTACCGTGAAAGTTTTTTTCTGGTTCACCGTCTGAAAAAGCAAGACTCTAGGCGAGACCTTGACGTGGAGCTTAGATCCGTGATTTAAGACAACTATTGATTTGTATTTGGAGTTTGGTTTACCCATGTTGGTGATGTTTCTGTGGAAAGTCACGTTAAAGAAGCTTTTAAATCCCGACAATTTCGCCGACATTGAATGATAGTAAAGGTTTCTCGGTAATGTTTTTTTTTTCTAGTGCAAGTGACGGCTTCACCGGATATGAGTTTCACGGTAGTTTCATTATACTTCATGCCGCAGAGGAAGGCTATGTAGTCTGCTTTAGTCGAGTCATATACGAGTCCAGGATTCGTAGCAGATATCAGGTCGACATAGCCAGTTCCATAAGCAAACTTGGTTGATGCAAAGCCAGTTCTAGAAGCATTCATCGGCGAAGCTGCGAAATTCATTAGGAGACCAAAGAAGAACAGAGTGTCAAACAAAGGTTGATGGCTTTCTTGGGGCACAAGAAAAGTATGCATGTTTCACTCCACGTTATAATTTTTGCTTACCGGTTGTCATAATTGCAGATTTTATCATGGAGAGAGACCATTGAGGATGAAACGTCTTGATGTACGTGGCCACGCCTGTAACGTGTGGACAAGACAAGGAAGTTCCGGAGAGAACAGAGTACTTAACACGTCTTGTGTCAAACACACTTGAGGACGGTGAAGCCTCAGGTGAAAATGCAGCGAGGATCTCTTTTTACTAAGTGGTCGAATTTGTATTATTAATTTCTGAACATTCAATTGTAATCGGTTTTTTTTTTTTTTTGTAGTAATTTGTACTCGTATACATACTTTCATCCACTTGTCTACAGTTTGGATTTGATATTTCGAAAGAACTCAGGTTGATTAGAACAAGAAATGAGTAAAAAAGCACAATTAATATCTGGATTATCTCATTTGCATGTTCTGATAAATCCAACATAGAATTTGTTACAAAAAAAGGTAAAAAACCCATCATTGAATAAAGAAGGGTTCCCGAAATAAAGAAACATAACAACAATAATAAAGATTTATTTTGGATTAAAGATTTATTTTGGATGACGATGGGGAACTGATTATGCTTCATTAGTAACCATCAGTATAAACAACAATGGGACTTCTGACGTTATGAGTGCCATCAGACCAGATTAGATTTGCAGACGAAGGCAGTTCTGAACTGAGATCCCTGCCTGTAACAGTTACCTTGAACGATTTCTTCTCGTTGACTGTCTCAAAAGACAGAACACTAGGCGTGACCGTGACGCTGAGCTTAGATCCGTGACCGGGGACTACCTTTGATTTGTATGTCGAGTTCGGTGTACCAACATTGGTGACGGTTCTGTTGAAAGTTACGGTGAAGGAGTTATTATATCGTAACACTCCAGCTGACATTGAAGGATAGTTGAGGTTTCTTGGTAAGATTTTTTTTTCTTCGGAACAAGTGACAGTTTCACCGGAGATGATCTTAAGAACATCTGAAGTGTAGTTCAAGCCGCAGAGAAACGCGATGTGGTCTGCTTTGTCCAACTCATAGACAAGTCCAGGATTTAAAGCAGCTATAGGGTCAACATGTCCAGACCCATAAGCAAACTCGGTCGATGCGATGCCAGTTCCAGTAGCATTTACAGGCCAAGCTGCAAAGATTATTAGTTAAGAGACCATGTAAGAACAGAGCGTCAACAATGGTTACTTGTTGAACAAGAAAGGAAAAAAATCGAATACAGTTTTTCTTACCTGTTGTCATGATGGCAGATTGAATCATGGAAGGAGACCATTTAGGGTAAAACGTTTTGACATACGCAGCCACACCTGCAACGTGCGGACAAGACATGGACGTTCCAGAGAGAACAGAGTACTTAACATGTCTAGTGTCATATTCAGACAGTTCACCATAAGGTGAATATGCAGCGAGGATCTCCACTCCTGGTGCTGTTATATCCGGCTGCAATTCATACACCATTGTCTCTCAAACCGGAGAAATAAATAGGATCAAAATCATAAATGTTTTGTATATTTACCTTGAGAATATCAAAAGCGATGGTGTTTGGACCGCGAGAAGAGAAGGAGCTAACAACAGGAGATGTCTGATTGTAGATTGCTTCGGTTTTTAGAACAGCCGCTCGTGGAGAACTAAGAAAACAAACACAGAGAACAGAGAATTCAGGGTAAAGATGGAGAATCTTGGAGCATATGTATAAAGGAAATAGAAGATGATTGTTTACTCTGCGGACTCAATGTAAGAGAGTAGAGATCCAAACTCTGTTTTTGATAAACCAGAAGCAGGTAAAGGATGAATAAAGGCAACGTCTGGTTTAGAGCTGTTGAAAATGAGTGCAACAGCTCCAAGTGATTCAGCTATTTTCAAACCACGGGGACTACCACACACTAAGATCTTTCCCTTCACAAATGATCTATTTAAACAATCTGGATAACAAAGCCTGAAAAATAAATTGATCTAATCACATTAGAAATATGGAAGAAAAAAAAGGTTCTAGGTGATCACAATCAAGATAGTGTTTCTTGGGGAACAAGTTACTCTGCGGTTTCCGCATCGCAAGTAGACAATGCAGCAGCTTTCCCGTACACCAATGGATACTTCATTCCTTTCATATCGAAAGCATTCACTGATTTACCCTGTTAACAACAGTCATTGGTAATTAATAGGGACAAATATACAATGATGATAGACAAATGAGAGTGTTACTTGGTACTTACGACAAGTATCTTGCCGTTTCCGAGTACAACTTTGGTGAAAAACCCACGGTTCGTGGTGCTGGCTGCAACAGTTAACATCCACGGCCCTACGGCCGAGACCGTGCTATCTTTCGGACCGCTGTTACCAGCAGATACAACAGTGAGTATCCCTTTGGTCATAGCGTGGAAAGAGCCGATGGCGATCGGGTCATTTTCGAAGTTTTGTGCACTTTTATCTCCGATAGAGATGGTGATGAGGTCCACACCATCAGCAATAGCGTCATCGAACGCAGACAAGAGAGCCTCCGAGCTACATCCTGCTTGGTCACAGACTTTGTAAGCGGCTATTCTAGAGGCCGGAACACCTCCTCTTACAGTTCCATTGCCTAGTCCAAAGAAGCTTGTGTCTGCGACTGCGTTTCCAGCCGCAGTGGACGCCGTGTGTGTACCATGCCCTTCAGTGTCCCTAGTACCTTCGCTTGTATAGTCTCTTGCCCCAATCAACTTACTGGAAAATAATCAATAGATCAACAACAGTAACTTTTATTATTGCAATCAAGAATAATTTTCAAACTAATTTCCAGGTTCTCAAAAATACATCTCTAGCTTCGACTTACAATACTAATCTTTTAAGAGAAAAATTAGTTTTAAGAGACTTACTTGTTGCAGGTGAAGTTTTCGCCGCCGGAACAAACACCTTTCCATTTCATTGGAGGAGGACCAAAGCCTTTGTCGGAAAAGCTCTGAGATTCCGGCGTGATCCCACTGTCGATGACTCCGATAATGGTATCACTTTCCACGGTATGGTTCCTCTTCGTCCTATCTCCTTCCTTTAAACCTATAAAGTCCCAAGACGCAGTCGTGTGGAGTTGTAACTTCTTGCTCGGGAACACAGACACAACTCCCTCCATTTCTAACCAAAACATGAAAACGGTTTAGTTATTAAACCTTTTAAAACCATTCCAGTATAAATTTGTCTCGATTGAATAACACTCACCGACTATTCGGTCTCGTTCTGACTCAGTGAGTCGAGCAGCAAAACCGTTGAAACTCCTCTTGTAACTTCTCACCAAACGACCTTCGATCGAACTATAATATATATATCACTTGTTATAATCTTTCTCTTTACGTAATTGATTATTTAATCATGACTAGTTATAATCAATTTAAATACTCTTATGAAATCACACCTTTCTCCAGTGATCTCTTGAAGAATACTCATGTGATCGGACATTGGTGTGTAGTCCGCTCGAGAAGGAAGTGAACCCATGTAAACTACATACACCTTCATCGATAGAATCATATCATTCACCAATTTCAACATTATCACCATGTAGAACGGACAGTCTATGGAAAAACAAGCGATCATGATGATAATACCTGTCTATCTTGAGAATCATCCGAGACTGCTGAAACTGAACTCAAGAACAGGACAAGGAGGCAGGAGAGGATGCAAGAGGAAGCTGCTCGTAATTTCATCATTTTCTTTTAAGATGAATTACAAGTTACTGCAAAATTTTCTTTTGATTTCTATGGAGATCAACATGTAATGATGCATATATATGAGAGATTATACATGCACCGTGTCAAATTGATAGAATCTAAATTTAACTCCTCTGATTTAGTGTCTTTAGTTGTTTTAAATCAAATCAACTTTTACCATAATTGATTCTATTGGTATCTGTATCAATTAAATCGTGACATTGTGTTCACATTTTCTTATTAGCTAATTGAACTCAATTAGAGAAAGAAAGAAAATTTCATTCTCTTTGGTTTTCGATTTGTTTACTATAAAGAAATTAAATGGTAAAAGATAAAAATATTACACAATTGAGAAAAATATTTCCTCGTTCATTTAAAATTTTAAACATTTATGAGAATAAGAACGAAAAAGACAAATCTGAGACTATCTATATTATTTACCACGTGGTAAAAATATATTGGAGTTATTTATTAAGGCAGTTTAATTAGCTGATATGGTGAATGAACGTTACATATCGTCACATGGAAATTATTTATTATAGTACGTTTTATCCCAGTCAATGTATTTTAGTTTCAGGGGTAATTAACCGTAATGAATATGTCTATAATTCATTAATTATTTTACAAAACCTAGTATTTATTTAAATCTAATTAATAGAGGCAAAACTATAGCATTCACATTTGGACTGGATCATCTCAAAGATTCTCATAGTATCTGCGTTAGGATGAAAATTTGAAAATACCCATATTTTTCCCTTTCAGAAAGCAATAACGAAGCTGATATAATATCTTTAGGATTTTCTATCACACGCCATGTGCGATATGCGGATCAACTTGACGATTCCAACGTCGAAAAGACAAAAAAAAAAAAAAAGAACATGTCCGATGAGAAAACATAACATGTTATCTCATTCCATGTTGTAAGCTGAATTATCTCATTCCATGTTGTAAGACATCATCACAAATAGGAAGTCGATAAAACATATATATAGCAATCAAATAACGAAAACATAGAATGTAATAACAACAATACTAATGATTTTATGATGGCCATGGGGATGATGACAGCTATGGTGATAATGATGGGAATATACCAGCATAAACAACAATGGGGCTTCTAACATTATGAATCCCATCAGACCAGATTAGATTTGCAGACGCAGGCAGTTCTGGTTCGAGTTTGCTGCCCGAAACAGTCACGGTGAAAGACTGCTTTTCGTTCACAGACTTCATAGATAGAATACTAGGTGAAACCTTGACGTTGAGCTTAGATCCGTGATTTAATACAATTTTTGCTTTGTATGTAGAGTTTGGGATACCAACGTTAGTGACGGTTCTGTTGAAAGTGACGGTGAAGGGGCTACTAGATCCCGACAATTTAGCCGACATTGATGGATAGTTTAGGTTTCTAGGTAAGATTTTTTCCGTGCAAGTGACGGTTTCACCGGAGATGAGTTTCACGGTAGTCGCATTGTAGTTCATACCGCAGAGGAAGGCAATGTAGTCTTCTTTGGTCACCGGAGATGAGTTTCACGGTAGTCGCATTTCTTAAGATGTAATTTTTATTCACCTGTTGTCATAATGGCAGATTTGATCATGGAAGGGGACCAATCAGGATGAAACGTCTTGACGTAGGCGGCTACGCCTGCACCGTGTGGACAAGACATTGAAGTTCCGGATTCAACATAGTATTTCACATGTGTGGCGTCGTCATAAAACGGTGACGCCGTAAGTGAATATGCAGCCAAAATCTCCAGTCCTGGTGCTGTTATATCCGGCTGCATTTTCATTCACCACTTTCTCAGATCGGCAAACAAAAACAGATTAATCTAAGCATACCCATATCATTTCTACCTTGAGAATATCAGCAACAATGATGTTTGGGCCGCGAGAAGAGAAGGAAAGAACTTTAGGACCTGTCTGATTAAAGGTTGCCTCACTTTTAAGGACAGCCGCTTCTGGGGAACTAAAGAATCAAACCCAAGAAAATGAGAATTAAGGGAAGTATATACACAACAAAGCGTATGATTCAAGATATAGAGAAGATTAATGTTTACTTTGTGGAGTTAAAGTAAGAGAGGAGAGACTCAAAGTCTTCTTCTTGTAAGTCAGAATAAGGTAAACCCTTGACTTGTTCCCAGTCTGAACCGCCATCTTCAAAAATACCTGCGACGGCTCCCTTTGAATATGCTACGTAGGGAAAAGATCTTTTGCAAACCAAGATCTTTCCTTTCACCAAGGATGCGTCAAGACAATCTGGCGTGCAATCTCTGAAAATATTTATAAAGAAACAAATCTCATCATCAACAATCAGAAATTAAATAGTATTTTCTAGGTCATACGCTTTTACACATGGTGTTTCTTGTTAAGGAAGTTACTCTGCGCATTTCGCTTGTGAGGCAGACTTAGCAGCAGATTTTCCGTACACCAGAGGGAACTTCTTTCCTTTCAGATCGAAACCATTCACTGAATTTCCCTATTAATACAAACCAACAAAAAAATACAAAAAGAATAGGTTAGTAATATTAAAGGAAAAAGATACTGTGATGACATAAATGAGTGTGTTACTTGATACGTACGACAAGTGTCTTGCCATCACCAAGAACCACTTTGGTAACAAACACACGGTTCGTGGTGCTAGCTGCAACGGTTAATAGCCACGGTGCTAAGCTCGTAATCGAGGCCTTATATGGACCATTGTTACCAGCCGAGTTCACAGTGAGGATTCCTTTGGACATAGCGTGAAAAGCTCCAATAGCGACCGAGTCTTTCTCGAACGGGTACACATCAATACTACCTATAGAGATGGTGATGATGTCAACACCATCGGCAATGGCGTCATCGAACGCAGACAGCATTACATCATCTCTACACTCTCCGTCGCAGACTCTGTAAGCCGCGATTCTGGAGGCTGGAACGGCACCTCTCGCCGTTCCACTGCCGAGACCAAAGAAGCTGGCGTTTGCGACTGCGCTTCCAGCCGCAATAGAAGACGTGTGTGTACCGTGGCCACCTTTGTCCCTAGCGTCTCCTGGTGAGTAGTGTCTTGCCCCAATCAGCTTACTGTAAAATGACTAAACAGATCAATCTCTCTATCCAAAAAGAAAGAAAAAAAAAGAAGACTTTTGATTTAACCCCTGACGTCAAAACCTTCTGAGTCACGTAGAGTCTTACTTGTAAACGCAAAACAAGGTGAAGTTTTTGATCAACTTCCAAAACATCTAAAAGAGTTTTAAAAAGAGAGAAAAATGTATTTACTTATTGCAAGCGAAGTTTTCGCCGCCGGCACAAGTGCCCTTCCATTTCTTTGGAGGAGGGCCAAAGCCTTTATCGGAAAAGCTTTCAGATTCCGGCCAGATTCCACTGTCGAAGACTCCGATTATAGTATCACTCTCCACTGTAGGATTTCGCTTTGTCCCTTTCCCTTCCTTTAGCCCCATAAAGTCCCAAGACGCCGTCGTTTGGAGTTTTAGTTTCTTGTTCGGGAACACAGACACAACTCCCTCCATATCTAACAGTAGCACAATGGGTTTTAGGCTTTGAATGTGTCAACTTATTGGTTTTACATGTGGAAACAAAAATCAGAGAGAATCTATTTAAAAAAAGAAAAGAGTACCAGTTTCTCTCTAACAACAAAATAAATAAATAGAGTTTCAGTATTTTCATAATATTGTTTTGCAAGACACAAATGCAATTTGCAAATACTTACTTCCGTTTGCGTATGACATTTTACGTTAAAATTTAACTTATACATTTGACTTTAGGTTATGGATCATTTAGAAAAGACACATACGCTAAATGGTAAGCACAAACCAGATATAAATGGCCATAGTTATCATATATATATTTTTTAAACAAAACTAAAGAGTAAGTGAATAACAAATAATCAATGTATCCTTAGAGACTATACGGGTCTGGAACAACACTCACCGGCTATACGTTCTCGTTCTGACTCAGTGAGTCGGGCGGCGAACCCGTTGAAACTCCTCTTATAACTTCTCACCAAACGACCTTCGATCGAACTAGAGTAATCTTATATGTCATTGTTAGAATCCTCATCATTTACAGAAATAATGATTATAGGGAATAATATATGAATTAATCAAATCAGACCTCTCCCCGGAGATCTCTTGAAGAATACTCATGTGATGAGACATTGGTGTGTAGTCCGCTCGAGACGGAAGTGAACCCATGTAGACGATATAATCCTTCATTTAACGATAATCATCATTTATCAACGTAATCATCATGCATGATGATTAATAATGGATGAGCATATCTAGCTCTATAAAATAATATACCTGTTTATCTTGATGGTCATGTGTGACTGTTAAGACTGAACTTAAGAACGACAAGACAAGGAGACATGAGAGGAGGCTAGAGAAAGCTCCTCCTTTCGCCATCTATAAAATTGGCTAAAGTTAGATTATGATTCCTATGGGGATCAAGGTGGGATGTTTATATAGAACCTACCATACATGGACCAAGTCAAGAAAAAGTCTAATTAAACTCGTCTGATTATATGTTTCATAATTTGTTAGGATAAAATCTAGTCTTATAATCTTTTAAGTTTGTAAAACAGACTTAATGAGAGAGGTTTTTTTTCCAATTATCCAACAAAGGTAATGAAGCAAATTCCACTTTTGCAATAATTGGACAATGTTTTACCTTTATAAAACAAACTTAATGAGAGAGAGATTTTTGTCCAATTCCATAAAGATATGAAGCAGAACATAATTGTATAAATCACTAGTTTGCGAAAAAATACACAATAATTTCTTTTTTACTCGCGTATCAATCAAACTTCTTTTTTTTTTTTGCGTACGCATGGTAAAATAGAATACAGTTATTACTACAGGAGAAAGTTATTTTTCTTTTGAGGATGTCGCAAGTCATCAAATTTATGGAATCTTTAACGACATTGAGAAGTTGTGAGTTCCAATTAAAAATCTCAAAGAAAAAAACAAACCGAAATCAAGGCGTGACATAGGATTGATAATAGTTTGGAGCCGAGAGGCAGAAGTAACAGCCTCGTCTTGGAAAATGTGCCTAGACAACCTTGATTTTGAGAATGTGGATATTTGAATGAAAGTGATGCAAGTGTTCTGACTTGTGCAGTTAAAAGATGAAGCAAGCTGGGCCAAGTCTGCAGTGCAGAGCTTACATGTGACATCTTTGGCAAAGAGCAAAAGACATTTTCGACCTTCGTTTGTTTGTTTGCAGCGAACAACGAGCTCTTTACTAAAAGAGCACTTTCCTTTTGCGTATCAATTTGTATTCTCTTTATAAATGGTATAACTTTGGTAAGTCTAATATCAAAGGAAACGAAACATAACAGCGTTTTAGATATATGTTCCCACACAAATGATCCAGGTACTTACATTTTATGTCCAGGCCTAAACCAAACTATACTATTTGAGTAAGATTCAGCAGAGTTTATCATTTTAACTCTTCAAGTGTGAAGATAGTTAGCAGCCATCATCAGCTCCAAAGTCAGTTCAGGCTCGATGTGGAACTCTGTCTCTTTGCCTCTGTAAGACAAAAGACGACTATAAGAAGAAGAAAAATAGATTTGAGACAGCAGAGTACTGAAAGAGGTAAACTGATTCGCGTATTATAATCCGTCAGCTAGAAAACAGCTATAGTGTGTTCTTAAAGCAGGATGGCTTAAAACATTACATTCCCTAATACCGCAATCGCTATAAACTCCTAATGGTGAAATCTACCTGAGAGATGAATGATATGAGAGATGGTAAAGAGTTGGCAGTGAATCTATTTTCTAGGGGATATTCTTCTTGCTGAATTATCCACCAAGTGAAACTTAGACAACGATTAGATTCTGACAAAAGACAACTAGAGGCTGCAATGCCATGTCCTAGAGATCAAAGTAGATAAAGAGTTGAAAATTGAGATAGGTAATCGAAAAATTTCTCTAAACCGAACTATCCACTAAGTGAAACTTAGATAGCTACAAATGGTGATTAGATTCTGACTATGTTAAAACAGACTACGAGAGGCTATACAATGACGTGTTCTAAAGATCAATTAGAGAAAGAGGTCCAAGTGAGAATAGATAATGGACCTTGAGTATTGAAGAGACCAATAGAAGTACTGGCAGATCTTCTCTAAAATTGTGGTGCTGATATCAGGGAAAGTCACGACACCGTCTTTCGATTCCGAAAAACCACCTGCCGCAATAAAAAAACAACAGAGTTTCTTCCTCTGCATCTAAAACAGAGAGATTCTTGAAATCTACTTTCGACATCTTAATATGGTAAACACTCAATGCACTACTGCAAGATCATTTCTTTTTCCATGCCCTATAAAATTCGAGGTCAATAACTACATTCTCACTTTCTCATCCATTGATTTGAGAAAGATCTCATGAAAAATGAAAAGAAAAAACTTATGATTCGGATTTGCTTCCTCGTTAAAATCGGATGATTCAATTACGCAATTGAATTTCCAATTGAGCATAGTCTCTCGTAAAATTTCGCTCAAACGGATGTAGATTCATAACCAAATTAGATAAATTTGACAGATTAAATCAAAATCAAGTAAGATCCCAAGAACAGAATCGGGATTACGATCACTAATCTTCCAGCTACATAAAAGAGAGAGAAAAAAAAAAGGAAATCAGAGAAAAGAGGAAAAACCTGGAGAAGTGAGCATGCTTCGGATGGTCTGAGAAACCATGGCGGCTTCCCTGTCGATGACGAACTCGAAACCCTCCATGCTTATCAACTTCACCGTCTCCCTCATCTTCGTCGTCGTCGCCTCTCTCTCTCCCTGCGTCGGCTTTGGCTTCCTCTGTTCTCTACCGCGCGTGACTTTAACTCGCGGATTTAATCCCAAAAACTAGTAATCGGTTTTGGAAGCAGGCCCACGATTTGGCCCACTATAAATACCCTATTCGGCCTTTTTGCTTTGCTACCTGCAACAAATATTATAAAGTAAAAGATTTATATTACGTCTAAACAAACAAATATGGAATATCAACACAAAAATTCTAAATTCCGCAACTATTTCCATGTTTTTCTTTCGGAGATTTGAGAAAGAGTACATTTAAAGAGAAAACACTCAAATATCCGTGAAAGGTATGTTATCAATAGTTGGAACAATCAGATTTTACATACAAAAGAAAACGATATGGTGAATTTGTTATGTTTAGTCACGAGATAAGAAGAAAAAAATTGGTATGAGTAATAAAAAATGATATTATCCTTTGTACTGATCCTTGAATGATCAATCAACAGAGCATCACCAACACATGCCAGAATGTAAAATATAGAAAATCATTAGACTAGAGAAAGACAATCATTTCAAAATACTTTGCCCACGTTTCTCATAGTAATTGGCTGGTAACCATGTAACATGACAGTCATTACGGTATGGGATTAGGCCCTTTTGTCATTATCTTTAAATACGCCGTCGTTTGTTCGTATCAACTATCAACTCAATATAATATATATACGAACATCATAGTCCATAGATACGTATATTATACGTATTTATTGTAAGAAGGGAAAACATTAAAACTCTTTTCCAGAATTTCCTCAATTGGCTCAAAATTTTCCATAATCGGAGAGTGTTTCCTTGAAGAGAAATCTCATCCTGAAGCAGATCTGAAGACGGTGAAATTCGCTTTTCAAGATTCATCCGCCATAATTGCAGGGAAATTAAAAAGGGTATGTTCATTTCGTTTCTGATTTGCTTTGGGCTCGGATTAATTTCGATGGATCCGTCGACTTTTTACTATGATGATATCGATGTTGTTTTTGTGAAGATCGCTTGTTGATTTCGAGGATGTTTATGTACAGGTCTTTTTCTTTTTGCTGAGGAAAAAAATGGCGCATAGAGTAGAACAGGATTACGATTATTTGTTCAAGATCGTGTTGATCGGTGATTCTGGTGTCGGGAAATCGAACATCTTGTCTAGATTCACTAGAAATGAGTTCTGCTTGGAGTCCAAGTCCACCATTGGTGTTGAATTCGCCACAAGAACTCTTCAGGTGATTCCAGTTTCTTATCTTTTGCCCAGCTTATCTATGTTTTAAAGCGAATTAACTTGGGAGAATGAACACAATGATGAGTCTCATCAGTGTCAGAGAAAATTGAACGAAATCTTGTTTCTGGGTGCGTCTGTGATCTTGCCATGTGTCAATTCAAGCTATATTTTCATTTTTCACGTGATCTCTATGTGTTAGGATCTGCCATTTGTGGTGTTTTTTTTTAGTCTTGTCTCTTTGTTGGCAACTAGTTTTAGCCCTAAACCCATGAGGTGTTTACTTCCTCTTTGATTGTTCCTTTTGGTTTCCTATCAGCTTCATGATCTCATCATTTGGTTGTGGAAAATTAAGGTCAATGATAGTTTCATATGATGCGACTGTGTTCTAATTTTGCTTTTTGAATCTTTTGTAGTTGCATCCTTAACATATGTTTCTTGGTCAGTCTAAAGGGCAAGACATAAGTGAAAGGTCCTGTGGTTTCTTAAGATTTGTATAGTTTAATGTTTGGTGCATTGTTATGACATTTGGTACGATTTTATTTTTGTTATCTGAGAGAGTTTTATATCTTAGATGTGTTGGCCATGAGTCATGATTAATGCTTTTGTTAATTTTTTATGTCAATGAATGAATGGTGGAGGGAGCCAATGGACAAAAATATTCCCGCAACTTGACCCCAAATAATTATTTTCCTTATAAGTCAACCCGCCATCCATCAAAAAGTCAACTCATAGAATATTAAGTTCCAGAAACAGCTATGATGCATAGTTACGTGCATATACATCAAGATGATTTTGTGAATGCCTTGGTCAGGCTCGTCTTTTATTTTTTAAAACATGTAATAGTTTCCTACAATCAGCAATCTGAAAGCTTGAAACCAAGTGCAGGGATGCTTCAGCTTCTGAGATCTAACCAGTTGCTATTATGTGTCTTTTGTGATTGTCTTACGGTTTATACAGGTTGAAGGAAAGACTGTTAAGGCTCAAATCTGGGACACTGCAGGTCAAGAGCGGTACAGAGCCATCACAAGCGCTTATTACAGAGGCGCAGTAGGTGCACTTCTTGTCTATGACATCACAAAAAGACAGACCTTTGACAATGTCTCGAGGTGGTTACGCGAGCTTAGAGACCATGCGGATTCCAACATTGTGATCATGATGGCTGGGAACAAATCAGATCTAAACCACTTGAGATCAGTTGCTGAGGAAGATGGTCAGACTCTAGCTGAGGCAGAAGGTCTCTCTTTCTTGGAGACATCTGCTCTTGAAGCCACCAATGTCGAGAAAGCATTTCAAACCGTGTTAACAGAGATTTACCACATCATCAGCAAAAAGGCGTTGGCTGCTCAAGAAGCAGAGGCTGCTAATTCCGCTATTCCTGGTCAAGGAACAACGATTAACGTTGATGACACATCTGGAGCCGCCAAAAGAGGTTGCTGCTCTACTTAATTGAAAAAAAAAAACTTATAAAAGCTTTTTCCTCCTCTTCAAAGCTTTTCGTTTTCTTTTGCTTATTCTTCTCTCTTTACTTTTCAAGTTTTGGCTGGTGATATATAACGATGCAAAACCGTGTAGAATACTTCTCTTCATTTACTTCGGTAGTTTGTCTAACCATTTGTGTTAGAGAAAAAAGAAACTAAAAAAACAAATGGGAAGAAAAGCTTGTTTGCATACTTCTCTTCTTTGTATCCCACCCTTAGTAAATATGAGGGACGAAATTTATAAATGAAAGATACCATGTATAAACAATATACATACCACCTGAACAATTTTTGATCGATTTTATCGTGTTAATAAAGCATACAAGAAGATGGCTTAATAAGACACCTAAGTCATGGCCGCAACAAAAGCCTAGCCCAAAAACTCCAGCTTAAACCAAAATAAATAAATAAAATATATATTAATAAGCTGCGTAAATCTAAGAACATTTTCATAGGGGTATCTCAATGGGTATTTCTTGGGTATTTCTTGGGTATTTCAACCTTAAAACCTATTAAAAAAAATTTCAAAAAAAAATGATGAAAACTTCTTGAGAACCTCTATCATTAGACACATATCAGTTTCTAAATAGTTCATGTTGCTAAATAGTTCGGTCAATTCATGTTGTGTGCTTTTTTGCTAATAATTAATATTTAGTAACTTTTGCTAACATAATACATAGAATAAAAATTACAAAAGAAAAAATTTCAGTTCATAGAATACTTTTATATATGAAACTTTGAAAAGTCATTGAAGTTTTGATTCAACGAACATTAAAATAAAATTTGATTTACTACAAAAACTTATTAAAACTCATTTATGAATTAATTTTTTTACACAATTAAACTGAAAACTGAACCAATATTCACATAGTAGACTGATTTTTTTACATATTTATTATTTTATATAGTTTTTGGATCATATGACATATTCTTGTACAATCATTTTTTTGCTCTGCTTAAAATCTATATTAGTTTAGGTACGACTCTAGTGACTCTGTGTATAGCTCTTACTAGAGCACATGCTTCATTGGTGAAAATAAGTGGAGGTGTCAGGGAACCTATCACGGAGGAGATGCTCATGAACGGTGTTGATAGAAGACATACAATCAGTGGTCGTGCAATAGACCATTTGGAAAACGCCATCCCTTCATGAAAAAACAAAATCATGTTGATGATATGATATGCATCACATACCCAAATTTCATAATTATGAAGATAATGAAGACTTCGAGAAGTTGGTCACAATCGACTGTTTGCCTAGTTACGACGATTTCGATGGAGACACGTAAGTATTTAGATTAATTAATCATTTTATATTTATAATTTGATATGAATTTTCAAGTATTTTAAATATGTGTAGGTAATATATTCACCTACTGTTGATTGTGAAGCAAGGAATCATGAAAGATTCCAAAGACAGTCTCTTGCTCACTGGGTATGGAGTGAAGATAAATGGTAATGACAGGATCGAATATTGGGAATTACAAATCTACTTTATATAATATAAAGTAAATCGTTATTATGGTTTATTTTGTGTGTGTGTGTGTGTTTAGGTCTGATCGTAGGAGAAAGAGATCTCGAGTGAAGCTACATGCATATCTGCACTAATTTCAACTCCTCTATATTGGATTGAACCAAAACGTTTTCAACATCTCATGAATGTTGTGTTAGTTTCTCTTAGTTTAGTTCTTGTTTTCTTTTCTTGGATTTATTAAGTGAAGCTACATGCATATCTGCAACTACATGCATGTATACTTTCAGATCCCCTTCTATTTTGAATTTGACCAAAACGCTTTCAACATTGATTTATCTGTTAATTTTTGTTTAATGTGGTAACTTAATTATTGATTAGTAATCTAATTGCTATATCAATTTGTGTGAGAGGAAAATATTTTTTAGGTGGTAGCTAGTTCAAAAAGGAAAATAAGAAATGACTGGAAACTATATTTTGATAGTGGCTACTACGATCAAATACCAGGTAAAGAACCGTTCTCTGCAAAAATTCATATTCATTGAAGAGCTAAACATAAAGATAGACGTAGGGGTGGGCGTTCGGTTAACCGAACCCGAACCGAACCGATATTTTCGGTTAATCGGTTGTTCGGTTCTCTTATTAAATATCCATTCGGTTATTTTGATGATTTCGGTTCGGTTCGGATCGGTTCGGATCGGTTCGGATTGTTATTATACAACCGATTATAATCCGAAAAAATTGGTGGTAATGGATGTTCGGTTTTTTTGTAAACCGAAAAAACCGAAACAATCAAAAAAACCGAAACAACCGAAAAAAAACGAAAAAACCGAAAATTATCCAATATATCCGAAATTCCAACTTCCAATCATACCAAGTCTAAACTCCAAATTCCAAACTTCAAAGAATGCATCTGATACCTATAAACATAAAAAAAAACAATGAGAATCATTCATCTTGAGAATATGAAATCAAGAGATCATGTATCTTATTAAAAAAAAAAGATGAGACTTACATTAATTTTTTAGTACTGATTCTTGAGAAGATGAGAAGATGAGAATCATTCATCTTGAGTCAAGTATCCTTGTAAATGAAATTCTGCATATACGAACAATGAAAAAAATACAACATTAGTAATTTAGAATGTTATAAGCTGAATAGACTAATGATGAAAATTACCTCTCATAAGCTTGTCCTCATTTTCAAATTCGGCCATGATTTGTTCTTTTGTAACCATATATCGAACTTCTTTGCATCGAAGGTCTTGTTTCAACCACTGCTCTGTGCACATTAAAACTTCAACCATATTGTGAGTTAGACAACTCCTATAAGGAGTAATGATCCTACCACATGTGCTAAAAGCACTCTCCGAAGCAACAGACGACACTTGCATTGCAAGAATATCTCTAGCAATTTCAGATAATATTGGGAACTTCATCGCATTGCGTCTCCACCAGTCTAGCACATCATATTCTGTTCCAACCATGATGTTCGGATTGTCAACAGGCTCCTTCAGATACCTATCTAGTTCATCTCTTGTATCATGAACTCTGGTCTCAGCAACCTTTTTCTTGTATATGGAGTCCATCCTTTCATATCCTAAACCAAGATCATCTTCACCAACTTCCATCCTATCTTGTGAGTGTCCTGAAGAGTGGGTTTGATTGGATTGAGAGGCTTGTGTTTGAGATGGCAGTTTATGCGCATATCTAAGACTGTACTCGTCAAACATTGCCCGCAGAACTATAAGAGTTGATTGACGAATCTCTTTTGCATCATAACTGCCTTCACCATACAATCTCTCAAAACACAAATCAGCCATATCCATCTTTTTCCTAGGATCAAATACTGAAGCTATAATCAACAGCTTATTCAAATCTTTCATCCCATCCCAATATTTATCAAACTTATCAAACATCACTTCAGCTTTATTCCTAAGCTCATCGTCTGGACTCTTTTTGAGGTTCATTAGCGCTTTCTCTATTGTCACTATTTCTCCATAACACTTGTATGCATTACAAGTTTCTGATGCCGAGAGAACCAAAGTAGAATCATAGAAAATCACCAAGAACTTAGCTAACCTATTAACTTTTTCCCAATCAGATTCCAAAGGAGGACCAACTCGTTTTTCCCCATTCACTAACTCGTCAAAGTACTCTAAGTACAACCGATCCTCTTTCTCCATCCGAGTGAAAGCTGGTCTATAAATAAGAGCCTTAAACAGCATGGTGTAAGTGGAATTCCATCTGGTTTTCATATCTAAAGGTAGACTTCCTCTTTTCAGCTTCCCAGAATCAACTCTTAGTTCAAAAGAGCTTTGCCTATTCGTATGGGATCTCACATAAACAACAGCATTACGAATGGCATCCACACTAGAATCTATTTTAGTTAACCCATCTTTCACAATCAAGTTTATGATGTGAGCTCAGCATCTGATATGCATGTAATCCCCATCCAACACAAACGCTTCAGGATTCAACAAGCTAAACTCACGGTGAAATTTCCTAAGGGCAGAACTATTAGCTGTTGCATTGTCAACAGATACACAGAATACTCTCTCTAAACCCCACTCAGCTAAGCATTCCAAAAGAACTCTTGAAATTGTCTGACCTTTGTGATCTGTGATGTGCTTGAACCCAATTATAAACTTCCTAAGCCTCCAAAATTCATCAACAAAATGTGCTGTGATAGCCATATAACTCGCACCTGTACAGCAAAAAAAAACCGATTATAAAGTTTTTTTTTTGCAAAAAAAGAACCAAAACCAATTTAAATATGAAAACAATACAAATGAAAATCATTACCTGTTGGCTGACAAGTCCAGATGTCAGTTGTTAGTGAAACTCGAACTCTGTTATCCTTGAAGTATTGTTGAAGAGTTTTCTTCTTTTCCACATACATTTGAACAATTTTCCTTGTTGATGTTCTTCTTGACCGAGGCTTATACAGTTTCACCTTCTGACAGAAATGTTTCCATGCATCACATTCTACAAAAGACAATGGCATCTCTCCAATCACAAGCATTTCATTAGTCGCTTCATGAAAAACATCATCTGGAACCTTGGCAAAGCCCAGACCACCAGTCGGAGTTATGACAGATTGACTGTGACCCTCTCTCGGACTTAAACCCTCTTGAAATGCATTGAAGTGCTTGCAGATGCCAAGATGACTTCTCAAATTAGAAGTCCCGGATGTTGTTGAGCAAGAGTAAAACTTCTGGCAATAGTTGCATGTGCATTTGTCTCGATTTTCTTTTGTTCTTGTGAAATGTTTCCAAACATCCGATCTTGGGTCAAGGAGCTTTTTATGTTTTTGTGGATCGGGATCTTTTCCTGAATCTGCCCTTTTTTGCTTGCCTCGACTGGTGTCCTCTTCTTGATCTTTATCAACATGGTCGTCAGTGTTTGTGTTATCAACAGGTGGTTCGGATGAAGAATCCATCTAAAAAAAACAGAGACAAATCAAGACAAAGACAATGAGAATCTTCTTTAAAGACAAATCCAAACAAAGACAAAGACAAAGACAGAGACAATACGGCAATACCTATAAACATTAAAAAAAAAAACAATGAGAGTCATTGTTAAAGACTCGTGTCATTACTTGTGTCAATGTATCTTATTCAAACAATCAAAGACATGTGGTGAGACCAAGTATAAGAAACCAAAGACACGTTATGGTCTTTGCACGTGAAGAAGAAAAAGAACATCACAACAATTTTAGCAACAAAAAAAGGAAAATAGATGATTACATCTGTGAATCGATGTTAATGGCTACTTCAAGCCCAAGTTCAAACAATCAAAGATGGATTAAGAACAGAGAACAAAAACCAGCAAAAGACAGAAATTAGACAACGACAAACTACAAAATTATGCTATCTAATTGAGATCAGACCTTTGTAATTATCATAATTGAGACCAAAATTTTGGAAGTTGTCGTTGATAAGTTCAACACAAACAAGCTAAACAAAATCGATTCAAACAAGCTATGAAGCTAAAGCAGATAAATAATTCAAACAAGCTAAAGCACATAAACAAAGCTTAAATTAAAACTTACCTGAGATCGATTTCTCGACGTCTCAGAAGGCAAAGGACCAGCTCGGTTTCGGGATTCTAGTTTGAGAGTAGAGATTTTGTCGATTGAAGTTGCAGAAAGGGGAAGATGAAGTATCGGTGGGCTTAAGATAATTTAGGGCTTGAGATTATTTGGTTTATTTCGGTTTAATTTTAGGTTTTAATTAATTCGGTTTATTTCGGTTATCAGTATAATAACCGATCCGAACCGAAAACCGAAAATTACCAGCTTTAAAAACCATTCGGATTTTAGCGACAACCGAACCCGAACCAAACCGAAAAAATTCGGTTCGGTTCGGTTGAATATTTCGGTTTCGGTTTTATTGCCCAGCCCTAGATAGACGTATCCGAGAATATTTTATATTAGATCGCTTAATGGGTAACTTTGAACAAAATAATCAGATTTCGAATGTGGATTATGGTTTCAATTTCTTTATGTTTTTTTATTATCCAACTATTTAATATTTCCTCTGTTCAGAATTATTTGATGTTTTAGAAGGTTTTTTTGTTCAGGATTATTTGATGTTTTCACTTTTTAATGCAAAATTTAATAAATTTTTATAGTTTTTGACCTTTTATATTCTTCAGATTGTCTTCTTATTGGCTGAATTATATTTAAATGGATTATAAATAATATTTTTAGTATAGGAAAAATAAAAATTAAATAAATCTTTAAATTGTGTGCAAAAACTTTAAACATCAAATGATTCTGAACAGAGGAAGTATATATAAATATCACCATAATTTCCTCTTTTATTTTTTCATAAACAAACGGCAAATGTAAGGATTAAAGGGGAGTGAAAGCAGTAAAAACTATCCAAAACTTACAAACTTAAAAACTACACCTCCCTTAAACTTCTCTATTCCTTGTTGGAAATGAATACTATTATTAAAATAAATAATCATAAGTGATGTGCTTATAGTGGGGACCAGAAAATCCATCCAAGATGGAAGAACACGGAGAGATAATCATAACATTATGCAGCAGAGAGTTGCATTATGCTATTATTATTGGAGAATTATTTTAATTTTTTTCTTTTGACAATAAGAATTATTTTAATTTTTAAAATTTCTATATAAAATGGACAATTAAATAATAAAATAACCCAAGGAAGAGGAACCCATTAACCTTCGATAAACTCACCCATCACAGAAAATTCGTTGGAAAGAAAAGAAAAACAAAAAAAGAGAGAAAATTTGGGGAAACAAAGGCGAAAACTTTTTGGTCCAAAGATCGAGAGACGATTTTCGAAATCAAATTTTTTGATTTCTTGGCGATCGATTATTGTCCGAAAGATTGAAACTTTGGTAGATAGAAGAGTTGTTGTCCGATCGTGGTTCTTGTTGAATGGCGCAACAAGGGCAGGGAAGCATGGACCCTGCCGTTCTCGATGACATCATTCGTCGTTTGTTGGATTACAGAAACCCTAAGCCTGGAACGAAGCAGGTGATGCTCAACGAGTCTGAGATCCGACAGCTCTGCACCGTCTCCAGAGAGATTTTCCTTCAACAGCCTAACCTCCTTGAGCTCGAAGCTCCAATCAAGATCTGCGGTAATCATTCTCTTTTCCGATTTCTATGTTTCCTTTTTGTTTTCTCGGTTATTCTGTTTTTGGGATCTGAAGTATTCGTGATTGTCTTTTTGTAGCTTTAGCTTCGTTTGCGTTTTTTCTTAGATCAGCTCCCAAAAATTGAAATTTTTGTTTATTGTTTTTCTTGTCTTGAGTGAGTTTTGTGAAACGTGAATTGGTTTAGACCAAGATTTGTTTGGTCAAATTATAGATAATCTTGAAAAGAATAAGAAACATGGTTGTGTGGATTTGTGGATTAGCTAAGAGATAGAGATGTTTAATCCATCATCTGATTGCAGCTGCTAAATTCAACAAAGATGTTTAAGGACACATAAAGATCATTGGATTGCTCTTAAATTTTGGGTGAGACCTCGTGAAAGGATAAATCATTGGACAACTTTTTTTTCGTTGAAGCTAATTGACCTATTAGCTGAGTATGGATCTTAGCTAATGATTATAACCTTAGGATGGATTTGTTTGTTTGGATGAACTCTGTTTTAGGAGATTCAATTTATGTGAACTCTGAGCTATGTTGATGTGTCTTATTTGTCTCTTAAATAATCTCGGATTTGTGGTGGTTTTGTTTGGTTTCAGGTGATATTCATGGACAGTACTCTGATCTATTGAGGCTGTTTGAGTATGGAGGCTTCCCTCCTACAGCTAACTATTTATTCTTAGGAGATTACGTGGACCGTGGGAAGCAGAGTTTGGAGACGATTTGTCTTCTGCTTGCCTACAAAATCAAATACCCCGAGAACTTTTTTCTTCTAAGAGGAAACCATGAATGTGCTTCTATTAACAGAATCTATGGATTCTATGATGAATGTAAACGTCGATTCAGTGTGAGACTCTGGAAAGTATTTACAGATTCTTTTAACTGTCTCCCCGTGGCTGCTGTAATAGACGATAAGATATTATGTATGCATGGTGGCCTTTCTCCCGATTTGACCAATGTGGAACAGATTAAGAACATTAAGCGACCAACCGATGTTCCAGACTCTGGTTTGCTCTGTGATCTGCTTTGGTCTGATCCAAGCAAAGATGTCAAAGGTTGGGGGATGAACGACCGTGGAGTCTCTTACACGTTTGGGCCTGACAAAGTTGCAGAGTTTCTAATAAAGAACGATATGGATCTAATCTGTCGTGCCCACCAGGTTGGTCTACTACACGATATTTCATGTTTATCTTTTACTAATGAAAACTTGTTTAGTTTCTAATGAAAGTCTGTCTCTTTTTCTTTCTTTTTTTCATGCAGGTGGTAGAGGATGGATATGAGTTCTTTGCCGATAGACAGCTTGTTACTATATTCTCTGCTCCAAACTACTGTGGTGAATTCGACAATGCTGGTGCAATGATGAGTGTTGATGAAAGTTTAATGTGCTCTTTCCAAATTCTTAAGCCTGCGGATCGGAGGCCCCGGTTCTTATGAAGAAAAGAGGTAGTTCAAGTACCTCTAAAACGGTTTCATGTCTTGTTTCGATGTCTCAGAGTCTCAGATTGCAATAGTGGTTCATCTGATATAGCGTAGTAAAGCCATCACATAGGCTAACTGATGTGCATTTCTCCTCAAATTGTTTAGATGATCACATCTTTTGCATTCATAAATTGTTTAAGGTTCGACTGAGTAAAGCAGAATTGCTTTCCTTTGTGTGCTAAAGTTTTGAACTTTATGACTCTGACTGAGCTTGGATCTGAGATTCTTTCATTTTGTATTTTGCAGTTAGAACCTCGCGGGAAAGAAGAGGAAATTGACGACATGAATGCGGGAGAGACATTTGAAGCTCCCTGAGACTTTGTCCAGCGGCCTTGCAGAAAGGCAAAAAAAAAAAAAAAAAAAAAAACACATTTTACATGTATTTGAACTCATTGCCATTTCTTTTCTCAAAACTTTATGTTCTTATGATCTTCCTCTTCTTCTCTGACTCTATTAGACAGTAAAAAAATATCTGCAAATTTTTATTCTTTTTCATCAACTGAATTCTGCAGTATTCTGACTCTCTCACATACATAAAGTATCTTCGGTTTCATCGATTCTTCACCACGCAAAGCCTAATTGAAAAACATATTATCTGCTTAGCTGTAGTTGTAGCTGCAAATTTCTTAGTAAATGGAGGGATTCTGCCGGACTAAATGGTGAATACAAGTTAATAATATCTTGATTGACTTAAAACTTAAATAAAAATAAAAACCTTAGTCTTCAGAAAACTCTGGGCACAAAAGAGGTTTCTAGTTTCATTTTGTAACTGTCAAACTCTGCACACGAGTGGATCCAAAAGCTTCTCTGTCAATATTCTTCCTGGATTTAGGGTTTTAAAACCAGCTGTGAGCTCATAATGCAATGTGGCAGTTACACTGCAATGTGTAGTAAGAGTAGCAGTTACACTGCAATTTGTAGTAGAGTCTTGGTTCCTCTGTTTAATTTATAGCCTCTCTGTTTTCTCTTCTTGCTATTCACAACAACAACACCAAAAAGAAAAAAAGATAAAAATGGAGTCTTTAGCAGTTACATTAGCTCTGGTGTTGTTAGTAACACAAGGAAGCATTGTTACCTTCTCTTTGGCCTCTCCTCCCTCTTCTCCAAATTTTCTATGTAAATGGTTTGGCTGCACATGGAAGAAGCCTCCGTTTAAATGGCGACCTTCATCGCCGCCGACCGAGACGTATCCGCCACCAACCGAAACCTATCCTCCGCCGGTACAGTATCAACCACCACCAACCGAAACGTACCCTCCTCCGGTACAGTATCAACCTCCACCAACCGAAACCTATCCTCCGCCGGTACAGTATCAACCTCCGCCGGTACAGTATCAACCTCCACCAATCGAAACGTATCCTCCGCCGGTAAAGTATCAACCTCCACCAATCAAAACGTATCCTCCGCCGGTACAGTGTCAACCGCCACCAACCGAAACGTATCCTCCGCCGGTTCATTATCCATCGCCGCCGAAGTATCGGCCGCCGTCATATCACCTAACACCTCCACCTTACGGTGGATACCCTCCGGCGGATCCGTAGTTAAATATTAAGAATCAAACAAAGACATGTTCGTCTATAAATGTATCTGTCCTAGTTAAAAACTGTCGTGTTTGTTTTAATCTTGATGATCAAATAAAGAACAAACTGTTCTGTTTTTGTTTTTTTTTTCTCTTTCTCGTTAATATGTCAAGGAAAATTCAAGCTTTGTATCTATTGAATGTTCCTCTGTTTCTTGAGGATCACACTGTTTCTACTTCATGAAGAAGAAGATGTTTAGAAAAGAAAAAAAATCATAACAGCATGTCAGCAACATAAACATAACAAAATTTCATGGTTTTGTTTAGTTTCGAATTTCCAGCCCCCATAAAAACATTTCTGTATTACTAAAAGGAAAACACAAAAAAGGAAATACCTTACTTCAATCTGGACCGTCCCTTATTATGAATCTGACGGTTCAAAGAGATCTACTTTTGAGCAGGTTTTATTTAACAAGCGCGTTGATTAATTTTCCGGTCAAAAACTGATTTTGATTAATAAGACATTAACTAGCCATAGAGGCAGAGCGAGAGCGAGAGAGAAAGAGAGAGCGAGATGTTCTTCCACATAGTATTGGAGCGGAACATGCAGTTGCATCCACGATTCTTTGGTCGAAACCTTCGTGAAAATCTCGTCTCTAAGCTCATGAAAGATGTCGAGGGCACTTGCAGGTTTCTTACCCTTTTTCAAAATCACCAATTCGGGAATGGTTCTTCTTTTCTGTTGAATGATTTATGAAAGTGGAAATCGGAAAACCCTCTTCTTCAATCCTTCATCTTGTTTCTAGGGCTCGGCCTCGTTTTCTTACAAACCTTCAAATTCAATTGCATCTTTTTTTCGAAACCCTAAGCTCAGTCTCGTCCAATTGATTAGGATTTAATAAAAGAAAAACAAATATTGGCTGTTTGAGTGAAACCAATTCGAAGGAAAAATCGTTCCTTTAGCTCAATTGGAGTATTGTCTGCTTCTTGTTTGTTTAAAGTCTGTGTTTTTTTTTCCAGCTAGAGAAGTTTGCAGAATTTGTTCAAAGAGTTTGGTTTTTTTCGGTCTCTAAGTTAGTATCTTTCTTAGGATTAAGATATAGATTCATCCATCGCAGCTCACTTAGATGCCTGCTTGCCAGTCTCAGATCCAGTATCTTGTTCCTCGATTTGTACTTGATACTATAATTGAATTCTTTTTTCTTTAGCATAGTTTGGTTAGGCTGTTGGTTTAGTATGGAAAAAATGCTTATGAGCTTATTTAAGTGGATGAAATCGATGGACTGTTTGAGTATCTTCTACAGTGCAAGTGATTGTGATTAAGTGGATGAAATCAGAGAAACTCTCATTCTACTTATCTATTGCTTGTGCTTAAGTTCTTTGTTTTAGGCTTTTAGCAAGTAGTTAATCTTGTGAAATTTGTATCGAGAAAGATTTTGCTTTTGAGGCATCTAGCTAGTCCTTCTTTGGATTTAACATGTGCAACTCATCACTGCAGTTTCATATTAATGTTTTGCCTTTTTGTTGCGTTGGTTTGGACAGTGGCCGACATGGGTTTGTAGTGGCGATAACTGGAATAGAAAGCGTAGGAAAAGGATTGATCCGAGATGGGACTGGTTTTGTCACATTTCCAGTTAAATACCAATGCGTCGTTTTTAGACCTTTCAAAGGCGAGATTTTAGAAGCTGTTGTCACTTTGGTCAATAAGGTATATATATATATATATATCTATAGCTTCGTGTGTAGGTCAATGTCTTTAGTGACAAGCCAGTCTATAAAGTTATGGAAATTTCTAAATGTATCACAGATGGGTTTCTTCGCCGAAGCTGGCCCTGTTCAGATTTTTGTCTCCAAGCATGTAAGCTTATGATCTTACATCTTGATTTTGACCTCTGTCTCTTCTTCTTTTATTTGGTTCTATGTGTGACTCTTCTTCTTCTCCTCTTTTGAATCACTGCAGTTGATTCCAGATGATATGGAGTTTCAGGCTGGAGACATGCCTCACTATACCACATCAGATGGATCAGTGTGTTTCTTTCTCAATTTGTGATTTCCAACAGTATTATTGGTGTTCAATAAACCCAATCTCCCAATGCTGCCTACAGGTTAAGATCCAGAAGGAATGTGAAGTGAGACTAAAGATTATTGGAACAAGAGTCGATGCCACTGAAATCGTATGCACCATTTCCATAACTCTGATCAGAATGCAACATATAGTTTGATTTCACCGGTTCTTGGCTGTGGTCTTTAATCTTATCGGTTTTATGCATTTGCTTTGATTTTGCAGTTTTGTGTGGGTACCATCAAAGACGACTTTTTGGGAGTCATTAACGATCCTGCATCAACCGCATAAGCAAAGTTTCAGGCCAATTTCGATTTTGTTCTGTTTATCCGGAATGATTGGAGCCATGTATTAACTTAATAAATTTGGAAGTTTAGTCAATTTTGTTCTTGTTCATTATTGATATTTTTGCTATTTGACGTGCCTCTTTTCGGTTAGTGATTTTGTCCAACCAATCGGGTTTTCTTTTGCAGTTAAACCACCCAAGTATCGTTTTTTTATTATTCAGGACGGATCTTGGGTAAACGCTATTTGTTTTAATAAACGGTACTAATTCTAAATGTGGAATTAAGCTAAAAATTGGATAGTTTAGTGATGAAGTCAAAAGTGTAGAGGATCTAATAAGGCTTGAACATTTCTCTCCTCTTGAATTCTTATTTGGTAAAACTAATAAATAGTATACATTTGATAAATTTATGGAAAAACACATTTGAAAAAATCATCGATTTCTTCTCCCCGTACATCACCTAATAGGATTTGTTTTTTTGGTCAAGACCTCTTTGACTATTGAGTTCATTGCCATATCAACAAATACATGTACTATTTTTGTGAGCATTGACCCTTGAAAGTTTTAGCCAAATCTGTAGAGGGAACTGATGTTTATCACACAAAGGAAACAAAACAAAACAAAAAGTTTTAGCCAAATAGACTAATTAATCTTTTCCAACTTGAAAGTTTTTTCAAATTTTCATGAACCCATCTAAACGTGGAAATGCAATTCTTTAATATTCTTGACTAGATTGAAACTAAACCCCTAGTTTCCATATTGTTCATGACAATGAAGTTATGGTAATTATAAAATCTGTAACACATTCCTCCTCAGTAACAATCCCAAATTTTGACTCTCTTGTTTAGAGTTTCTAACAAGAGTTTCAAAAAAAAATGACTAAGTTTTCTACATATCTTTTCTTAATCTGTTTAGCATTCATGTTCACCAGCGATGTATCTGCAGATGATAATAGACAGGCAAGTTCAAGTTTTTGCTCTGTTTTTGTGAGATGCCCATATGAATAAATTAAACACCTTATAATAACTCTCTATATATATGTATGAGTATATATATATATATATATGCAGGTGTACATTGTGTACATGGGAACACTTCCTGAGGATGAATACTCACCTCCATCTCACCATCTCAAAATGCTCCAAAAACTTGTTGGCTCTAAGTACGTAAAATTCAACTTTTAAAGTTCCATATTTATAATAGTTTGCATATGTAATAAATGTAAGAGAATAAAGATTGTTACAATATACTCTTTTTGTTGTTTCTGGTTCTTCCTTCAGTTATGCCTCGACTTTGTTAATTAGAAGCTATACTAGGAGTTTCAATGGCTTCGCTGCCAAACTATCTCAAGCGGAGAGTCAGAAACTGGAAAGTGAGTACTTCATAAATCTTAAATTTCTTAGAAAAAAAAAAATCATATACTTCAGAAAATTCATCCCCAAAAGATATAACCTTTGCTGCCATTTATTATTGTGCAGATATGGCAGAGGTAGTTTCTGTGTTTCCAAGCAAGATTCATGAACTGACGACAACAAGATCATGGGATTTTGTCGGATTTGGTGAGAGTGCGAAACGAGATAGTGTGAAAGAAAGTGATATTGTCGTCGGAGTGTTTGACAGCGGAATCTGGCCGGAATCTGAGAGTTTCGACGACAAAGGTTTTGGTCCACCACCAAAGAAATGGAGAGGTTCTTGTAGAGGTGGACAGAACTTCACTTGCAACAAGTAAAATTCTATTCCAACCTTTTCTTATCAAACTAACTCGTTAGAAAGTTATATACAATTCAATGATATCATGCAATATTTGTTGTACTAACGTTGGTGTTATCTTTCTTGCGCCACAAGCAAACTCATCGGAGCTAGGTTTTATAACAAGTTTAGCGTGTCAGCAAGAGACGACGAAGGCCATGGGACCCACACGGCGTCAACGGCTGCCGGTAACGTGGTACAAGCCGCCAGCTTTTACGGTTTGGCTCAAGGCACGGCTCGTGGTGGAGTTCCTTCGGCGAGACTCGCTGCCTATAAAGTCTGCGTCAAGGACTTTGGCTGCAGCGACGTAGATATCCTCGCCGCGTTTGATGATGCCATCTCCGACGGAGTTGACGTCATCTCCATCTCCATCTCAAGAAACTTTGTCACCAGTTTGCTGAGCAATTCTGCGGCCATTGGTTCGTTTCACGCAATGTCTAGAGGGATTATCACGGTGGGCTCCGCCGGAAACTTTGGGCCTGAACAAGGGACGGTGGCAAATATATCACCGTGGATGGTAACCGTCGCGGCCAGCGCTACTGACCGGCGTTTCGTTGACAGAGTCGTTCTTGGTAACGGAAAAGCTCTAACGGTACGTTATCTGTTAGTGGCCCTCTAAAGCTTCTTTAGGTTTATCTGGATTGTACATCCCAAGTTCAGATTCAGTGGCAAAGTTCCAGAATCGTTGATACTCTGTTTCTGAAACAGGGCTTGTCAGTTAATCCAGCCAATTTCAATGGGACAAAGTTCCCGATCGTTTACGGCCAAAACGTATCAAGAAAATGTCCAGAGTCCCAAGCCAGGTGAGTAAGAAATATCCTCTTAGATTGTTCCATGATGGGATCGATTAATTAACAATAAAGTTGTCAATGAATCAAAATACATTAATGCTCTTAAGTGATGATGATCACAGTTATTGCGATAGTGGGTGTGTGGACAGAGACATGGTCAAAGGGAAGATTGTCCTCTGCGACAACTTCCAAGGAAACCAAGAGGCTTACTTAGCCGGAGCCACTGGAGCCATTGTTCAAAACACAGTGAGTGAAGATGTTGCCTTTGTGCTCCCATTTCCTGCCTCTTCTCTGGCCTCTGAGGACTATGAATCTATCAAGTCATACATCAAATCTGACGAGTAAGTAAAAGTAAGGGTAGAGCTGAGAATCGTAACAGTTTTCTCGTTCTGTCTTCAAATATTAAAAGACTGAATTTGTAGGAAACCACAAGCCGAGATACTTAGAACCGAAGAGGTAGTTGATAGAGAAGCTCCTTATGTTCCGTCGTTCTCTTCTCGCGGGCCAAGTTCCATTATTCAGAACCTATTGAAGGTAATGCAACCACAACAAATATAATATTGAACTTGTGTTGGTTCTATAACCGAAAGGTTGATATGCAGCCTGACGTAAGTGCACCTGGATTAGAGATTTTGGCTGCATTTTCTCCGATAGGTTCTCCTTCAAGCAACCCTGAGGACAAGAGAAGTGTGAAGTTTAGTGTACTGAGTGGCACATCCATGGCTTGCCCACATGTGTCAGGTGTAGCGGCCTATGTCAAGACTTTTCACCCCGACTGGTCTCCCTCGGCAATCAAATCCGCTATCATGACGACCGGTAATGTTCTTGCTTCTAGTTTCCTAAGTTTTTGAGGGATACATAAACTGAGAATTGTCATGGTATATTTGCAGCTACCCCCATGAACCTTACGAGGAACCCCGAGCAAGAATTTGCATATGGGTCGGGTCAAATTAACCCGACTAAAGCAAGCGACCCGGGACTTGTGTATGAAGTAGAGACAGAAGATTACCTCAAAATGTTATGTGCAGAAGGTTTTGATTCAGGGTTGCTCACAAAAATCTCAGGACAGAACATAAATTGTTCAGACAGAACAGAAGTGAAGGATCTTAATTACCCAACAATGACTGCCTTTTCCTCTGCTCTTGTTCCATTCAATATCACGTTTAGAAGAACCGTTACTAACGTTGGATTCCCAAACTCCACGTACAAGGCGAATGTAGCTCCTCTCCCATCGGAGATTCAGATCAGCGTAGAACCAGAAGTTCTGAAGTTCGGCTTCCTGAAGGAGACGAAATCTTTTGTTGTGACAATCTCTGGTAAAGGACTGAAAGATGGAAGTGTAGTAAGTTCGTCTTTGGTCTGGTCTGATGGGAGTCACAGTGTCAGAAGTCCAATAGTGGCTTACTCAATCAAGCCTCTTGGCTAATTTTTTTATTTTTTTCCCTTCAAACTATTCATCAAAAACAGAGAGAAGAAGAGACAAAGTTTTGAGGAATTGAGACATACTTGCCTGAGTACAATGTGTGTATGTGACTACAAATTATTAACATCCAGCAAACCCCTTAAACTATCCGGCTCATTCTATTCGAATCTAAGAATTCGATTCAGTTCTTGTAATCTCTTATAAATTGCTTCTTTCTCAGGGTGTGTTATATCGCCCACAAGGAACTCATGAATCTGATTGTCCACTTCGATAGTACTGCATCCTGGTTCCTTCTCAATCCCTGATTTTCTCATACTTCCTCTGATATCAGTACATTCTTTCCATTTCCCTGATGAAGCATAAATATTCGATAACAGAACGTACGTCCCAGAATCTGAACTCTCAGACTCGAACAGTCTCTTGGCGACTTTTTCACCGAGCTCCATGTTCCCATGGATCTTACAAGCACTCAAAAGAGCTCCTAACATGATATGATCCGGTTCTACAGGCATGTTTTCTACGAATCTGTACGCTTCCTCTAGTCGCCCAACTCGACCAAGAAGATCAACAATACATCCATAATGCTCAATTTGCGGTTCAACACTGAAAACTCTCGACATGGAATTAAAAACCTCAAGCCCTATATCCAACAAACCTCCGTGGCTACATGCGTTTAAAAGAGCAACCAAAGTCACCTGATTCGGCCTAAATCCTCTGTTCACCATATCCCGAAACTCCTTGATGGCTTCAAAGCTTTCCCCATGCATTGCTAGTCCAGATATCATAGTGTTATATGAAATGACATCTTTGTCTTGCATTCCCCTAAAAACCCGCTTTGCCTCATTGATATCACCACACCTAGAATACATATTGATCAGAGCATTGCCTACGAAACTACTAAGCTCCATCTTCTCGTTCTCGACATATGAATGTACCCATCTTCCGAGCTCCAACGCACCCAAATCCGAGCAAGCAGATAAAACACAAACAGCTGTGAATTCATTGGGACTAACCTTCTCCGTCTGCATTCTCCTGAAAAGCTCCAATGCTTTGTTCATCTCCCTGTTTCTAACCAAACCATCAATCATCGCAGTCCAGCAAATCGTATCTTTGATCTTGACATCTCGAAACAGCTCCAACGCCTCCTTGATATAACCATATTCAGAATAGCAATTTATCATGACCGTTGCTGCAACATGATCTCTCTTAGGCATTTCATCGAACATCTTCTTAGCATCGACCAAATCCCCAGATTTCCCGTAGATCTCCATCAGTTTTAACCCCACCGATCTGCTAGACCCGAACCCGAGTTTCAAAACCTGTGAATGGATCTCTCTGCACTGCTCCAAATCACAAGCTTTCAGAACTGAGGTGATCGCGTAGTTATCAGGCAGAACCGAATCGTGAATCATCCGGCGATACAACGAGGCTCCATCGGCGGAGCGACCAGATGACACGAAACCATCGATCATGGCGGTGTATAGATAGACATTAGGGTTTGATACGTAGCGGAACACGTCGTAGGCGTAGTCGACAGAATCGAGAGTGGAACAGATACGGATAAGTTCAAAAACAACGAAAGCATCTTGTCCGTGGAAGCTCCGAATGATCTTGGCGTGAATCGATGGGACTTGGGAAATGTTCTCGCAGTTACGTAGTAAGGAAATGAATGTTTTCCGGCGTGAGAGCCGGAGAGTGTTTGGCTCGAGATCACGCCGGAAAGCTGATGGCCCTCCGGTTGCTGCCACGGAAGAGATCATTTCCCGCTCAAATTGAAGAAGATTCTAAACCATCAGAATTTCGGCGACAAGAATTATAATTATAGCCCAACCCAAGTTTAATGGGCCTGTAACAGAATACCCAGTTTATTTGAGGTAGAGAACCGGTTGGATTAGCTCGGCTTGATAAACCGAATACTTCACTTTTGTCAAAACCGATCAGAATCAACTCGTTTCAACGGAACTCAAAATATAAAACCAAAGCAGTTCAAAAGTAGAAGCCTAGTTTATGGAAAAATCTTTCAATTCTCTTCCCGGTCTCTAGATCTGAAGAAAACAGATATGTGAACCAAATTGAACGGTATAACCTAACCTACCGAAATCAAAATTAAGGAGAACGAGCCGAAATTTCAATAAACACACCAAACCAAATTTCGGTTATACTTCTGACCAAATTATACACCACACCGAAACTCGAACAAACCAAAACCAAATCGACCTGAATGACAGAATAACCCCGAGCCCAAATTGATTCACTAAAAGAAAATTTGATAATTTCACAGTCCCCTTAGTTCCAAATAGGGCTTGTTGTAAACAAATCTATCCAATCCTCAGAAGTTGTGCCCCTGGTTCCTCGTTCACTGTGCAACTGTTACCGATCCATCTTGCTTCAGCTTGATTAAACTGCTCTCAATGTTTCTTAGCACCGGTTTGTACCTGCATAAATCAACATCGAAAAATCAACTAAAGGATAGAATCTCAAAAGGATTGAAGTCAGTCTCATGTGAAAACTTACACACGGACAAGCCCATTGTATGCTTGTGTTGTTTGCTGGAGTTGAGCTGAGAGTTGGAGAACTTGAGCAGATAACGATTCTGCTCTGCTCTGTTCTTTCGCAAGTTCGCCCTGAAATAAGGTTTATGCGGAAAGTTAATCACACAAACAATTAAGTTGAAGTGTAGTTTTATTATGAATAATTAGACCAGAACCTTGAGGGACATTGTTTCAGTTCCATGCGATCCATTTGCCTGAACTTCTTCTGAAGACACTCGTGAAAGTGTGCCAGCTTGTTCTGTTCTTAACTTGTCCAGAGCTTCACGGAGTTCGACATTTTGCTTTAGACATTCTTTCACCTATACGGTTTGCTAAAAAAATCAAAATAACGTCCAAGAAAATGTTTCTCACTTAAAAGTAATTGTGAGAGGCTTTACCTGGTTCTCCCACTGCTTTGATATGTTGATTGATTCTTGATACGAAGCCGAGAGGTTCGAGTTTTCCTCAAAAAGCTTTTCTATTTCAGATGATTGACTGTCAATCTGAAAATAATGCATGAATTCAATTTCTTTACGCATGTCCATTTGACTATTGTATATGATCTAGCAGAGCGCTAATACATTACCTCCATAAGAAGCTTTTGCCTGCTACTCTCCAATCTTTCAAGTGCAACAGCCATGTCATGCAACTGCTTCTCGAGTTTTTCTTTATCCTCCTACATAAGAAACCATCAAACCCAAAACTAAGTGACTGAAGAAGGCTAATATGCTAGCAAGTGACAGTAATAAATCATTAACATCTTCTTACCACTGAGAATACGTTTTGACCTAACTCTGATACTTCTGCATAATAAATAGCAAAGTTATTGATATGTATCACTCAAAAAGCATTTAGACATCAGCTAATAATGCATCCAAACACCCGATGGTTGTGATAGCTACAATGCAGACTTGTTTTTCATAACGTCACATATTACCTGAGGCACTTTTTGATAAAACAGAATTTTTCTGTTCAAGTTCCTGCTTTTCAGACATTAGAGAAGCAACTCGGTTTTGTTCTTCAGCTAAACGCTGTTGTTCTTGCTGCCTCAACATTGATTCTTTCTGTGCATATTAAGAACATTAATATCGTAGAAACAAAGACTCTGACGAGAAAGTATATGTCTCAAACACACTCGAACCTGTAATTCTAATTTTAGGTTGGCCATCTCCTTCTCTAATACCTGGTCCGGGGAAACTCCAACAAATGACGTACCCATTGCTTGCTGTTGTATCGAGTTGAGCTCTGCTCTGAGAGATGCTGCATCTTCCTCAGCCTATCAACAAATGGGTAATAGTAAGTTTAGAGAACAAGGAAAAGGAAACTTAGTATTTGGAAGACATAAGACAATCTCCATACGCGATATTGTTCCTCCTCTGCCTCTTTTACACGTTTCTTGAGTGTCCTAACTTGAGCTGAGAGATCCTCCTATAAGCAACAGGTAAACCAATCAAAATGCAATCAAGAGGAGGTTATTTTCGACACCAAAAGAACAAAAACAGGAGTATTCCCTACTCGTAAAACAACAGCAGCATCTTTCTCCATTGCAATTTCCTTGAGGGCCTTTCTCAAAGATGGCACTGTGTTTTGTTCCTGTTATTCATCCACCAAGAGCATGTGTCAAGACATCACAAAAATTTTGGACACAAACTGAACAAGAAATAGATAAAAATCACAAACAAATAGCTTAACTCTAACTCACCAGCACATTCAACCGAGACTCAAGCGATTCATTCTCGACTTCCTTTGTCTGAAGCTGAAGCCATGGACAGAAAAGAACATCATCAATACATTTTATTCAAAAGAATAACATGGGATCAGATCTCCTGCAAGGCGAGGAGGTAACCAGTATTAGTCAAAAATACCTTTGAGGACAATATCTTGTTGCGCTCCTCCATTTCTGCATTTTTCCTCTGCAGATCTTTGAGTTGAGAGTATAAAGCAGCAATATCTGTCTGTGGAAGCCATTCAGAACAAACCATTACATTACCAGCAAGATCAAAATATCAGTTAAAACCCAATACAAAATTCCATTTAATGTTCAATTATTTACTCAGAAAAGTTGAATAAGCAAATCCTTTGAAAAAATGCAATATCAAATCAAAAGTTCTCATCATCACGATCATCTCAATCCTCCAATTACATTAAATTTCGATAAAGCTCCAGATACAAGAAGCAGAATTCATATCAGCAGCAAAGGAAAATTACCTCAGAGAGTCGATTTCCGCTCTCAGATTTTCTGATACCTGGAAAATCTGCAACGCATTACAATTAAGTAGCTACCCAATAAAAACCAAAATCTCCAGACAATGAATTGAAGATGAAATTACCAGCAGGATTGGGAATTTCGCTAAGATCTGGCCCTGAAGAAGCTTTGCTAAGCCTTTGAGCCGCTCTCTTCTGACGAATCTCCTCCAACTAGAGATCACAGAAAGCAAAAAAGACACGGATGAAGAAACCGTCAGGCGAAAACGAAGACGGCGAAGATGGAAATCCTTACAGTCCGGCGTCCTAAAGACGCGTGGTGCGAGTCCATGCTAAGATTCCTGCAACGTCTCCACTCCTCGGAAATTCTAACGCCGATATATCGGTGATAGTTGATCGCCGGCGACAAAATGATGGAATGTCTCTAATTTGGTCTTATTGGGCCTAAATGCAAGCCCATATAACCTTAATTTTCTTTCATGTAATCTTTTTCTGTAATTTGATGTATTACCTCCTCAATTGGATTATGAAAGCTCACTTTTGATGACGATTTGTCTTGTGTACAGGCTGGTGTCAATGAGCCATCTGAAGATGAGCTTAATAGTCCATATTCTATATTTCCTCAGCCAGAGCAACATTGATGGATAAAATGGTGTATTTTTTTCAGCAGAATTCATTTAAACTTTTTTGTGTATAACTCTTTGATGATTTAATCGGAACTAACATTTTAAAAGACACCGACTAATTTGTATCAAACATTCAAACGATTTTACGTCAGTAGATAATTCATGATTTATTTTGGGGATTCGAGAATTTATATTACGATAGAATACGAAATATTATGGTAAAATGATACATCTTAAAGTGCCACTTTGTGTTTTTGCCTCCATCTCCGGACCTACATCATAATCATTTTACTGTTTTAAACTCATGGCTAGGGGTGCTATAAATATGATAATATATAGCTCATTATCTCACAAGGTTGTTCAAAATTTGCAAGTTAACCATGCATGTTTGCTTTGAGAATGTGACTGTTTATCCGAACTATAATAAGACATTATTTTTTCCACTACTAAACGTTCTGCGTTACTACAGATATATCGTATCGTCGTTTTGGTTATTACGGACACGTACTTAAAAGTTAAAACAAAAATTTTACCCAAAAAAAAAAAGTTAAAACAAAAAACTCGAACTTCAGTCTTGTACATAGTAGGACTATTCTGACATATCACATGAGCGTGTGTGAACCACACGCATTTCTATAGTTATATTGGCCATATTATTGATCACATTTCATGAATCCATACTCATTGATTTTTCTATACATAATAAAAAGCTGTTATAAAAAGGTAAAGAAGAGAATGTTTACTAAATTAATCAAATCAAAAAACTTTTTTTTTAATATAGTATCCTTATTTTAAAGTGCTTGGTCTGTCATTCCCAATATAACGTCTAATAAACTTAAAAATTTTCTTTAGAACATTAGTTTTAACATTTAATTTCGAATAATTTTTTTATCAACAACATACATAATGCATATGGTACTATGACAAAAATCACAAATCAGTGATTTCTTTTGTCGAATTTGGGTTATGACACAGAACCGATATAGCACAAACAACAAGTTTTATAATCTTATGAACATATTAACAAAGAAAATGTCATGAAATAAAATATTTATCAAACATGATTTAATCAACAGCTCGATATCATATTTTATTCATAATTGTCTTAAAGTTCCGGTATGATGGGATTTACCATTTAGTAAATATACTTCTGTAAAAAGACTCGGAAACCGAACTTTGCTGAACATTTATGTACCACAAAGTTCACGGCTTTTTACCGTTTCACTACCGGTGAAAATCTCTTAAGATCTAAACCGCTATTCACTTACACAGTGACCATACCCAAAGTCAAGCTAAAATTAAAACCCTTCGTCTTACAACGAAGAGCAAAAAGAAAATGTTAAAAGAGAAAGCCCAAAAGTCGACGACTCAGGACAAAAAACAAACATTGCGCGCAAGAGAGAGAGAGACAAGAAACAACTACGCGTCTCTTCGAAGATCAACCACTACAACACTTACGTTGTCAGAACTTTGTCTAGCCAGTGCAAGCCTCGTCAGCAAAATAGACGCTTCCTCACACGCTTTATCCGGCATCTCTCCTCCTCCGACCACCACATTTCCGGCGCCGGCAACATCCCTTTCCGGTGAAGCTGGTAATTGACTGTTGACTTTTCCTCTCAAACACATCCGAACGACGTTGCATGCAGTTTCGTTTGAGACAACGTCCCAAAGACCGTCGCTTGCTAGTATAAGGAAATCGTCTTCGTTGACCCGGTCCGTTACGGTTACTTCCGGTTTGCTGATAACGTACGGCTTCAAATAGTTATCACCTGAGAAAAAAAAAATTAGAAAAACAAATATTCCGCGGCGAAACGAGTTTTCTCTTTAATTATTGAAAAAGTACGGAAAACTTTTGTAACATTAGGACAAGGACAGAGTGTTTCGTCAAGTGTAATCAATTTTACTGACCTATGGCTCGTGACATTGCAAGTACTCCGAGGACACGTGGGCCATCCCAGTAGATAACCCGACCACCCGCTGCTTGAATCCGGTCTAGCTCGTCCGGACGGTCCGGCTGGTAAAACGAGAGAGAGTGAGAGAGAGAGGCATAAAACAAATAAACCTAAAAAGACATTGAAAACAGTGACACGACAGATTAAAGAACCTAAAACTCTGAAACTTTATAAACTTTATCAGATCTTCTCATCCTTTATCAGATCTTCTCGTCTTAAAACTAAAAAGTCATTTACATTCTTAACCACCGTCCAGATGTTGCATGCCCATTAAACAAAACCGAATTTGTTTCAAAAAATTAAATATATAATAATAAAGATATAAGGGTTGCATTTTTTTAATTTATATAAAGGTTTCATTAAAACAACGAGAAATTGATGGCTTAGTTTTAGACGCGACACGTAACGAAATTCTCGTTTCCCATTTACAGTGAACCATAACCGTAGATCTAAGATAAAAAATTTGACAGTGACAAGAACATTTTTACTCTTTACACAATTATTGAAAAGAAGAAAATAATAATGAAGAGAGTTCAACGATGAAAGAAACCTTATGATCGGAAGACAAAGCAATGGGTTTTCCGTTACGGCAGAGAACGGCACGGGAATCTCCACAGTTCGCCACGACGATTTTCTCCGGCGTGAGGACGGACACAACCGCCGTAGATCCCACGGCGTCGCAGTTGGGCCTCTGAAGCTCGCACCGGCAACTCGCCGCACCACCGGCGTTCAACGCCACGACCTCCAAGTCCATGCGCGTGAAGCTACGCGCCAATGACATTTCCCAGTCAGCATCAGCCTCAAACTCCTCCCGCACAAGCTCGTGCAGCCTCTCTCTACATCTCATCGCAACCTAAAACAGAGAGATGTTTTAAACAAAAACAAAACACTAAAAACGACATCGTAACGAGCCATTAAGCTATGTTTAATAAAAAACGGCGTCGTACATGAGAACAGCCATGGCCATCGTAAACGCCGCAGTAGAGAAACCCGGAAGAGGAGGAATATTCCGTTTGTTGACGGAAGAAAAACGGATGCACAGCAACGGCGTCTTCCATTTCCCGTCTTCTTCCGCAGACTGAAGCGACGCCGTATTTAGGATAAGCCTCTGGATCAGGCAATGCCACCACAGTAGAACTCAGAGACTCGCATAAAACGACAACCTCCTTCGCCGTTTCGGTCTTCGCTAGCTCGTAGATCACGGCGGACGCGACGGCTGATTCTCGTCTCCTCCGCTTCTGAACCTCGCCGTCGACGAATACGTCGTCTTGTTCGCCGCCGGAGACAAACTTAAACCGTCGGATCTCCATTCTCCGTCTCCTCGCTGCTTGAGAAGAGCTCCGTTCTCGCTTCTTCGTCGTCGGCGTCGTCTTCTTAACCACCGTGGACGTCGTTTTCATCATCCCTGACTCGTTCTCGTAACAAATCTCGGCCATGCGATCGTTGGAACTGGTCAACATTCAAACTCCATCACTCTCCCTCTTAAAAAAAAACCAGAGAACTAGTAAAAGAGAGACACAGGAGAGAGAAGGAGAGAAGCTTAAACAAGGCTGGCCATGGAAGCATTTATAGTAGATAAGATATAAAAATAAAAAAATTTCCTCTTTATTTACGGGCAGCTGCCCGAGACTTGAACGGGCAGATACAAAAAAAAAACTCAAATGTAGAAGAATGGAAGAAGAGAGCTTGTTGAATGGCGTGACGCATCGCTCCTCTATCTGGACGACGAAATCTTGACCGTTGATTTTAACCACGTGTACACGTACTTCTTCCTGAATCGCGATACGAAAGAGTTACGTGCGCCAATCAGGTTCTAACACCACTCAGGGCCTAAGGTGAAAGGAACCTTTGATGACACGCATGCTATCTCTACAATTCTATTTTAAAGATTTTTACCAAATTTTCCTATGGAAATTTTCCTTACCAATTCCATTTGTTTTACTATAAACTACAACTTAATAACTTTATTTAGATATATGGGAATCAATAACTAATTCAATAAAATTGGTGGAAATAATACATTTCTTAGGCAGTGATGGTCTTCTAATGATGACTAATGCTGAGCATGACGGTACATATCATCGTTTGTAAACAAAAATTGTGTTTAAAGATTCAAAAGAAAAAAAAATTGTGCTTAAGAAAAGGAGGTGATAAGTATAAATTATGTCGCTACATGTAGTAAAATGTAAAATGTATATGCTATTTTATCTTAATTATAGCCATTTTTTTTTTGGAAAAATGTCACTCACAATTAAAAAAAAAAGCGGCGACAAAACAACGATAATATAATAGAGTTTCTAAAAATTCCTCTAGCGATTCGTTAATATTTTTTTGTCTTTCTAATTCTGATTGTAGTTACAACAAACGGTACGATGCTGAAAACTTCTTTCTGAATTTGTCATCATTAATAACATGCATAAATCGCATTTTCCAAAACAATAAACTTAACTAAAAAGTTTTTACAATTTTTAGATTAAATAAATAATGTCGTTTAGATTAGAGAAAAAATAATAATTTTTATATTAATGTGATCTTTTAACCAAAATAAAAGTCACTCAATTTTTTGAAAAAAAATGACGGATAATTGTTAGTTATAAAATCATAGAAATTCATCCTTTCATGTTTGTTATGTTTCGTTTGTTTTACTCGTCTCGTCTTTATTTTTTGTTCTGCATTTGTTCCATTAGCATCATTCGTTTTCTATGTTATGCTGCAAACAGTTAGAGCTTTGAAAGAAATATTTGTTTAGACAGACTTAACATTCATACCAAAAAAAAAAATCTTTTAGATATGAAATATGGTATGGATTAATAATATTCAAAGATTTTAAGGATTTGTTACCTAGTTTGACAATTGACATGATGATAACGCTCTTAAAGATAAAATCAGTTTCAAAAAATAAGAAGATAACGTTCTTTTATAAGGAAAGGAAAGATATGATGATAACAAAGTTAAATACTTATTCACGGTTTTTGACTAGTGTCCCTTTTTTTATATAATTTATAAACGTACAATTTCATTAGGCATCTCTAGCCTAATGTATAAATAAAAATATGAATATTTATATATCCAATGTTTTACACATATCATACATTTCTTAGTTGAGACGTTATTATTGTGAATCAGAATAAAACTAAATCCGCGTTATGCCTAGAAACAATTGATCGTTAATTAGGAAGTTTTATTACATTTGGTTTGAGAGGAATCGACGGTCTCACCAAAGTAATACTTTTCCAACAGATTTCATCGTGACAAAGCTCATCTTTTTTTTTTTTTTTTTTTTTGACAAAGCTCATCTTAAATTTAAAGAACAATTTTCTCTCACAATGCAACAAATGGACATCCCTATCGCCACTGATCTTCTTGTGATATATGAATGAGTAGTTTTTGTTTCAGAAATATTGTTCTATTTTGAAAATATTAATATAGAGGATTTAAACACTTAAATATTGTTCTATTTAAAAATAAAATGCATAATTTGTAAAATGCATTTAGTTTGTTAATATTCAATTTTATTTCATCTTTTGTTGAATTATTTTCAGTTTTTCTTTAACATTGCATGTTATATAGATTTATACACAAATGTTAAGTAAGTCAACTAGAATAATTGTATTTTTTTTAAAAAAAAAAGAAGACCGAAGTCGACATACTTATGTTAAAAAAATATTCGACATGTGTCAAAAGTCTAATTACAATACTACTTAAATATCCAGTCACCTTTCAAAATAAAATTATTATATAACTCTCAAATAAAATCCCTAAAATCAATCGCAAATGGTGTCCAATGAGATACAAGTACGTTGATGGGTCTTGGTCCTTTTGGACAACCGGGGACCACTTCCCTATTACAGTAACATTTAACAACGTTGACCTCTCTCTCTAGCATGTTGACCTGTTTTCTTCCTCGATATTCGACACGTGTAGTAGATCTTCGACTTATGTCTTGACCCATGATTTTTTGTTGGTCAAGACTTGAACCATACAATTTTGTTTTGGACCAACTCCTAATATGAAAAATTAACTGAAACGGCGAAGGAGGTTGTCGTTTAAGTAAGACCATATTTTGGTCTCTCGTTTCTTACAAAACCCATGACGACACAGCTCTCTCGTTTCTTACAAAACAAATATGATTCATGTTAATTAGAACATATTTGGCTGTAACAAACTTTACTAATCAGTCTCCAAACGAGCCATCAAAACAAAATCCAGATGGACACTAGTTTAACCTACAATCTGAAGTCAAAAACCATTACTATCTAGAAATTGAATGAAATACCTAAGTTGCATCTCTCTCTCATATATATATATATATGTATAACAGATGTATTATATTGGATGTAAAGATATAAAAATATCAAATTTGGCTGAGTAATGAAAACAAACTATCAAAATCAATATTATCGAAGATAATAATAAACAGAAATATCAAATGACAATGCACTCAACACTCGGTCTATATTTTATCGGATGTCCTAGGAGGGACAACTCAATTTATTTGTTATAAAAATAAATCAATAGAGATTTTTAAGGAGTGTTCTTCCAAAAAACCAATTGAAACTTTGAAGACATTAACATTAAGAATATAAAACGATAATAAATTAATAAATAAGCTCGTCTTTTGCTGAAAATTCTCTAGGACGTGGCGGCAATCAAGAGGATGACGTGTGACTGAGCTGATGTAAAAGAAAGCATCCGATGATTTTTATGGGTCCTACTCCTACATTTTACAAAAACAAAATAAAAAGCTGAGATTTTTTTTATAAAGAAAAATATGAAGCGCGTGTGTTACAGAAGCCACGTGTCCGCTAAAGCTTGATAGCAGTTGCCATGTACTTGAAGTTGACAGTAGGCAAATACATTGCGCCACGTGAAATGTTTTTCTTTTCCCTCTATCAATATTAATTATACAATACTGAATCAAAAAGGAAAATAATATTGTTATATTTTTCTTTTGTGTTTAGAAACCATTTTCCTTACATTCGTCGAGCTCTATTCCAAACATCACTTTCAAATCTTATAAAATACCAAAAAAATATATTAATCTTAACAAACAAACACGGATATAGAGAATATTGTTTGCTTTTTTGTTGGGTAGTGATACCAATATATGTATAATGTTGTGTTGGTAAAGTATATCATCGATGGTAATAAGAAAAAGAGTAACTGCAACATGGCTAGTTACTTTAGTAGGTGGTTGGAGAGCTTTCGGTAAAGAGACAATTGTTCTGGCAAGCTAGTTTGATTATAATATCACATCTTTGTTTTGCAACATTAAAATGAAAGCTTGCCCAATTTCTCGTTGGAATTTCCACATCAGACATTATTGTACGTAGTTTGATAAAATACAAAACACTTTCCTTTATAATTGATCGATGCCCGATCTGAGATGTGTTCAATTTGATACTGGTGATGTATGTTTTTGATTGGTTTTTGTTTTAATCTTAAAATGTAGGCGCCAAATTCAATATATGATTATTTTCTTAAAGCTTCCTTGAATTTATACATGTATATCTATGGCATGTGACGTATGTAACGTCTGTTATTTGTAGTTATTAACGACTTCTTTTATACAACAACTTTAAAATAGTAGTGTGTACTCGAAAATGTATATTTTATAAAACTGAACTGAAAGTGATACTCGCAGATGGTGTGTACCATTTTTTTTTTTTAACATCGGCGTGTTCTATTATAACACTTATATGTATCTAACGAAATTTAATTAAGACAATTGCAACTTTTAAGTAAATTCAGTCATAAATTGTAACCTCGTATAAACTCTAATTGAAATTTGATAATCTTTCTCAATTAACATGGCAATTAACAAAATGTCAAAACCACAATTATATGATATAATTATCTGATTATTATACTGACATATGGATATTTGTTCATTGAGCTATATATATATATCTCCTATAGAATTTCAAACTAGAGCTGCGAAACAAGAAAAACCTACTATCTGTTCAAATTCACGTAGCATATAAAGCGCGAGTTGAACACGAGATCTTCAAATTCAAAATACATAAATTATTTGAAAGAAAGGTTTGGCAATAACGAGGAAGGAAGGACGTGTAACTCACAAATTAGGTTTTGGTCTAAGTCTAGTTTTGTGGCCTAATGGAGACGCGTGTTGAACGCAGATACCACGTTGCGGTTTAAGGTCGTTGGGTTCTTCTGTTTCGCAGTTACCGAAGGAGAAGCTTCAATAATTACGTGGGAGAATTTAGGTTCGACACGTGTATCCCGGGGGCATTTCTTTTCACTGAATCTGCATGCCCGGCAGATTGCGTAGTGTTGGGAATTTTAATGTTACGTAATTGACAGTTGTCGATTTGGCACCATGCTTTTACGTTTTTCAGTTAAGTATCGAAAAATACGAAGCCCATAAAGACTAATTTTCCGATATAAAAGAACTAGTGGTAGTTGACAAAAATAAACTAATTGTAATTCATATTTTTAGTTTGATATAGTCGAAGTTTGAAAAGAGAAGTTATGCACGATACAAACTTGAGTAAAACAATAAACAAAGTCGCTGAGTATTTTTACTAACCTCGTACATTTTAAAATATAGTATGGTGACAACACTTTCAGAATTAAGCAATATACTAATATAGCATGTGAAATTTGACCGTTGCGTTTGGTGTGGTTGCTCATCTAATCTAATACGCCAGTAGATTAGAAAAATTAATTAGGTCCATTACTTTAATCAAAGATATGAACTGTCCTCAATCAATGTTTGAAGATGCTATCTTTCCAGGTCACCACGTGTTTATCAAACCCGACATTTTGCAAAACTCTTTTTGAACAAGCAATAATTTGAATTGACGACTGTCCGGAGAGAAAAAATGAAAAGGAGTAGTGAAAGGGACATGAAACCAAAACAGAAAATTCAATTTCTCAACGAAAAAGCTTAATTGCTCATGCTTTCCGTCACGGCACAAATGCCACTTGTCCATCGAGTAATTTAAACAGATCAACTGAATCCGATTCATTAGTGATCATTTATCAAATAATGACTGTGGTTATCAAATGATTGAATCATATGTTCTAACCTTTATATGCTAAAGAGCACAAACTATGAATCGTGTCGTGATAATATTCATTATTTGGTATAGTGATCTAGGCATATTAGAATTTAGAAAGTTAGAATGATGAGAGTTATATTGGAACGTAAGAATTGCTATGTATTCTAATAATAAGTATTAAGGTACATATATACATATATATATATATATATATATAACAATTAACAAATGTAAATTATGGTTACCCTAGGTCATATTTGTAATGCCTATAAACTATAAGGCTTGTTAGCCGATTTTAGTAAACACATAAAACCTTTTATATCTTTTAATGTTTTTGACATGGCACCAAACAGTAATCCTTATCTCTTAGTGAAAATTCAAGAAATGTGATTTCCCAACCATCTATGCGAGGATCTTGTTATGATGAATGGGTTTTCAACTTTGTTTTTGCACTTGTTTACCGGAAAAAAGTTAGGCTTCGTCGATGGCTTCATACATAAGCCTAACGAAGAATATGACGATTTATAAGATTGGTGGATCAATAATGTCTTGACTCTTGATTATTGACAACTTTTAAGTTGTTGAAAATCTATCTAAATTCGGGAAAAAGAGCAAATTTAGCAGCTTTAATCCTCAGCTCGAGAAGATTTTTGGACCAACTCCTAATATGAAAAACTAACTGATGATAAATATGATATTGATGTTTTTTTCTTCAAGTCAAGGTTGCTAGTATACTTAACCGGTTAAATGGTCCATATCAATTAGGTAGGCAAATGGTAACCCATCACCCTAGCATATCCTAAAACGACGACGTTAATTGTATATGAACCTGTGACTGTCCTAATGGTAAATCCTTGTTATGTCACTAATATAGCTTGACTGGGTTAATAAGATGACAAAAAGAAAATGGTACGTGAACCTAAACGACAATGATAATTGCGTTTCTTTTATTTTCACCTCGTAATGACATTTTGACATTGAAGACACAACAATATTGCAATATTGTCCCCGAAGCCCAACTTTTCTCAGAATTGCATTTTTACTGGCCCATTCATTATCAATCCCGAATATTGAACAATAATACTGGTAACAAAATAAATAGAACGTTATGAAAACAAAATGATAATGAATGCAGCGAAATAAGTTGAGAAAAGGTAATTAAGATAGTATAGTAGTCATTTGATTTAGTTAATAAAACGAACCTAATTTCCAACCGCTGCCTATTCATCTTCTTCCCCTCATCTCCTAATTGTTTCCATCTTGTTCATCTTTTTCCGGTTCAACTATTTACCGAGTTTTACATGAAATCAGAACCGGATATGCCACTGGATCTCACGGTTTAAAACATTAATTAGGCGTTAGTTGTATTATAACGCTTCTTACATAATGAACCGACTTTAAGCTTTTTTTTTTTTTTTTTAATATTTAAAGCCGACTTTAAGCTTAAGCCACGTCGATATAAATAGGAAGCCAAAACCTATATATACTCGGAATTTTCAATCACTTTTCTAAGTTTTCTTTCATCTTCCTCTTCCTCTCTCTCTTCCTCTGTTTTTTTTTTCTAAACGGAAAATCTGCAGAATCCGAATCAACAGTTTTTCGGAATGGATGCGAGCGAGACTAGCGTCGTCTACAAATTTATAAGCGATGATGTTATCAGCAAAGCTCGAAGCCAACTCGAAATCGACGATACTCTTCTTAACGAGCTTCACGCGGTTAGTTTAGTTGAAACTCCATTTTCTTTTAGGTCATTTGATCGATCGCTAATTCGATCTGGAATCTCTCTTTACAGCTCTTGACGATTCTCGAACTCGTTCTTTCTTATCCATCGATCTTGATAAGTTGTAAGTTAGGGGTTTAGGGGTTTAGGATGATTCTTGAAAAAGTTTTCAATCGATCTTGATAACGTTTAAGGTCGTTTCGATTTTGGTAATTTAGGGTTTTAAGAAACTCAGTGGATTTCGACACTGATTAGAAACTTCATTGTCTATAGAATTGGAAAAAGAAGATGATACAAGCCGGAGTCATAAACGGAACGATCGATATATCTCCTTCTTCGATTCACACAACCACAACTGTGAGTTTCTTTCATTTAAAAAACTGATTCAGTCTTGATTTGATTCTAATTTCACAAAAGAAACAATCAAATCTTTCTATGGTTCTGAATTTGCAGACGCCTAGGGATCCAAATCCTCCACTTAGATATGCTGAAAGTGGAAGTGACATTGATGCTCAGATTCCAAAGCCGGATCCATCCACGGTAAGGTTCTTTTTGGCCACAGAAGTCTTTGAGAGAGTTCTTGTTAGACGGCTCGAATGTTACATTACAAAGGCAGATATATAAAAGTTTTGACTCGACATATAAATTCCTAATGTTGAGAATGTTTTCAGGAACTTACGTTGTCTATAAAGAATGAGCGTGATATTCCTCAGCATGATGGAGCTAATGATGGTGTCACTGATCCAAACATTTATGGTCCTAATGGTAAGTTTCAAATGTATAATATTGGTTTGAGTAAAAAATATGGTTGCTTTTCTCTTTTGATGTATATATCTACTAGTTTCTCACTTGTGTGAGGGGCGATTATGCAGATATGGATGAGGAGATTTTGAACGAGAACGATGATGAGGAAGATGCTTATAATGTCGATAATGATAAGGACATTCCGCATTTGGTTATGTGTCAGTTTGATAATGTAAAGTTGACTTTAGTTTTGCTTTGCTACATATTCTTAACAACGATGGATTTAAGACTTATACTTGGACAACTCTTGCAGGTGAAGAAGCGTAAGAACAAGTGGGATTGCAGACTCAAAGCTGGAGTTATGCAAATTAACGGCAAAAATATTATTTTCTCAGAGGTGGAACCAACTTCTTTCATATAATGGAGCATATATTTTCAAGCTTTTTATTTACTTTTCAGTTGGTTTACATATATTAGTTCTTATTTTCTGCAGGCCAAAGGAGACTTCGATTTTTAGACAAGATGCAAGAAAGGGAACAGGAATACCTTTTTGATGCGGACTCTCTTTCTCTCTCTCTGAATAGATTTTTCTACAAAATGCGAACTCTTAATGTACATAACATAGTTTGGCTTTCTTGGCTCTTTGCAAAGGAGTCATTGAATGGAATTTGCGAAATTTGAATATTAATAATCAAAATCCTGAATACATGATTTTTTTTTGTGTACCGAGCCACAAAGCTTGCCACTGTCTTATTGCTAGATGGCTTAGTGTTAGCTGGTTGCCTTGCAAGCTCATACCTTTCACAGATGCCCAAGTTAGCTTATGTGATTAAACTACTTCAATCAGAAGTTACCAAGAATGATTGTGCTCCAAAATTTAGACTCAACACAAGAATCTGTTTCGCTTTAATAATGTTTGAGAGCCAACCAAAATCAAAGAACACAACTAGCTCATGATTTATCCCAATCCCAATCTAACCTCTGTTTCAGCGGGAAAAAAAGATACAAATTTGAAACAGGGGAAGATTAAAGCTACTATGTATTGAAAGAAAATCCTACTAGATGAACTACAGTTTTGTCCTTTGTCCTTACTCTGTATCAGCAGGATTCAGGAAACGATACAAACCACACAATAAAAATTGTTTTTTTTTTTTTTTTTTTTAACTTAAACTTTTTTTTTAAGAATCGGATTCACGAAGATGAGAGATAATAATAAGCTACCAAAACAAGCGGGAGAATCCTCAGTTGTCTCCCTCCGATCATGGCTTTCGCTGTCTCTGTTCAGTCACATTTCGCTATCAAACCTTTACAACGAAACCTCTTCAAGAACTCTAGTCCTCGTACTCTCTTCTGCTCGTGCTTTAAACCCAGGCCTGACTCATCTTACCTCCGTTCCAAGGAACTTACTTTATTGCTTCCCAATCCGGGTTTAGTCACTAGACACAGAAAAAAATTCCAGGTGCGGAAGCAAGTTTTTCTGGGTTTTGATTGCTTCTGATTTTTTTTGAATGTGTTGTTTGATTTCCCGGTTTTGGTTCATGGGTAGGTCCGAGTTGGGACGGGAGGAGAGCTCACCGACGGTGGAGAAGTAGCCGATTCGCTTGCTTCCGATGAACCGGAGTCATTTTCTTGGTCTTCTGTGATACTACCGTAAGTATTGATCCGTCTTGTTGTTTCAATTTTGGAAATTTACTGTTCTAGATTTGTTAATTCCTGGGTTAATAGGTTTGGTTTGCCTCATTGCCTGTGTAATGATCTTCTCTAGCGATTCCTTACTCAAGTTTTAATCTGTTATGTATGATCAAAATCAACAAAGTTTATTGTTTTGCTAGATTGGCCTTTGAACTGTACTGATTTTAACAGTACTTTTGCTCAAATCTTAGGTTTGTATTCCCGGCTTTGGGTGGATTGTTGTTCGGGTATGATATTGGGGCAACCTCTGGTGCTACTCTCTCGCTTCAGGTTTTTATAAAGTTCTCTACTTTTATCTGTTACTGTTAGCTACTAGCTTCAAAGCCTAACATCATACGGATTTGAACAGTCACCTGCGCTCAGTGGAACAACATGGTTTAACTTCTCACCTGTTCAGCTTGGACTTGTGGTATGCTATCTCGAGATGATTTTCCCTATTTTAAGCCATAGAGTTTGCAGAAAAGGATTCGTCTTTACTGCGACTAGTTGTGTAGGTCAGCGGATCCTTATATGGAGCCCTTCTTGGTTCAACTCTTGTCTATGGCATTGCTGATTTCCTTGGTAAGTCTTGTTTGTTTGTTTATTTCTCCTTCTTCTTAACCTGGTTGCAAGTATCTCATTCTTGTTTTCTTTTATGAAGGAAGAAGGCGGGAACTTATTATAGCTGCTGTGCTCTATCTCCTCGGGTCTCTGATTACTGGCTCTGCTCCTAATCTTAATGTTCTCTTAGTTGGAAGGCTTCTCTATGGCTTGGGTATTGGTTTGGTGAGCTCTTGAAAACCATGGATCTTTATCATTTCTTAGTCACCTTCGTTGTTGGCTGTTGTTTATTGTAAAACGGTTTGGCTTGATAGGCAATGCATGGGGCTCCTCTCTATATTGCTGAGACATGCCCATCTCAAATCCGTGGAACTCTGATATCTCTGAAGGAACTCTTCATCGTATTGGGAATCCTGGTAAATGTTGATCTCGTCCTGTATGATTATATATGCATTCATTTTACCGAGTAACCTCGATTTTCCTTCTTGTGCAGCTTGGTTTTTCTGTTGGGAGCTTTGCGATTGATGTAGTTGGAGGGTGGAGATACATGTATGGGTTTGGTACGCCTGTTGCTTTGCTGATGGGACTAGGCATGTGGAGCCTCCCTGCATCTCCTCGCTGGTTGCTTCTTAGAGCCGTCCAAGGCAAAGGCACTCTAGAAGAATACAAAGAGAAGGCCATGCTTGCCCTCAGCAAATTACGTGGCAGGCCTCCGGGTGATAAAATGTCGGAGAAGTTAGTAGATGATGCCTTGTTATCTGTGAAAGCGGCTTACGAAGATGAGAAATCTGGTGGAAACTTCTTGGAAGTATTCCAAGGTCCTAATTTGAAAGCTTTGACAATTGGTGGAGGTTTAGTCCTTTTCCAGCAGGTGATTCTTCTTTCGTTGTTGGCCTTTGGATGAATGTGAAAGTAATTTCTCTTCTGTTTATCTTAATATATACTCTGCATCATCTTGACAGATAACTGGACAGCCAAGTGTTCTTTACTATGCGGGTTCGATTCTTCAGGTATGCTTGCTTTAAGCCTTGAAATGAATGAGATTTACCTACTGATTTTTAGTGCCTTAGTTGGATATTTTCATGAGACTTATTGCTCACTTGTCTATTCAAAGACTGCTGGATTCTCTGCTGCTGCTGATGCAACTCGAGTCTCTGTTATTATTGGTGTTTTCAAGGTGCTCATTTTGTTATTTTCTTTTCTTTTCTTGCTGTGTAAATACCTTTGATATGTTAACGTGACTTTTGCATTGATAATGCCCTCGCAGTTACTGATGACATGGGTAGCTGTTGCGAAAGTTGATGATCTCGGCAGACGACCCTTACTGATTGGAGGCGTCAGTGGCATTGTATGAGTAACTCTTTGTGTCTTCTGGCAATTTTCTTATCGGATTATTCAGTTACTCTTTTTCTGAAGATTACAGAGGCCTTTCATTTTACACAAAAAGTTTTTTATTCTTTTGTATCTTCCAAATTCCAGGCCTTGTCTTTATTTCTACTGTCAGCATACTACAAGTTTCTCGGAGGTTATCCCCTTGTCGCTGTTGGTGCACTGCTTCTCTATGTTGGTTGCTACCAGGTTTGTACTCTAGAGCTCTGGTAGCTGTGGCTACATGTAGATTGTTTTGAATAAAGAAATCGAATTTGAGAAAACTGGAAGCTTAGACTATACTAAAGTCTCAGCTTACTTACACTGAATAGTCTTAGTTTCCTCAGCTGACTGTTCTTTCTCGTGAACCAGATCTCATTCGGACCAATCAGCTGGCTAATGGTGTCGGAGATATTCCCGCTTCGCACAAGAGGAAGAGGGATCAGTCTAGCAGTTCTTACAAACTTTGGCTCCAATGCTATTGTGACCTTTGCGTTTTCACCCTTAAAGGTATCTTTTCTGTTCCTACTTGGTTGAAATTCCCTTGAACTTATTAGTAACTCGCGTCAACACAACCATTCTCTGCAGGAATATCTTGGAGCAGAGAATCTTTTCCTTCTCTTTGGGGCCATAGCACTGGTATCACTGTTGTTTGTAATTCTAGTAGTTCCAGAGACCAAGGGTCTCAGCTTGGAAGAAATTGAATCAAAAATCTCGAAGTAAATAATGTTGCAAAACATGTTTGTTATTGTGAATTCCGCTGAGGTAAATGATTATGGTTTTAGCGACTCTTTGTAACATAACTATGTTTTATACTCTATGGGAATAAAAGCCTTGTCATGCTCATTTTGATCAGTAAGTTGGATAAGTAAAGATGCCGGAAGGTAGGCATTAAGGTGTTACTAAAGCTTTACCTTAAGAAACTTGAATACTTGATAAAGCATGTCCAGATTAAGGTGCCTGAACCAGCAACAGCATACCCTTTGCTCTTGGACCTATGTAAGTAAATTTCCACTGACTCTCTAGAATTTGTTTGCTTACATATGTTCTTTCTTTTTGATGATAAATATGGACTTCTGTCATATTACTGTTTCAATTTTCAACAAATAACAACACATCACAGTACAATCATTTACATCAAAAGGAACAACCTTGCAACAAAAAGAAAAAACTTTCAAATACAATCTCTCACTCAAAAGACACAACATTGTGTGCCTAGAATTAGACTTATTTTATTAGTGTCTCCAGACTCCCAGCATCAACAGAAATGCAATTGACAGTATAGTAGTGCCTAGCATTAGACTTAATTTATTAGTGTCTCCAGACTCCGATACTGGCGGAGAAAGTGGTGGTGGAGGTCGATTAGGGGGATCTGAAATCCTTGACAAGTCAAGGCTCTCTGCTTTTCCGCCATTCTTGAAACTCCATCCAAGGATATACTGGTCACTTTTGACTGTGCCTGTGGAACCAGAGAAACCTACAAACATCGTCTCATTGAAAATCTCTGAAATATTGATGGATCTTGACAAGAGAGGCACACTTGGTTTGATGGATCTTGACAAGAGAGACGAAACTGGCTTTGGAGTTGGTACTGGAGCTAACGTTATATTTAGTAGTTGCTCTACTCCATCATAATCTATCCAGATGAGAATACTTTTTCCACTAGCAAGCATCAGGGTTTTGTTCTTCTTCTCTGTTTCATCATAGTAACTAGCATCCGCATATGCAACCGAGACTATACTGTTAATATCAATCCCAACATGGTTTGCGCTTGTTTCAAGTTGTTCAGAGCTCTCATTAGTGTCAAGCTCTACAGCCAGGATATGGTTTTCAGTTTTGTTATCATTTGTTCTGTTGAAAAGTCCTAAATATGAAGTTGCGGAGCCCTTAATCATAAGGTCTGTGGTAGGAGCTACCACAAAAGCCATACCTTGACCGTAGCGAGGTGGGCTTTGCAGTGGAAAGATTGCAAAGACAAACTCTGTTGAAAAGGAAAGTGAACCCGAAGACGACCCTGTGAACTTCATGGGACCTTTGTGGAAAGCATGACCTGTGCTCGTTGCTGTATCATTTGTAAGATGCAATGGACCATCGTTGGTGTTTGCCATTCCATCAAGATGCAGGCCTGCTTCCCTGAAGTCATAGTGCATGAATTGATCCCCATCTTGAGCTAACACCAAATACATGATATGGATTGAAATTGTTATCCAGAAACCTGTTGATCCTACAACTCCAGCCATCTAGAACAACAACGATCTTCTCTCCCGCCTTGACTTGTGAATCTCAGATTCTCTTTTCCATGAAATTTTTTGTTTTTCTAACTGCAGAAAACTCAGAGTTGACCTTTATGGAAGACATTATCAAAGAAAACTAAGACAAGTTCTTGGAATGAGTAATAAATCACGACATTTTCAAAGAAAACTAAGACAAGTTCTTGGAATTAGTTATAAGTCACTGCCTATGTCATCATTTTGATGTTTTCTTACAGTTGAAAAGTTATGGGTACAATGCTCTGTAATTTTATTGTTCTGCATATTTGGTTGTTGCTTTCTAGCTAGCTGATAAACTGTACACGATACAGAAGGTTTGAGCTGCGATCTCATTTGTATTGTGACCTGTAATGAGGTTTTACCATGTCTGTGACAACAAGCTTGGTTAAATGAGGTTTTAACTAGTCAAGGTCATATGTTTTTAGTTCGAATATTCTATGTAAAACATTTATTCTACATACGTGCACATATCTCTTATTCTCAGCATTTTGACATTGGTTTGAATAAGTTCTTACAAAACATATTCTGAATCAAGAAAAGCTAGTTGCATGTAGTTTAAGTTCTTTGACTTGCTCAACGATGATGGCTCAGATTTAAATTCTGAATCAGCTTGCTTTCTCTTTTTTGTTTGTTTGTTTAAGTTGGAGAAGATTTCTGCAGATAACAGTGGAGCTCTGACCTTTTCTGCTCGACAATTACCTCTCTGAAACACATCGGATAAGATATTAAGACTTGGCCAAAAAAAGCATAGATTTTCAACGGAAGCAAGCAGAAGAAACTTCTTTACATTCTTTTCAGTCATTCAAAATTGATAAGAATACCACAAGACAGGGTTTTGACTTTAGAACATTTATTAGATGCTTTCAGATTTACAGATTTGATCATAAAAGTGTCGTCAAGTATGTTTGTGGAATTGGTTGTTTACCATTTTCTTAGGCTCTAACTGGTGACCACTTCAAGAACAATAAGAATGGTAGGGAAAAAAATGAAAAAGAATGATATAAACAAATTAGAAGGAATAAATGTAGAGAAGTAATGTAATAAATTGTCACAGAAAATGGTAACCAAAAAAATGTAGAGAAAGAATGGAACAATACATTTAATATACTTTTATTAATTTCTTTTTTATTGCATTCTTTTCGTTCTTTAACAATTTTGATAGGAAACACATTTGTTTTATAGTTCCATTTCAAAATAGGAATGAAGAGGAATAAAAAGGAAAGACATGTAATAATTATTCCTTTTAAATGGTAAAAAAATTTAGGAATAGAAAGGAATAGCACTTTCCTCATCATTCCATTCCTTAATTATGATCACCAGTTACAGCCTTAGTCTTTTTTCGAGCAATCAGAGCCATGCTCACATTAAAATATAAGAAACATGGCTTAGGGCTTCAAATTTTTAGAAAAATTTAGAAACATTTTATTTGCAAGATTTACGCATGCATATTTGTTTTTAGTTTTTTTTTAATTTATTTTTAATTTATTTTTAATTTATTTTTAATTTATTTTTAATTTATTTTTAATTTATTTTTAATTTATTTTTAATTTATTTTTAATAGATTTAATATTATTGGTTAGATCGGTTCGAGTGGAAATAAGAATAAAGAAAATAATTAATAGAAAAAATAAATAAAATATTGCAATATTAGGAAAAAAGTTTATTGAGTTTATTCTTTTTGTAAGTTTGTCTTTTTTTAATGTTTACCAAATTCATTAAGTTTTGATATTTATATTTTATATTTTTTGTTTTTTATTTTACTTTATTTTTAATCATTTTTACTGAAATTTTGTTCCGAATTACAACCGCAAATATTATAAAATTATGTCTTAAAATTTATAGATATCACCAAACAATATAAGAAACTAAGAAATATTTGGTCTTTTACTTTTTTTATTTATTTTGTTAAATAATAATATTAATTTTTATTAATATATTTTTGTTTTTTGATATCTATTATTGTATGATATTAATACAATTGATGTATTTGGAATATTTTATTTTTACTGATATTTTTTTTAATATGATGCAAAATTTGTACAATCCAACAAATTCTCATCATCAAACGTTAAAATAGATTGAGAATATTAATATTTGAAACTTCACTGCTAAGCCTCTCTCGCAAATCTCTGCAATATCCAAGCTCATGAAACGCGAGTCGATGAGAACAGTCGACATTGTTAGGGCAGATTGTTCTTCAGAGGAAAATTGATCACACATCATCCCAAGAATATCAAGAATGATATCATCCAGATTCAATTCCCTCTTCTGTCTCATGTCACAAGAAGAGGATCCCACCGAGAAGCCCAGCTATCTGCAATCGCAAGTTATATGTCAACGTTTGCATTTAAGCTACTCATAAGTATGTGAGCATATCCACATAATTTTTGGAATTATACTTGTGCCTTAAAGCTTTCTGCTGTAGTTACAACTCCAAAGCCTAGAAAATCCATCATATGACAAAGCACGGATAGCTTTGCATCCTCTTCCTTTGAATGAGCTTCAGTATCCAGCAGAAATGTTTGAACCGACGCCACTAGTACATCGGATACCTCTTGGCCATTCAAAAACCGGGGGAGAAAAATATGTTGAAATCACTTACATAGTCACACAACTCCTTCAAAAACTCCATGTCTCTAGAGCATTGCCGTATGATGACATGTTTAGAAAGTGGTTTACCAGAAAACCTCACATTATCAAGAAAACTCCAGTTCGTAGATGTGTAATCCGCGGCGAAGAGCTTCACTAATTGACCGAAGATTTCAGAGTGGTGGTACGGCAAAATACACAAAGCAAGTTCCCTCCAATTATGAATGTGGATCCTAGGAAAACAAGGTCAGATAGTTACTCTCGAGTTGATATAAACCGTAAAGAGTCAGAGATTAATTGCCCTATCTTTCCCAAACAAATCGCTCATGTAGTTGCTAAACCTGTAATCTATGTCTCGAAGCAACTTTATACCTAGATCATCCATGAAAAAACACAAGAATCAAAGATAATATTTGGATTCACGATTTACATGCCAGAAATTTACCTGCTAAGGCTCTTTCGCGAATCTCTGCAAGCGACATTGTTAGGGCAAAGTTCTTCATAAACCTATTATCGTTATTGTTAGGGCAAAGAAAGTGGCGATTATCGCTATTTTTTGATCGATTAATCAATTATAAACCTATATAGCAATTGATTAATAAACATTACTTTGTTTATAGGTTTAAAATGAATAATCATTACTTTATAATTGATTATTCATTTCAATTATAATATATAGGTTACTATATAGATTCATCCACGCCTTCGTAGTGCACTACAAAAAAGACGACTTCTTACGTCGGTTATAATGGAATTTAACATCGGTAATAAACCGACGTAAATTATATAGCGTCATTTACAAAACCGTCGTAACAAGGGATGACGTTAATTATCTTAACGTCGCTTTGAAAAATGACGTGTAATTTAACGTCTTAATGTTTGGGTCACTAATAAACCGACGTAATTTTACAAATATGTTTGGGTCAGTAATAAACTGACGTATACTCCATTAACGCTAAATATTATATATATATATATAATACATACAATCCTCCAATTAAAAAGATTTAAATGATAACTCGATTAAAATTTCCAATTAATAAAAGGAACCTGTTTTTACAAACGAGATCCAAATTCAAATGTCATTGAAACTATAATATACTGTTTTGAAACTATAAATGTCAACGAACAAGTATAACTCTTCTAAACAAAAAAACTGAAATGCCCACAAGCACCAATTCTTCTGATTGAGAGGTAAACCTGCACCGAAATCAGTCAACAAACTAATATAGCCAACAACATATTTTCAATTACTGAAATATGCAGAACGTATAGACAATATGGTTTCAGTTTGGTTTTGGTTTCTTCTAAGTAAAATGACAATATGGTTTCAGTTTCTTCTAAGTAAAATGACAATATGGTTTCAATTTCTTCTGAGTAAGTTACTTTGAAAAATTCTGTGAGCAACAACTTAGCCTTAATGACCTAAAAACATACTAAACATATTCCAACACTAATTGACAGACTTAGAGATAAGATATAGACGAACATACCATTTTCAAGTGATATCTCAAAGTCCAGTCTTTGAAATGCCACTATCCTGGTCACTATTGCTGCTAGATGATTGATGAAGCTTCATGTTAAACTTTGTGTCTTCACCTAAGAGGACAATGGCTACAAGCTTCATGTGACCATGGAGAAGCAGATTGATGAAACTGCTTACTAGATAATATATGTTGATACCCTTAATAAGTCCACCAATAAGCCAAGTCACAGATGAAATCTACAGAAAAAGCCACGAGACACAAATGAGTTTTCGTTCTTCCTATCGATGTTATGATTCATGAATAACGAAATTAAAGTTGATACCAGGAGTGAATTGGCGTGTGAGCCCATTTTCGTTTTGCTGCTTGTGAAATTGAGAAGTGGGACTAAAGCAAATGGGAGCTCATAGGATAAGATCATCTGCAAACAGATAAGATGATTACGGTTAAGAGTGTATAATATAATACAGAGAATCGATTTGATATATTGGGTTACCGAGGCAATGATGATTAACTTTCCGGCTCCAGGTGAGCCACCTATGAGAGCTACAATCAAACTTGGGATTGTAGCTAAATATCTCATTAAGAAGTTTCTGAGCCATGGCCTTAGTCTTAAATCAAGAAACCCCTGTAAACCAAAAAAAAAAAAAAAATTAAGAACAGAACAAGATTAAGGCAACAAGTTAGGACCTTGGAGCATTTGGCCGAGGTTTGATCAGCATACGTTCCAGTTATTGTTGAACTCTGACCCGAAATACCATAGAGGACTTCTTTTGGGTCTGGCTTTGAGTAATGAAGCTCAAAATCAGTGTCTATAGAAACTAAAACATTCATTCAAAATAACATTCATTCAAAAGTTTGAATCACTCAGTGCAAATAAACAGATGACTGCAAACAAAGAGGCTAATAAATGATAGAACAAATCAATATTCATTCAAAATTTTGGAATTAGAGATGATTGCAAACAAAAACGTTAATAAGATTGGACGCAAAAACAAAGAACCCTAACTTGCTTTAAGAAAGCTTACCTTAACTGTCTCTGAAATTTCAGATTCTCTAAGTTTCACATTCCCTCGCGAATCATTCACAAATTCTTCACGATCCTTCGCAAATCCCTTATATCCTTCAATAAATTCATAATCATTGCTCAAAACGAGCTGTTTCTTCAGAAAATTAGAAACTGACATCGAGAGATAAGCTTTCGGAAAATACCTACGAACTGAGATCATTCTTCGAAGCTGAAACTGTTGAGACTAAGAACGATTCTTCGATTTTGATTCAAATTAACGAAAATTCGATGAAATTTATGAGTAATTCTTCAATTTTGATTTTGAAACTGAGAGCAGAAAAAGTTTGATTTTGGTTTTGAGGGAGAAGCAAAGAGTTTTGGGGGAAAGTTGATTTCATCGATTTGGATTTTTTTTTTTAAAGTGAAATAGGCTTAATTTTAAGATCAAATGCAAAATGACCTTAATTTCCTTCCTAAAAAAAAATTTAGAGTTAGTTTAATAAATGATGCAAATTATCCGACGTTAACAATCGCATTTTTTGTAGTGGTGGCGGCGACTACTATATAGGTTTAAAATGAATAATCAATTATAAATTTAGTTTTTTACATTTACAAATTTGGATGTTTTTTGTTATATATATATAATTATCCGACGTTAACAATCGCATTTTTTGTAGTGGTGGCGGCGACTACTATATAGGTTTAAAATGAATAATCAATTATAAATTTAGTTTTTTACATTTACAAATTTGGATGTTTTTTGTTATATATATATTTAATTTTTAAGATTAAATATCAATCATCAGTTTTTTCTTTAATTATTAATATTATGTTTCAAATTTAAATTACTTTGTTTACATGTAAAAATCCTATTAATTGTCTTGATATATATCAAAATTAGGTGAATAAGCAATTTTAAAATATTCCGCATTATTATATAAAGTATTCTATAATTCAAAAAAATTGAAACTTAAAAATAAAAATAAATAAATCATATGTGCAAATTAATAATACAAATTTAGAAACAGCATGAGATAAGTGTATATTTTGAAGCCAAATTTTGTTTGAGCACTTGCAATAAATAGTTTTAGAAAAAATTATTGAATTTTTGATTTTTTAGTATGTAATTAATATACTAGAAAATTGTATATATAGAGGCAAAATTGTTTGTATGGTGGTAAAAACAAATAAATTGTTTAGTAATCTATTTTGCAATTTCCTTATCTAAATATTAAACCAAAGATAGTTTTACATTTTTATCAGCTAAAATAATTTTTCTTTATTTAGTAACTTCATCTTTTAGGATTTTGAATCAACTGTTATTTGTAACTTGTCTTTGACATAAGAGTTTCGGAGAAGCCCTAAGTTTGTTTTTTCTGAAACTTCGAAGAATGACGTCAATATCTGATCTTCCAGGGGATTTACTAGGTGAGATACTCTCCAAGGTTGTATTAACATCTCTGAGGGCGGTACGATTAACTTGCAAAAGGTGGAACAGTTTATCTAAATATCATATTTTTGGTAAAGAAGCAACAAGGAATCAGTTTTTGGGGTTCATGATGATAGATTATAAGGTTTGCTCCATGAGACTTGATTTCCAAGGAAACAACTTGGTGTATTCATCTATAAAGCAAGTAAGTTTACCTGATCAAGTCCAGATATCTATATCTGAAATTTTCCACTGTGGCGGTTTATTGTTGTGCGTTGCAAAGTACCACTCGAGACTCTTGGTATGGAACCCGTACTTGGGTCAAACTAGGTGGGTCTTTTCTAGAACTGGAACTGATTTCCACATAGGGGACAATTATTCTCTCGGACACGACAACAACAACAACCACCTTAACCATAAAATCTTGAAGGTTTTCAACGGATGTGATGATACTACCAAGAAACACTTTTATGGGTTCGAAATCTACGATCTTAACTCTAACTCATGGAGGCTTCTTGATGTCAAAACCAAATGGGATCTAGACTGGATGATACAATGCCGCGTGATTTTGAAAGGAAATACTTATTTTCTTGCCCAAGACCCAAAGAGATTGATAGATAATTTTTTACTCTGTTTTGATTTTACACAAGAGAGATTTGGACCGCCTCTTACTCTCCCGTTTAGCAGTAGTGGTATGTACTCTTCCACTCTATCTTGTACTAGAGAAGACCAGCTTGCTGTCTTACATCAGCGCCTGAAACCAGGTCGGTATACACTGTTTGAAATTTGGGTTACAACTAAGATCGAGACCAAAGCACTGTCCTGGAGCAAACTTTTTAAAGTGGCAATTGATTCACCAGTGGCTCTAGCTTCATCTGGTTTTCCGAGTTGCTTTAACACCGGGAGCTTCTTCTTTGACGAGGAGAAGAAAGTCGCTGTGGTTACTGATCTATATGGATATGTGAAACCCCAGCACTTTCGAAAGGCTTACATCATTTCCAATGATGGATGCTTCAAATGTTTGAATATCGGACAAGTTCTGAATCTCCCGATACCTGACGTATTGGAACAAGACGACTCCCTTCCTCTTTATATGCGAGGAGTTCAACGTCAGGACCCCACTTGGCTTCTCTTCTTATTTATGTTCCAAGTTTTAGTGCAAGTGCAACTACCCATAAAATAAAAAAAAACGGGGAAAAAGGAAACAAAAGACTATTAGTTTTACTTTATTTACATTGTTTTCTTCTTGCCTCATTCTCCTTTTGTTTCATTCAAAACTCTATAACCCGGCCAGAATTTGTGTGTTTTTGCTATTTATTTATAGAGTAACATTCTCATCAATGATCTTGTCAGTTTTCTTCATCATCTTGTCGTCTATTATAGTAAACAATAGAAAGACAAGTCTTAAAAAGTTTCAGTTATTTTCTTTACCCAATAGTTAATACGCTTGTTATAAAGGCTTACAACAAAACAGCTTCTAGAAAAATTGGTGGTTGGTTGTTTTAGTTTTCTTACCACTGACTCTCTCGAATTTGTTTGCTTACCTGTGTTCTTTCTTTCTTTTTTTTTTTTTGTCATATTTCTGTTTAAATTTTCAACAAACAACTACACATCACAATACGATCACTTACATCAAAATGAACAACGTTGTCACAAAAAGAAAAAAACTTTCAAATACAATGTATCACTGAAAAGACACAACACTGTGGCAAGAATTACAAATAGGTGTCTTGTAAATTTAGTACTAGCCTATGCCGCAGGCTTCAACGACCGCCATATAGGATTGTAACATCTTCAAATGAGAAATTAGCTGATGAGGAGGTGGCTGTCATTTGTGTTACCTTTTCATTGCTTATATTGGGCATACCAAATCCAGCTGTATCAAATGCTATGTCTGGAATATTGGCGTTTCCTTCCAGATAGTGTATCATTTGTCTCATACTAGGTCTGTTTTCTGGGTTACTCTGTGAACAAAGCATGCCTAGCTTCAAAAGCACTGTGGCCTCCTCAGCTTTATAGTCTCCTTCTAGCTTACTGTCAACAGTATGCAATAACGCGCCTCTGCTTCCGCAACTAGCAACCCACTTAAGTAAGATCATCTGCTCAAGTGGTCTCTCAGGGTCTACTGGTCTCCTTCCACAGACCACCTCAAGAATGAAAGATCCAAAGGCATAGACATCGGTTTTTGTTGTGGCCACTCCCATTGCTGTAAGCTCTGGTGCCATGTAGCCAATGGTTCCTACCACACGTGTGGCTTCAAGATTCTCGCCACGATCATGGAATCTTGCAAGCCCAAAATCTCCCAACCTTCCATTTAGATCAGCATCTAGAAGAATGTTGCTAGCTTTGATATCTCTGTGTAGTACAACTTGTTCCCACTCTTCATGAAGATACAGAAGTGCAGATGCTACTCCCTTGATTATGTTCAATCTCTGTGACCAAGTGAGGTCTTTTAGCTTGTTTTTATTGAACAAGTAGTCGTCAAGGCTTCCATTTGGCATGTAGTCATAGACCAAAAGCAATTCACCTTTCCTTCTGCAGTAACCAAGAAGCTGCACCAAGTTCTTGTGCCTTAGCCTTCCCATACTAGCGATCTCTGCCACATACTGTTTCATTCCTTGCTCTGCATCATGGTAGACTCTCTTAACAGCAATCTGAACACCAGAAGGAAGTTCTCCTTTATATACTTTTCCAAAACCTCCTGCGCCAAGTAGCTGATTCTCCCTGAAACCCTTGGTTGCTTTGTAGAGGTTCTTAAAGGAATACCTTTGTGGGATATATTCTTGTTCCCATTGTTCAAGCACCTCTGCGTACTTCCTTCTCTTGTATAGATACAAAATTCCTCCCAGCATCAACAGAAATGCAACTGACGGTATAGTAGTACCTAGAATTAGACTTAACTTATTAGTGTCTCCAGACTCTGCTACTGGCGAAGGTGGTGGTGGTGGTGGAGAGGATGGTGGTGTAGGTCGATCAGGGGGATCAGAAATCCTTGACAAGTCAAGGCTCTCTGCTTTTCCACCTTTCTTGAAACTCCATCCAAGGATATACTGGTCACTTTTGACTGAGCCTGTGGAACCAGAGAAGCCTACAAACATCGTCTCATTGAAAATTTCTGAGATATTGATGGATCTTGACAAGAGAGGCACACTTGGTTTGATGGATCTTGACAAGAGACGTGAAACTGGCTTTGGAGTTGGTACTGGAGCTAACGTTACATTTAGTAGTTGCTCTACTCCATCATAATCTATCCACATCAGAATACTTTTTTCACTAGCAAGCAGCAGGGTTTTGTTCTTCTTCTCTGTATCATTAAAGTAACTAGCATCGGCATGTTCTACCGAGACTATACTATTAATATTAATCGCCACATGGTTTGCGCTTTTGTCAGCTTGTTCAGAGCTGTCATTAGTGTCAAGCTCTACAGCCAGGATATGGTTTTCAGTTTTGTTATCATTTGTTCTGTTGAAAAGTCCTAAATATGAAGTTGCGGAGTTGTTCATCATAAGGTCTGTGGTAGGAGCTACCACAAAAGCCATACCTTGACCGTAGCGAGGGGGGCTTTGCAGTGGAAAGATTGCAAAGACAAATTCTGTTGAAAATGAATTTGAACTCGAAGACGACCCTGTGAACTTCATGGGACCTTTGTGGAAAGCATGACCTGTGCTCTTTGCTGTATCATTTGTAAGATGCAATGGACCATCGTTTGTATTTGCCATTCCATCAAGATGCAGGCCTGCTTCCCTGAAGTCATAGTGCACGAATTGATCCCCATCTTGAGCTAACACCAAATACATGACATGGATAGAAATTATTATCCAGAAACCTGTTGATCCTACAACTCTAGCCATCTAGAACAACAAAATCTTCTCTCCCACCTTGACTTGTGAATCTCAGATTCTCTTTTCCATAAAATTTTTGTTTTTCTAACTGCAGAAAGCTCAGAGTTGACCTTTACATGGAAGACACTATCAAAGAAAACTAAGACAAGTTCTTGGAATTAGTTATAAGTCACTGCCTATGTCATCATTTTGATGTTTTCTTACAGTTGTGTGTTAATTATTTTGGTAGTCTTATCTTCAGGACAAGTTATGGGTACAATGCTCAATGCTTTTGTTGTTCAACATATTTTTGATGTTGCTTTCTAGCTAGCTTATGGTATACACGAGACAGAAAGTTTCAGCTGTGACCTCATTTGTATTGACCTGAATGAGTTTTACCATGTCTGTGACAACAAGCGTTGTTAAATTAATGTAAATACTTTTTTACCTAGTCAAGGTCAAATGTTATCAGTTCGGATATTCTATGTGGAACATGGTTATCCTTCATACGTGCACATATCTCTTATTCTCAGGTAAAAAAGAAATGCTTTTAATAAATATGTAGAAAACATATTCTAAATTAAAGAAATGCTAGTTGCATGTAGTTTAAGTTCTTTGACTTGCACAACGATAATGGCACTTTGTAAATTATGTGTATAAATGAGTAATTCGGAATCAGCTTGCTTCCTCTTTTTTCTTTGTTTAAGTTGAAAGAAGTCTCCTGCAGATGACAATGGAGCTCCTCTGACCTATTCTCCTCGGCAATTACCTCTCTGGGACACATCGGATAAGATATTAAGACTTGGCACAAAAAAGCATAGATTTTCAACGGAGATGTTGTAAAGAATTGAGCATTGTCGACATTGAGAAGTGATCGCTGTTTGCCATAATTGTACGTTGATTCTTCAGAAAGAAATTTTTGAGATTTGTGGAATAATTATCGAAATCCTAATATTTTTTAAAAATATCTTCTTGACTCCGTTTTTCTTCATATTTAACCCCTCAAAACGTGTACAATAGTTTCCAAGAGCTAATAAGGTACTAAGGATCAAACTTACCCCTTCAAATCATCTTCCAGCACATACGAAGTATGCATTCGTTTATTCTGTTCGCTTTGATTGAGTTATTTTTTGATTTTGCGTTTTCCGAGTTTTTGAAAACAAATCCCGTTTAACAATTCGGTTTGGAGTTTCTTCGGTTTAAGGAAAAAATTTATAACAAAATAAATACTATACTTTTTAATTAATATGGTAGATTTTTAGGATATTTAAATATAGTTTTTCGTATTTAAGAACATTCTCGCTCAGTCGATGAATTTATTTGGGAAGACACTGATTGATTGATTGTCTGGTCAATGGCTACGATGAGAGAGCAGTAAGGGCGATCGAAAGTAGTGGCTGAAACAAGAGAGTGAGGATTAATTAGGGTTATTACTTGAAAAAGAAGCAATTACTTTTAGGGCTATATTCTTCCCCTTGCATATATTCCGTTCTGTTCTTTTATATCTTCAGACAAATATAATTTTAATGTATATATTGTTAACTAATGCCGGATATTAGTAACAGAGACGTTTACCAAAAAGATGAAAAAAAAAACAGTTTATAGAGGAGTAATGAGAAGCAAAGACTTTGATTTTTTTTTTTCCTTTATCAATTTTCGATGATTGCTTCTTTTATTCGATAGAGGTTTCAATAAATCTCGAATTTTATAGTAATATTGGTAAACAGAACTGCAAAATAGAGACATCCATTACTGATTTGAAAAAAGAATTTCGAAGCAGACAGTCTCCTTCCAATTATGACGGCACAGTTAGCTTCTGTTCCAAGCAACTAATCAAAGTCTACAAACCCTTTGGTAGCTTGCTCAACATATTCTTACTCCTTGTTTGAGGGTAAATAAAGTTCAGAACATTTTCTTCCAGGACCACAGTAAAAAAAAAAAAAGGGGTATTATTCTCGCAATCATGGTGTTACCGAGAGCAAAAAAGGAAAAAAAAAAAATAAAGGAAGAAGAACTCAAACGCATATGAGAAAACTGATTAGGCAATAATTTGATAATAACAAAAAATGAGTACATTATTGCCAGAGCTATTAAAGACAACTTTTAACTACGATAATAATTATTGAGAAGGATTAATGAAAAAGATCATTCGTCAATAGGACTCGTGTTTCTTTCTTCGAATATTCTTCTGTTTCCCTATAGAAGATTAGGAAGAAGTGGATCATTATTCATCCACGCCTTCATAGTGGAAACTTCGTCTGGTATCGGACCCGAGAACGCAGCCGAAAAATCTTCTAATTCCATGAGACCTTCAATCCAGTCTTCTTCTTCTACTTCCTGCATCCATCACCTTCATGTTTCCTTCTTCACTCGGCCCATGAAGATCGTCCTTCTTCTTCTTGGACTTGTCTATCTTGTGAATCTTGCACAAGACCAGTTCTTGAAACTTGTCATCTTCTTCGGGAAGCATGTACTCTGTCATAATCCAGCTGCTGTCGCTGCCTGGAGCAATAGCACAAGAACTACCTTCTCTTGTCTTTTGCTACTTCTTAGTTTTCTTGCTTTTAGTAAAAGTTAGGGTTTTCTTTGTCCCAATGATCTTCGTTGTTTCTTTGTCGATGATATCATCTGTCGTGTTTGGCTTCCAACTCCCACAGCCATCGTTGTCTCCGCCGGTGATCCTCCGCTTCGAGTTCTTACCACGACCTAACTTCTTCTCCGAGATTTGAGTTCTTGTCGTGAAGTAGTACCACTCGTCCTCCATGAAAAAAGAATAATCGGTATGGTCGAGCAACCAAGGCTCCTTGGCGTAAACGTCTTTGTCCAATATGAAGTCGTTCTTACTCGTTTCACCTCTCAACTTGCGAGCTAGATAATAGTCTATGATTTCTTTGTCACTCGGATCGAAGAAAATCCCTCCGTCTTCTTTGCAGTAACTTGAGATCATGTCGTTCTGAATTTAGGGTTGATAACGTTGATTCTATTACGTACGTTAATCCTATGGAATTTGAAACTGTGGAGAATGAGTATGAGTGTTGAGATCTGTGGAGCAATGATGCGTATTTATAGGGTTTTCGAATTCCTAGTTATAACACAATTTAGATTAATACTTTTTCGAAAAAGGAAATTTATCTGACGGTTTTGGTGGGTTTTCCTTTTTCGTTTTCAATCATATACCGAAGTTTCCTTATTCCGATTATTTTTTTCTTGTAACAATTTATTTAAATTTTATATTAATTAAAAGCATGCAATTTATTTCCGGCATTTTCAATTTCTCTGCTAGAGGTTTTATATTTTTGGTTTTTTCTCACCATTAGTCTCATTGATTCTTCACCATTCTGAATATTATTTCGGCGCTAAACCCAGTCAACAAGTTTTCAACTTTTGGGCTTCTAAGATTTATCAAAGCCCATAATTTTTTTAAGTCGGTTCTTTCTCTTTTCTTTTTTTCCTTTGCGATGCGTGATTATCGTGACCTATATAGGGCAGAAATCTTAACATATTTGTCTGAGTTTCGACGAAACCCGAAGTGTTTTTTTTGGAATGTATTTACGTCAATATCCGATCTTCCAGGGGATTTAGTAGGGGAGTACTCTCCAAAGTTCTATCAACATCTCTGGGGGCAGTACGATTGACTTGCAAAAAGCCAAACAGTGGAACGCTTTAATTATCTAAATATCGTCATCTTGTTAAAAGTTTCAGTTACATTTTTAACCATAATTAGTACGCTCATTATAAAGGCTTACAGCAAATTAAACAGAAACAAGAACTCTAGAACAATGGTGGGTGCTTATACAGCTATAAGGCTAATTAAAGTAGAAAAGTAGAATTTATATGCTTACTTGACAATTGTAATAAAATGTGGTGAAGTTATTCAGATAAATACTCGCACATTACGTTAGGTAAAAATTGGTGCAAATTGTTGAACAAAAGCATGCGTAGATGCATAATGCAAAATATGTAAACTAGGTTAGCAAATTACAGCAGCACCTTGTCATCAAGCATTTGATTAGCTGAAAATATATATGTTGATCTGTTCTTCTTCAGGTCAGCATATCTTGAAAGAAAAATTAAACTAAACCACAAATTCGTTATAATCTCAAGTTAGAAAGTCAATTTCTTCCGGTTTTTCACATAAAGTGTATATGCCAATATTAGCACATGCGAACAAGTTTAAAGCAGCTTGACCTGAATGTCATCAATCAATATATCGGTCAGACGGCCACACACCAATAGTCATAAAACATTAAAAAAAAAGTGTATTAAAAATGTAAAACATCATTTAAATGAAACTATTATTTTTTAGGTTAAAACATTCTCATTTTATTAAAAACGGACGGAGTAGTAGTTTATGATTAGTTTTAGTTATTCAGCTTCACAATACTACTACCTAGTCCCTACAATAAATAATGCCAAATTATCTTCTTCTTTTTGTGTGTCAAAAGATTGAAAACTGATAATTATTATAGCCCCTTTATTATATTGGCCGAATGGACTTTCTGCGACAAGCTTAAGTGATCCTTTGGACATTTAAGATATGGTATCTTTTCCTTTTCAATGCGCTTTTTTACTCATCTCACTTTAAATGTTGAGTGGGAGAAATAAAAGGTGCAAGTTACATAATTTAGAGAGGACTGTAATTAACTTATACATAGATATTTCAAAGATGAAATCTATTGAAATTTTTTTATAAAAAAAAATTCCATTGAATGTTATATAGTTAATACTCCCTCGTGAACCACACTTGACATTCCTTTCTAGCTTAAGTTGGTGTTTATTTTCTCTAATGAAATTTTGGTAGTTCGCAATATGAATCAATTGCTTAATAGTATACGTTGCGTGTTTTTTATAGTAGGATTATACGTACTACATGATCTTAGATATTTGGCTATATATCTCAGTTTTTATGTGAAGTTCTTTATCTATTTCCCTTTTTAAAAAAACCACTTCTCACCTTTTTTCTGTGGTTGGTGAGTTAGATTTAATGAGATCTCTACTTTTTCGTTCATAAATTTTTTTTTCATACGTGTTTTGAGATTTTTATTTTAAATCAGCAGGTTTTGGTTGAATTGCTTCTAAACATTCTAATATTTTTTCCACCCCTTTCCATAGAAAATGATGGTTTCTCTGAGATTCTGTTTGGTGGTTATTGTTGTTGTTGTTCCTTCTTTAAATTTAGTAGTGGATTCTGCTACTATTTTAATAATTACGAATAGTTTGTTACCATTAAACCAATATGTAATTAATGGAGTTAACTCATTACTGTATTAAATATGATTCGCAACATTTAAAAAAAATTAGGAATAAGGCAGTAAGACATGTAGAAAACGAATTCGTAAAGGAATGGATCTCTCGCATCAACGATAAAAGAAGACTCACACATCAACTATAATCGTATCACACCCCTAACTGGCTAAGACATTAACTTGAATCTCCTTTCTCGAGCACACCACCTAAAAGAAAAAGCGATTCCTCTTTTGTCCCTTTTTTATTTTATTTTTATGTTTTTATTTATCTCCATCTTACCTTTCATTCATCTTTTGTTAGTTGCTTTGGTTTGCTTATGATGAATATACACTAATAAAAATAAAGGACTTTCTTCTTCCTTTATGGTGTCCCCACGAATGGTGATTTCATCTTGTTCATCAGGAAATGAATTATTCTTATTCCTGATCGCAAATTTTCACCAGGAAAAGAAAGGGTTTATGACAGTCTATCTAAATATGACGGACCGAAATCGAATATTTGATTAAAATTATCAACTAATTGGAGGCATGCACGTCTTCATGTCGTGAAACGTAAACCAGATTTTCGCAGGAAATTTTTGTTTTTAAAAAACGAGACATGAAACTCTCCATGGTATATGTATGATACACCGTACTATATTAGTATTATACTCACCTCCATTGCTAATAACGAACAATAAATATTCCACGAAATGTGGTTAGAATTAGGACCTAGTTAGAATACAGTAGTAATTAATATACAAATTAATACTACTACTACTACCACTACATTACATTACAAAAACGATCATTATAAAGCTTTCTTGGAAACTACAGCCTCTGATCTTGAGCTGCGTCAGTGGACCCATTTTAATATATGAAAATTAATCCCACGATCGTCCCACCAACAGAGGACTTTATATTAATCTATACAAACACAAATATCATATAGTTTTCTTTACCAAACAACATTAGGGTAAAAGAAAATTGACCACACGATTGCATTTATTTTTGGTGCAGCTCGTGTCTAAGATATATCTAGAACCAGATTATAATACTTTCCCTTTTTTAAAGAACTAGTATTTTTCTATAGCTATCAGTCAAGTTTAATGTACATATAATCCGATTAGGAAAGTCTCACAAAAAATCTTCGAGCTTCGATAGACATAGTTTAGTTTTATTAAATAAATAACATCATGCGGCATTACGAGTCCAAACTGTCCACTTATGTAATGTAAGCATCTTTTAAATAAGGAATTAATAAAAATAAAAATAAAAATAAATAAGGAAATAAATATAGAACTAAGAAGTGATCTATCTCAAATATCATATCCACAAAATAGTCTCGACGTGATTTTCCCTATTCTGAAACCTGTAAGCTTTTAGTAAGTATTTTTCGAATTATTTAAACAAGAAAATAAGAAAAACAAATGTGATTATCAAACAAAATGCAACCTAAAAGCAATAATTATAAAAAAAAAAACCTAAAGGCCGTAAAAATAAAGCAGAAAAATCTGATGTGAATCATGTGATTATTTTTTTCTGATGTGAATCATGTGATTCAATCATGTCTTACAATTATAATTGTCATTATTTGTTAGTCGCAGTGAAGAGTGAACTATTTTTATAGTTTTAACTTATGTGTTTAAATTAAATAATAAAATACTATATCTATAAATTCTGTAATTGTTTATGTTTAAGAAAAGTGGAATGTATTTTGAGTTTTTGTCAGTTTTTGGTAATCTTTTGCTAATACGCACACGTCAACATGTGCACATATTACATGTGGGACCACCTGGCATGAACCATTCCCGCGCCTTCCTTGATGGCGATATGATCTGGACCGCATGATTTACCCTTTCATTCATTCTACACCGTTGGATCATCTTCTTTCCAAGTTACTCTCTCTCTAGCTTTTATGGGATCATTTCTCTGTTTTCGGATCTTTCACTTTGCTGATTCACTCTAGTCTTCTTCAAGTGACTCTCTTCTTCGTTTTCTCCTCCACCGACTATCGTCGATTCCGCATCTTTCTCTCTTTCGGTGTTTGAGGTAATTTCGCTGTTTCTTTTCACAATTTCTTGGTTTAACTATTGAATTTTCTAGGGAAATTTTCGTCACTTGGATTTGCTGGAAACGTTGCCGTTTTGCTGAGCGGAGAAATCACTCTATGCTATGTTAAGAAGCACATTTTTTCTAGGTTTATGCTTTCGTTTAAGCGTAAAACCTAGGAAATTTCTGTTTCGATTTCGATTTCCAAATCGAACACTGACCAATTTTTGTTTTGTTGATTTCGAGAACTATTTCTTAGCAATTCGTGTATACGTTGTCGTCTCTTTCTTCTCCGAGCTTACGATTTTGGTTGACTCAATATTTGATTTGATTTCCCCAATTTTTTTGGATCCGTCAAAATTTGAATCGAATCTGAATTTCTTTTTTGTCGTTTCGTAGTGTTTGCGATAGTTACTCATAAATGCAAGGACGAATCATTCAGCTGTTTCGTCGGGGAAATGGGTCCATCTGTTAGATGTGTATTTTTAGCATTATCTCAAGATCTTTGATAAAATCATTATCACCCTGCATTTTTTTCTGCGTCCACGAGGACCACTTTTTTTGTACCTTTTCTTGCATTTTCTTTGTATTTTTCTCTTTCTGATGCCGTGAGCTTTCGGGAGAAGACCTATCAGAAATGCGTTCATTGTACTTTCTGCTACGCTTGAGTTGATGTGACTGATTTTGGTTTTTTGTTCAATTTTTTTTGATCCAGGAAGTCATCAAGCTATGTTCGTTTTAAGTAGGATCTGATGTGGTAGATTCTAAAGATTCTAATGGAGAAGAGTTTTACATCTTCTAAGCCTTTGCAAACTCGAGTAAAACAATGTATGGAGGCTCGGGGTGGCGATGAGCCTGAGCTTGTCAAGTATATGTCGAAGCTACCAATTTTCTTGGAGAGAGCTGAAACCCCTCAGGAAAATCTCTTGAGCGTTGGTGTTCTTGATTGGGGCCGTTTGGAGAAGTGGCAGCATAGTCATAATAACCGGATTCCAGTGAAGACTAGATTCCCTTCGGTTTCCCAAGCAGATGCTTCTTTGGTTCTGCCTAGAGATGAGTCATCTGCTGGTCCGAGCAAGGTGGTTCATGACCGTACTTCGGCTTGTCGAATGAATCATCGTAGCTCACGGCATCCTAAGTTTGTTGAAGAAACTGTCAAGGAGTATCGAGAAATCAAAGGTACACGGAAAAAGAAACTTAAAGACCATAGATGTTACAGCTCACTAGAGAAGCTTGGTCCAACCACCGACGCACAGGGATCAGATGGATATGAGAAGATGGACCGGAAAGGGAAGACTGGCGGAAACATGGAGGTAAAATCTAAGGGTGATGGTAATAGACGTAAGAAGAGTGAAAAGAAGTTAAGAGAAAGAAACCGAAATGATGATGATGGAGAACTTGGTCGGAAGCAGCAGGGGGAAATCAAGCTCTGTCACTCGGCAAAGAAGTTAGCTCGAGAAGAGGCTAAGACATGCAAGAGGAGTTCCTCTAAATATATCAGAATAGTTCATGATGTTAAAGTAGATTACTGTACTCAACATGCTTGCCCCTTGCCATGTAAAGCTGATGGCTGCTTGGCAAAGAATATAATTGGCTCCACTGATGCGGACCCGAACAAGGTTTCAGTTGAAACATCTCAGGGCGTGACACTCTCAACAAAAGCTAGGAATACATCTTCCAGAGGTAAAATCACAGAAGACAGAGCATCGTCTTTGTTATCTGTGAAACATTGTATGGATGCGCCTGCCCAGAGACCAAATTCAAAGCCAAGTATTTCACCTTTTCAGCGGCTTAGCTTTAGTATGGGTAAGACCAGCAAAACTAACAGTGAAGGAGTTGCTGGTTCCACGACCCAGCTAGACTCAATGGCTAACTCTACAAAGACCGGTTCACAAAACTTGGCTCTTTCATCTGGCTTTGACGGCTTAGATTGCAACAAACCCCGCGAAAAAGATACAACTACGACAAGCCATTTGAGAAGGTTGCTAGAACCTCTACTGAAACCAAGAGCAACTCACTCTGGCAATTCCGTGGAGGGGCCTAGAGGTCAAGGCGTTCAAAGAATAAAATTGGGTATCACAGGTTGCAAAACAGTAAATGTCAATGATTCAGCTCATGAGAAGAAGCTAGGATCATCCATGATTCGAGCTGCTCTGCGGGTAACAGTTAAGAACAATCAGCCACTCTTTACATTTGCAGTGAACAAAGAAACCGACATTCTTGCAGCCTCCCAAAAGAAAATGGGAAGCTCGGATGAGGGTGAATGTACTTGTGTTTATACTTTCTTCTCTATAAAAGACCATAAAAGAAACAGTGCATGGTTAAACCAAAGAGGTAGAGGCCAAACACATGGTATCATCTCTAATGTTGTTGCTCAGATGCGGGTATCGAGCTCTTTGCCATCTGGTTCCATCAGAGAGTTTGTTCTCTTTTCTGTTGAACTTGATCAAGAGAGCACAGAAAAGTCTGATCTGCAGTTGAAAAACGAGCTAGCTGCGATCATCGTGAAGATGCCTAGATGGTATAACAGGAGGGCATCACTAAAGACGGTTCAGGATCACAATGCACTCAATAAAGAGCTTGAAGATCACATCAAAGACAGGGTTTTTGACCAAGATATTAGTGCTACGGTCATACTTCAAAGCGGTGTTCATAGTATGCCTCATAAAGGAGGTCCCTCGTCTTTGATCCAGCGATGGAGAACAGGTGGGTCTTGCGACTGTGGAGGTTGGGATATGGGCTGCAATCTCAGAATTCTTACAAATCAGCACAACTTCTCCTGCAAGAATTCAACAACATCAAACTCACCACCCTCTTCAAACCGATTCGAGCTTTTCTTTCTGGTACAGATTCTCTACTTAGTCATAAACTCCTAAAATCACCCTTAAATAGAATCAGATCCCTATTAATCTCTCCTACGTGATCACCTTTCTTCCCTTTTCTCTAAACCTCCGTTTGCTGATCTCTATGAGTTTCATCATTGCTTTACTACATTTTTTCAGGGAGAACAAGCGGAAGAACATCCATTCTTGAGCTTTAAACCAATAAAGGAAGGGATATATTCAGTTGTGTATGACTCATCTCTTTCACAACTACAAGCTTTCTCCATATGTATGGCACTTGCAGAGAGTAGGAAAATCTCAGAGATTGCCATGGAGCACAAAAGCTCTTGTGATGAACATAAAGCTAGAACGGAAACAGTGTTAGTCCAGGACCAAGATTTAAAGCCTAGTGACAACACCGTTGGGTATCAACGGCCCATCTCGCCTGTCGGGTGGGTCTGAAGTTTTTATTTTTACTTCAAACCCAATTTTTACTTACAGGTATCAGGTATGTGGTCATATTATTAGTGATTTAGTGTTAAGCCTAAGGTAGCAGGAAATAAAAACGCAGCAATATCTCTTTAAAGTAGTTAGTCTAATCAATGGTGTATTCAGGAAAGAAATGATCTTCTCAACTCCTAAGTGTGAATATTGTTATTTTATCATATCTCCATATCTAATGTTGGTCTGCTTTCAAGCTGTGAAGATCTTTGGTTTTTGAAACTTACAAAAGCCTGAATCTGAAAAGTTTAAAGGGCTTTTCCTTTTGGTGATTTTGCCATGTGATTCATTGTCATGATGAATATCTTTCTTTTGAGGCAGCTAAATCGGAATTGGATTCATCAAGAACAAATGTTTTTGAACCTGACCTACTGATCAGACAAGTTCGATTATTTTTAAAAACACTCCACGTAAAAACTGTAGACAAATAGACAAAGTCTTAGTTTTGCATAAATTTTAGTTTTGATTAGTTCATCTTTTTGACTTTAGTCTTTCAAAGTCATAAAGATTCTTAGTTCCCCTTATAAGAAAACAATAAAAATGTTCCCATCGTTCACGTGAAGCTGTTGTGTTTTTGTTACAAAGACAGTGAGAAACAGAGTGGATTTTATAGCTTTATGCACTTTGAACTCACAACAAGCAACATGGTAGACCCATCAATATCCAATTTGCCATATGCCAAAAAAAGAGAGGCTATAATTCACATAATTGAGAAGATTATCCGATATTTCACAAAATGATATGTTCTTTGTCTAAATGATTATTTGGATGTTCATTTGATTACAAAAGTATTGATCAAAGTTAGCATTTGTTAACAAATAATGCTACATAAATGTCTTTATAGATCTATTCATTTTTTTTACTAGAATTTATGTTTATGATATAAGAAAATAAAAACAATAATATGTAGTAGAATTGATGATCAATATTTGTGAAAATGATAGTTCTGATAGTTTTGTTCTAAAGTGTTATCGTTATATATTTGTACCATTATTATTGTGTCAAGTTATTCACTTGGCCAGCTTGTTACATTGTATTTTTAGAATAGTTTTTACATAGAGATCCAGAAATCCTACAAACCCCATCATTACATATATTTGCATATTCACGATATATATATATATATATATATGTGCTTATAAAGATCTTGCAGATGTTTTATTTTATTTATTTGTTCTAAACAAGATCACTGGATTATTCATTGTCGTAATCACACTATAATCCATTTCTACGTGGCTGCAAGATTACTGTATTTTTTTTAAGAATCTGTTTTCCGAATTTTTTTAATTAAATAGTACAGATGAGAAGAGCCTGATTTCCATTTATAAAAAAAAAATTGCGGGGGTATATCTAGTCTCGATAGTTTGACCAAATCACTCAAGAGAACTCCTAAAATGGGTTTCTTAATTTCAATAGGTCGTGAGAAGAATACATAAGTTAGACCAAGAAATCGCTAATTCGCTATAGTACAAATTATTTCGTTTTACTAAAAGTCCCTTTTGAACTCTAGGTTTTGCTACGTATATATAATGTAATAATCCTGTTATTGGCTTGTATTTTTTCTTGAGCCAAGAGTCGAAGCGAGTTTTTAACACATGCAATGCAACTCTCAAAAATAAGACTCCATTGTTTAGAAGAATCTCATTATCTTCCATTATATTTTGCTTATAGTGGTCCTGACTTGGTCACTTAAGAGCATCTTAGTTTAGGCTAAAATGTGTCCCCCAAAGGACAACAAACATCTCCTTGGCACACGCGTGAAGTCATCTTCTATTACTACTATACTTTCTTTACCATATTTATCACTAAGATCCTATTTGTCTCCACCAACCAACATTAATTGTTCTTATTAATAAAGAATTATTTAAACAAACAAAAGTTGGGTTCCATATGTATACATGTATAGGGAAAATGGGCTATGCGGTGTATATAATACATATATGATGAATGATGATGATTGGTAGTATATGTCATTAGAAAAGCTTTTGACTTGCATATAAAATGTTTCATGGACCTCTTTCGTTTTGTTGGGTCACACCAGTGGTCATTTTAGCTGGAAAGTTCTTTGCTTGTGGGTTCATATATTATGAACGACTACAAAAGTGAAACTGTAACATTGTTTTATCAAATAAAAAATATAGTTTGTTGATCAATGCCTGTAATTTAAACTGTTAGTGTGTAGAAGTACACATAATTGATTAATCACGAACCATATATTTTGTTTTCAGAGTGAATATATTACAGTATAACATTAAATAAAAATTGTAAAGCTTAGGATACTCCAAAGAAATAAGCTTTAAATTGTATAAATCAAGATGTTTAGGCTACTCCAAAGATTAATTACCCATTCAACTGACTGAAAACCTTTGACAATATGAGTTAGATTGTGTTAAGGCAAAACTCGATTAGATATATTCGATAGTAAAATGGAATATATCACTTAAATGCAACTTCGCCTAAACTAGTACTACCACTGCCACTTAATAGTTAATATTCACACCCACACGCATGCACACATGGCTTTGACTTTGACCAATCAGTTTCCGATTTTGTCCTTGATTTTATTAGTTTTACGTTATTATAGGGAGGGGTTTTCCATGAGAAAACCTTTCATTAAAAGATAAATACGGCTAGCAACCTCTCAACTATATTTATAATGTCGAAACCTTTCAACTAAATTTCCTAAATGATTTAACCTCTTTGTCAACAGTGTTATTAAATCTAAACAAGTTACTTTTAAATCAAATTATATGACTAAAAAATATTTAAATCAAAATATATACGACTAAAAAATTTAAGGGAAAAATCAATGTATCTCAAGTTATAAAACTATGCATATATTTTCTTTTTCAAGGTGAACCAAATGCATGATGAATATATTTACAGTAAACACATCATTCGTTAAAGGCTTTTGTGCTTTTGTGGTTTAATACATATTTTCTTTAGTCAGAGTAATTACGTTGTAAAATATATTTAAATCTCTATTGTCAATCTATAGTTTTGAAAAGTGAGATGATTTATCTAAATATCAGTAATATAAAACCAATGGAACATATTACTGTTTTTAGCGGTATCAGAATGTAGTTCAAAAATTCAGTTCAAATCTAGTTTGTAAAATAAATATCCCACATTTAGAAAAGGCGTTTTGAAAAAGTGAAAAAAAAGAGAGAAAATGTTTAGATATTTTCTGAAAAACCAAAGTAAAAAAGAGGAGACAAGAGTGAGAGAGAGAAACATTGGATCCACAAGTAAAACATTTATTATTTTTCAAGTTTGGTTTTTAATGAGAGTAAATGAAAGGCTTAATAATATATTCTGCTTTTCTTCACCAGTGTCTTCTCCACTACGTGCGCTATATAAATTTTCTCCCTCATTTTTTCGCAGATTCCTTTCTCCTCGAGATAAAAAAAGAAACAAAAAAAAACAAAAACTCTTTTCTTTTCCTCTCCCGACTTCTCTTAACCTCTCAGAAAGTGACTCAGACTCAGGAAAAAAAGGGTTTTTGCTTTTCGGGTTTAGCGAAGAAATCTTTCCATCTTCCTTAAATCTTTGATCGAAGCTTTGAAACCCAAATGGGACCTCGCTGCTCTAAGCTATCTCTCTGTTGGTGGCCAACTCATCTGAAATCAACTCCCAACGACGCTTCTGATCTAGGTACATAAACTTATAAAGTCTTTAGCTTTCCGCCATTTTCATTCTCTCTGCTTAAAAAGTTGAGGTTTTTCTCTTTCCCCGACAGAAAACGGAACGGACGATTTGCGGACGTTTACGGAGTTTAGCTTCGACCAACTACGAGCTGCTACTTCAGGATTCTCAACGGACAGCATCGTCTCCGAACACGGCGTTAAAGCTCCTAATGTCGTGTATAAAGGCAGACTTGAAGATGATCGATGGATCGCTGTTAAGCGCTTCAACAGATCCGCTTGGCCCGATACTCGTCAATTTCTTGTACGAACTCTGAATAAATTTCATTCCTTTCCTATATTTCCATTGATGGGTCTATCATTCACAGTTCGAAATCGAATTTGAAAGCTCTGCATTTGGTGAAGATACTGGTTTTTGGGTTGTATTTTTTTATCGGAGCTTTGTTGTTTACTGTTCCATTTGATTGATCTTTAGGAGGAAGCAAAAGCTGTGGGGCAGTTGAGGAATGAGAGGTTGGCTAACTTGATTGGATTCTGTTGTGAAGGAGATGAGAGATTGCTCGTTGCCGAGTTTATGCCTTATGAAACTCTCTCTAAGCATCTCTTCCACTGTAAGTCTTTTCACCATCTCCAAGAGACGAGCAACAGTTTTATTTGTTTGGTTTGATTCTCTTTGTCTTGTCTCCATGCCTCTGAGTTCGAACACACTGTTTAGGAGATTTAATTGGAAATTTCTGTTTTTGGTTCTAGCTTTTTTGGTAGAAGACTGAAAATTAGATCTTTAAATGCTCGTATTTTATATCTGATGAAAGAATCATCTTTCGTTACTATTGGTATGAGACTTCCAATTTTGACAAAAAGTTTTAATTAATAATGCAGGGGATAGCCAGCCAATGAAGTGGGCAATGAGAGTGAGAGTGGCTTTGTATCTTGCACACGCACTCGAGTATTGCAGCAGTAAAGGCCGCGCCTTGTACCATGATCTCAATGCTTACAGAATATTATTTGACCAGGTCCATCTCGAGCTTGCTATCTTCTCTAATATCTCTTTCTTATTGTGGATTACATTCATGTTTCTCTTAACCTATGGGATGCTAATGAAGAATTGTGGGGTTTTCATGTAAGTTGCGGTTAAAGGGATTCTGATAATGTCTTATTATCTGGGTTACAGGATGGTAACCCGAGATTATCTTGCTTCGGTCTTATGAAGAATAGTAGAGATGGGAAGAGTTACAGTACAAATTTGGCTTTTACACCTCCTGAGTACCTAAGAACAGGTCAGTTGCTGAATATGAGATGCAGTGGCGTCAAGTTATGTGTTTGTTGATTGACAAAGTTATCATATTGATCTTATGAATCGATGTGTGTTTATTAAATTCTCTTACAGGGAGAGTGATTCCGGAGAGTGTGGTTTACAGCTTCGGAACGCTGGTTCTAGATCTTCTCAGCGGCAAACACATACCACCAAGTCATGTAAGTGCACATTCACAAGCACCTAAACATACTTCAACTTCTCTTAGGAAGAGTTCTTGATCTGTTAGCTTCTTCTCATTAAACCAAAAAAGGTTGATTAAGATTCCGTATGCTTTACCATTGTTCTACAGGCGCTTGATCTGATTCGTGGGAAGAACTACCAGATGCTGATGGACTCTTGTCTTGATGGTCATTTCTCTAACGATGATGGAACCGATTTGGTTCGCTTAGCTTCCCGATGTTTACAGTATGAAGCTCGTGAAAGGCCAAATGTGAAATCTCTCGTGGCCTCACTGGCTCCTCTTCAGAAGGAAACTGACGTATGCTCTCACTATATCACCTTACTTTTACGCATTGACCATTCAAGTCTTGTGACTTCCCTTCTTCTTATCAAATCTTTGTTGTTTTCTTCAGGTCCCATCTTATGTCTTGATGGGGATTCCACACGGAGCTGCTTCTCCAAAGGAAACAACTTCTTTAAGCCCTCTCGGCGACGCTTGTTCAAGACTTGATCTCACCGCTATACATTCAATTCTCGAAAAGGTTGGATACAAAGACGACGAGGGCATAGCGAATGAGGTATGTACATGAACACGAAGCTTCTTCTTCTACATCTTCTATGAGGTCGATGACCTTAAAGTGTTCTTCAATTGAAATCATCTTCTTAAATTGTTTGATGAACTTAACGATCTGATCATTGTTTCATTTGTGATACAGCTTTCGTTCCAAGTGTGGAACGACCAGATTCAGGAGACCTTAAACGCCAAGAAACAAGGAGATGCTGCGTTCAAAGGCAAAGACTTTGTCACTACCATTGAATGTTACACGCAGGTAAGGAATAAAAATTCGGTTACATGAATTTTTTTTTTTCTTAAAGTTGTTTACTTTCCTGAAACCCAGAAACATAATTCCCCGAAAACTCAACTCAAACCGTGTTTCTGTGTTCTTTGATTTCGTTCTGCAGTTCATTGAAGATGGCACAATGGTATCGCCGACGGTTTTTGCAAGGAGATGTTTGTGTTATTTGATGAGCAACAAGCCTCAAGAGGCTCTTGGTGATGCAATGCAGGCGCAAGTTGTGTCTCCTGAGTGGCCAACGGCTTTCTATCTTCAGGCCGCTGCTCTCTTCAGCCTTGGAATGGATAAAGACGCTTGCGAAACCCTAAAAGACGGAACTTCCTTGGAAGCCAAGAAACAGAACAACAGAATCTGAAAACTTCAAGTGTATATGTTTTCTGATTGGATTCTGAAAAAGCCTCATTGTCTTTTGTTTTTTTGTTTTTTTTTTGAAGCATTTGAGCTCAGCTCATGCTAAATTTGTCGTTTCCAATTTGAAGAGATGATTCAAACTTCAAATGTTAAATCAAAAGAATGATCTTTCTCATTTATGCCCAAGTTGCTAGTGATATCTTCTTTGAACATAATTTAACACAACTATCTCCCAGTATTTATCTATTATCAGTCTTCAAAGCCAAAGATGTTTGTGTCTGTAACCAAAAGAGCCAAGGCTCCCTAGATCACACCGAGGTTTCACCAAGCCGGAGTAGAGATGAGTATTATACAAGATGTAAAGCTCACAAGTCACAACAATCTAAAAGCTACCGAGTTTTTACAGCTACAAAACGTGTGAATAATCAAGCAACAGGAGGGATTTTGATTCAGCGATTGCAAGCGGCTCATGAACAGGAGAAGAGCGAGCGCGTGCGTGGCAGGCCAGAGAGAGAGAGAGAGAGAGAAAGATGGAAATCGCTTCACTTGAGGACTTTGAAGTGAAAGAGCCAGGAAACGATGAAGGCGAAGACCATGGCGGCAAGCAAGAAGTTCATGACTCGGCGACCATGCCAGCATCCTTGTGGCTCTGTCTGAATCTGAGCTTGTCCTGCAACTGCTTGTGAATGGGCAGAGACCGTGCTCTCTGGGTTAGACTGTTCGCCAGCCACATTCAGGGCCATTGCGCCGCATATCTCACATGTCCTGCTCAGATTCACAGATAAATACTAATCAGTATAGCCTTTAGAGACTCTCTCTTCATCTTCTTAACACACAAGAAGAAGATCTTACTCTAACCGGTTTCCACTGCCTAAGACAATGCAAAGACGCAAAACAGAAGCTAGACAGAGCAATGGGTATAAAGGTGATTGGTATGCTGCAAGATTCTCAGTGCAGCTACAAAAACAAGCCTTTGAAACTGAATAATTTTTGAAGCAAATCGGAGGCTTTAAAAGAGAGATTTGAGATAATAAAAAATCAATCCAAATGTGTAGGAAAATATGAACCTGAGACACAAGTTGACAACACATGGGAACAAAAACTGAATAATTCAACAAAAAAAAATTGGTGGCCACAGAACTGTAGATTCCAGCTTCAGTAGACAATCTTTCTAATAAGCAATCATATAGATCTCTAGAAATCAGACAAGAAAAAAAAGATTAAAGTACACAAAACAAATAATTTCGTTTTCTCATAAAAAAGATTCATCCTTTAACTATTTTCACAGAATCATCAGAATCCGTAGAATTTTCAAGCAAATAAAAAACAAATAGTAAGTATTCGAGAAAATTTGAGGATACTTACATGTTTCCTTTGATCTTGAACCAAGTTTCAGCACACTTACTGTGAGCTACACCCAAATCACCTTTACAAGAGCAACCCAATTGCAAAGGCAAACCATAATACTCTTCTTCATCATCTTCTCTTGCTTCATCTTCTTCATCTTCTTCTTGGTGTTCATCAGAATCATCTTCTTCTTCATCTTCTTTGTTAGTCTCTAAAGGCAGATGACAGATCCTGCAATCTCTACCTTCTTTCTTCTTCTTCTTCTTCTTCTTCCTCTTTCTCCTCCTCGTCCTCTTCTTCTTACCACAAGAATGTAGTGTCTTCGCCGGCACCGTCACACCGCCGCTCTCTAAATCGACCTCCGACAAGGAATCCAAGTCGGATGATTCGCCGTCGATGCTAATTTCGACGGAGTACGGCGAGTCGCTTGGATTCGCCAAATGGTGATGAGATCCAAAAGCAAAAGAAGGCATTTTTCGCTTGAGGATTAAAGCAAAGAGGACATGGGTTTTACGAGGAAACAAAAGAAAGAAAAAAAATAAGCAACGAAAGAAAAGAAAAAGCTAATTTTGTCTTTGGAGGGTTTATTGCAAATTTTGTTTATATTTTTTTGTATTTTTATTTTTATTTGCAGAGAGAAGAAATGTTGGAGAAAGAGAAAGGAAGTAGCTTTGGACAAAAGAGCAGCTTCTGTTCTGTTCCTTTAATTATTATTTTTTTGTCTAAAACAAAATTTTACTTCTTGTTTTTGTCTCCTTCAAGTTTGGAAGATATTTCAAACCGAGTGCTTTTTAACATTGTTAGATCCCGTGGTACGGATTCATAATTCATGATTCTACATTAAATTTCCACTTAATTTTTTCATACATATTCAGTTGATGAATTAACTTCTCTCTTTTTTTCTTTTTCTTTTTTCCCTGAGTAAGAGTGGAATGGTTTGTTACTTTGTTTTAATATTATTAATTAAAAGTATAACTTCTTTTTTCGCTAAAAACTGAAGTATAGCTTTTAAAGTAGAGACTCTTTAGAGTATAGAATTATCACCAACTTTAGATATATCAAGTGTTCGATTAGTTGTTGATATTGTATTTGTAACTTTTAATTATTACCGTTAGATGGTGAATAACGGGTTTGGAAATTAATATTTGTAACTTCAGATAAATTGAACAAATAAAAAAAATGTTTTGGATTGAGTTTAAGGATGAAGTACAGTTGTACAAACCCACGTTACTTCAAAATCTTTAACTGGACGGAAACAAAAAAAATTTTAGTATTTTTAGTACTTTCCTTGATTTCTTCAATAAGTTACGGTTTTTTTTTCCTTTTTTTCCAAAATTCTTTTGTTAAGCAGTACCTTTCTTCTATGAATTAGATTACTTCTGTTAAAGGTTCGTTCTAATTTATTAGTACATTACTTCCATCAGTTGGACTGTTTAGATTTTAGTTAGAGATTGGTATATAAAATAATATCCTCATAAAATTCTAATTGTGATTTGAAGTTTGTTAGAAAATGTAATAGTGTAGGGTTTTGTTGAAAAGTATATACACAGGAGGTCAATTTGAAATTGTTAAGAAGTCGAGGGGCATTGCTGAAACAAGACATAGAAATCACTGTCAATGTCAGTGGCTGTGTCAGGATGTAACAATGTTGGCTGGGAGGAAACTCACCGTTTCTTTAATAAGTATTGTTCGAAAGAAAATTAAAAGAACACCACATATCACAAATTTTCTTCTTTTTTGTTAAACACAAATCACAATTTAAAAATTTATTTGCTATTATTCAGTACTTGGAGTTAAGAAATGTAAACCGTTTTTTAAATTAACTTATTGTATTCGATTAGATTTAAAGTTACTTATGTTTTTTTTTTTTGTAACTATATAGCATGGCATACACTGAGTAGTTTAAAATCCTCCTGTTTATTTATATCAATTTTCTAGCCTGATTTTTTCAATCATATTTGATTTTACTAGATGATAAATATTTTTGTATAAAAGTAGCTACAAAGTAAAAAACTTTTTATAAAATTAAGTTTCAATATATTAATGGCTACAATATATATAAACATGATTATTGACATTGATGAAAAAAGTATAAACATGTTTGTGAAAATTTCACGAACATGTTCTTTTATAGAGCATAAAAAAAATCTAAGCTACACATTACTCGAAGATAAACTCAAAAGCTATAAATAAACTTACCCTTTTTTTTAAAGTATCATACTTTTCTGTTTAAATCGTATACTTTTATTGAACGCTGGAGACAAAACTATATATGATAGGGCAATTCTCAAATGCAGTTCTCTTGCCACGAAAACGGCTAACCAACAAATGATAGGGCAATTCTCAAATGATATGTGAACCACAGGACATCTCATAGACAAAACAACAAGATCAAGATAATACGATACTCCCTCCGTTACAGAACAAGTTCATACTTAATACTAGCAAAATCCTAGGCTCAGTGATGCAGGCACATTAAAAAATCTTAACTCAAGAAGCGTAAAGTCAACACAGAACCCGAACATGATCGTCCCTGAAGATTATGAGAGGTAGCCACAACAATAGAAGTAACCGATCAGGAAGCTTGGACTTCAGGGGTTGCAGAGTTTGTTGCAGGTGCGGTCTTTGATAGGTTTGGAATATACTTCCAGCAGCGTTTGTGAACTCCACTAATCTTCTTTGGAGCTTCCGCAGCTCGCAAGCCTGCATTTTTAAGAATGTATATGTATGTTAGTCTCATGGAGAAGCTGCATAAAGAAGATTAGTGAGTAGACTAAACGCACCTGTATAGCAAAACAAAACAAAAACCATCTCACAACTCACCAATGCCATTAATACCATCGAGTTTCAGATATTTTTTACTTGATTTTACATGACGAAAAGGTTAGAACTTAAAGTCTTTTTCTTGGAATCATATTTCTTGGAATCAAGTGTTGTATTTTCCTGATAAAGATCTTGAATTTAGAAAAGCCAGATGAAGAACAAAAACTTACCATCTTTGTGAACAATCCCCCAAGCTTTCCCATGCTTACCATCCTGCATTTGAATCCAAAAATCACCCAGATTTAGCTAAAGAAGAAGCCCCAATGATTTGGTGATAAACACATTTTCTCAGCATACGGAACCTAGATGTACAAATCTTCAATCAAACATGAATTGGGTATGTACATAAGTACAAATTTGCAGCTAGCAATCGACCATTTCATGGAAGAGACAAGGAAAGAGAGAGAGAGAGAGAGAACCTTATAGAGATTGATCTTTGTGATTTCATAAGAGATTCCGTTCCAGTGAGCTTTAGCCATATGGTATCCGATTCCCCAGTTGGGTAAGAACTGAGCTACCTCGATTAGGTTCTTCTTCTTCTTTCGTTTAGGCTTAATCGATTCGGAGCTAGGTTTTTCGCTCGACGGAGACGCCGCCGGCGCAGAGAAATTTCTCAGGAGATTGAACGAGAGTCTTAAACCACCGAGGGTTTCGGTTCTAGAGACTGCTCTCTTCACAAGGCTCGCCGCCATTTTCTCTCTCTCTTTGTTCCGTCACTGTTGAATTTCTGGCCGATCGGCGACTGAGGTTTTAGGAGAAGGAGAGAAGAACTAGATGTTTTGGTTTATTCACAAACAGAGCCAATAATATTTTATAAAATTACAATCCCACCCCATTACTTCTGCAATTTGCCAAATAAGTACAAGACAAGACAAACCATTCAGCAATGTGTTATTGATAAGGCAGCCACAAAAATTCATACAGCACAAACTCCAATTCCGGTAAAAATCTTGTATGTGAGAGAAACGTGGAAGATGCTCAATAATACTAACATGTGAATGCTAATAAACAGTATATATATAACATGTATGTGTTACGATCAAAGCATACCAAAAGCATGAAGTAGGTCATAATATAATGCAATGCAATTGGAAATAATATGAAGGAAATCCCAGTTTTACTCGATAATGACAACATTTAAGTATTTAAAAAAACTACCAAACTACAAGAAAAGTTTATTATAACTTAACTGCATGAACTCTGATAAGATATGAGTTGCTAGAGAATGTTCAGCAACAGTCTTTAGCGTCAAATGATTTGAGTTTGGCTTTCTGAAGGAATTGAGTACTCAAATTTAAAATGCATAATGAAATAATTTCTCTCTCTCTATCCTGAACTTCTAAATCTGATTTCTTCATTTTTGTTTGGATTGCCAAATGGAGAAGAATCCGCAGGGGTTCTAACAAAAAAAAAGAAAAACAAAAGCATGTCAACTTAGAAGTTAAGTTTATATACAAATCCGAGCTAAAGTCTGATGCAGAATAAGCTTGAACACACTTACGTTTTAAGTTTCTTCGCGTCCTGTTTGATCACAAAAACCATATCCATTGACTGTTGTTGGTGCTCCTTCGTCTGAGAGTGCAAATCTTAACCTTTTATTAGGCCATGTTGCCCTTTCACTAGAATTTGGTAAAGGTCCCACGTCTCCCTAAAGAGCAAAGAAACCAAAAGAGGGAGAGACAAGACGTGAGAATCAAGCTTAACATATCTCAAGATGAAGAGGTAAATTTAAATACTAAAATCTTAACTGGAAATGATTCAGCATCACCGGGGAATCCTTGCAAGGTATACCTACTCCTAAATCCAACATCTCCAGGTTGAAGAGCATTGCTATCAAAACCAACTCCTTCTATCAGTTCTCCTCTTCTTATATGATTGGGAACATCAACTGGTCCAATCATATCAGCATCTCCCATTTGAATATCACCATCTTTAAACTCACTCCTAGGCAAATGCAATCTGTAACCACCTTCAATATCCGTCGTTCCCACTCTATTACCCCATTGTCCATGATCTGAAGGCCCATACCCATGAGAAGGCATCCCAAGGTGTTCACTTACAGGAATTCTTGGTCCACGTCTGAACTGTTCTTCTCCCAAGTCGATAAGAAGTTGGGATGATCTTGAAGTAGGTCTTAAACCGAAACTTGGCTCATGCTTTTCATCACCCCTGACCGGTGATCTCTCTTCAAAGACTCTATCCAATGATCCTGAAGAATAAGCTCTAGATCTTTCCACATCATCACCGTCTATGTGAAAAGTCCTTAGGTAACGCTTGAGAACAATGTTCAAGTCGGCAAGTCTAGCTGATTCTAATGAGGCAGGGTTCAGTGGAGTACTATTCAGAGAAGGATCATCTTCAGTGTCTTTTTTATCTACTACAGGACTCTTCCCTAGGTTTACCCAGCGGTTTCCAACATTTTCCTCCATCACTTGCTTGCCTTTTTCAGTGTTGGTTGAATAAGAGGTTGATATGGCTCCTCTACCATCTAACATTGCTTCAGAACCTTGTTTCCCAAGTGTATGATAGAGAGGTACCTGATCTTGGTTCCTCGCCGTATGTTGATGTGCCAATGAAGGCTTTGACAAAGGGTGCAAAACTAAGCTTTCAGAGACTGGGGCTCCTCCGTACTTACGCACCGGCTGCTTCACATACTCATGAAGCCTTGTTGATTGACCTTGTAAAGAAGGCTGATGTGTTTGCATCGTAGGGGGAGAGTGAGGTGGGCAAACATGCGGCACCTGTTGAGAGAGAACAGCATGAGGCTGATGCAAAGCAAAACTCTGAGATTGGAGATGTGGTTGCTCTTGCTCCTGAGAGTGAGTGTGAGCCATATACTGAACTGTTGGCTGAACATAGGGTACTTGATGTTGGCTAGCATCATGTGGAGCTAAACCTGGAAGATGCATAAATGGTTGTTGTTGATGCATGTAGAATCCGGAGTCGTTGTGGTAATCCTGCTGATATCGTTGCTGGTACCATTCCTCTTGATTCAGCGTTGCATCATGCATAACATGAGCATTTGATTGAGAGGTGGGTACATCAGCATTACTCTGATCAATGGAAGCATGAACTTGTGGGAGTCCCTTGAAAAAGCATTTATGACAAAAGCTATTGGTAAGAGTTATATAAGAAACAAGCAAGTTAATATCTTCTTTTAACATAAAAAATATGATAAACAGACTCACAGGACAAACTTGAATATGCTCCTGTTCTTGACGATGCGCAATTAGGATTCCGCACCAATTGCATACAATAGGAGAGCCACCGAAAATACATCTTGAGCAATGTGATGAGCTATCAGACAAATAGCCCAACCATTTGCATCCACTTTTTAGGTATAAACAATGCACTATGATTTTGCCTAGAGTATCAGCAAGCACTTTATTTGATTCCACGAGTGGCTGAAAAAAGACAAACGAGGATTTGGCTTTGATTAGTATAAAAGACAAGTAAACACAAGAGACAAAAGAGCCACACCAAGACAAAAAAAAAAAAAAAAAACCTTTGCATCTGTTTTCGTCACCAAGTAACTATCATAAGGGCACGTCATAGTGGTGCTTGCGATGTAAGCTAAACACGGCTTACAGTATAAGTGAGAACATTTAGACTGGAGAGCTTCGTTGGGGTCAATAACAAGCTGGCAAACAGCACATAAATACTCCAATGGAAGCGATTGAATGTCCGGTACGCACTCGATGTCGAAAACCATTTTCCTTTTTATTGAATTCCGATTTTTTTTTAAAGGGTTTTCGTCGTCGCCTAATCACAAAGCAAAATCAAACAACTCTATGAGAGATAAAAAAAATCAATCTTTTCAGTTCATTTTTTTCCTATCATTTACTTGTGTCCACCACGCATATCGAATTCATATGATGATACAAACATTTTCTCGAGCTTCCCACTATCAATTGCAAACGAAATGGAAGAAATGGAATTTAATTACAATGGAAAGAGGAGACGCAAGTTATGGATTCCTCTAACGAAAGTAAAAATGGAGATCAATTAGGTCTACGAGAAACTTACGAGTTACGAGTAATCACCAGAGTAAGACAGGAGAGTTGGTGGCCAGATAAGACAAACAATATTTGAGTGGTTTTACGGTAACTACATATGATAAGCTCGCATTCACTCTTTTTTTTTTCACCTTTGTCTGAAACTGAGACAAAACTTGAATAAATAGTCAATCTTATTCTTTAGATTTTCTTATCTTGTTGAAATCTCTTGAAGAACCATTATAAGCACTTTCCATCCACACAATTGGTGCAATTACAAATCTAATGAAATCTAGTAATCCAGTCAAATTTTACAATAACTAGTAACTACATATTCAAGTTTTCACATTTCAAAGATAACAATATATCCGTATTTTAAACTTGGTCAAAATTTAAAAAAACTATATAAGTTCGTGCACTTTTTTAGGTGATTATTTTTTTCTTTGTATTTACTAATGAAATATATTAATAAAAACTTGACAAAAAAACAAAAATACTAATGAAATTATCATGTAAATGCAATCATATATGAAATTGAATTATCTACTAACTAAATAGGTTCGCGCTTTTTTAAAAAAAAAAAAAAATCTTTTTTCTCTTTTAATTTCTGACCAAATCTCAAAAACTTAATTTAAACGATAAAAAAATTTCTAAAATCATTATACTAATGTTCTAAGATTCACCCTGTCTATAACTGATATGCATTTGTTATTTGACTACAGGAGGCAAATCTCCTGCCGGATTCATATACAAAATTTTCTTCCAATAATGATAAATGTGATAGCTGTGATAATTTTCAAAGTTGATATCTAGTTTTCCTAAAACAAAGAAAGGTCAAATGTACATTTTGAATCTTTTAAAAACATCCGAAGTGCGAACCATGTTCCAACAATAAATTATCTTTAAACCGGTTTCAATTTGACAAAGAAAAAAGAAAAAAAAATTCCAATTTACTTGTATTATATTTTAATCCATTTCATCATGTCTCCGATTCCTCTAGTGTCTTTTGATGTCGATTGAACTAACATTGCGTAGTAACCTTCCAACTGACACAGAGGGTCTCTAGTCCTGGCTAATGAGTAATGACGTGTTTAACGTTGATTAGAAAACACAAAACAGATTAAAATCTTATTAACTGAAACTTAAAAAAAAAAAAAAAAAACCTTTAATAATAGTACGTGTGGAAATAGTAACACGATGGTGGATTGAGACTCTGTACTTGTTTTCTGAAATCGTTACGCCATTGGAGTCGCTTTTAAATCTTGATCTCACTTTTCTTCATTACTACTCTAAATCATTGAGATAGCAGAGAATCCCAATCTTAAGATCATCATCATTGTTAGAGAGAAAGTGTATTGTTCTTAATTTAGCTCTTTCATCTTTGCCCAATCGGTGCTTCCGAGATTTCGCTTATCTTGTTCCTATCTTTATAGAGCAAACAATGGCGGATCTCAAACCCAGGATCGAGATTTCGTTCCTTGAAACCTTCATTTGTAGCGCTTTCGCAGCTTGTTTTGCTGAGGTATTTAGTCGTTTCGCTTTTCTCATTTTCACCTTGGATTGTTTATTAGCTCACTCGCAGATTGGAAGTTTCAATCGGTGAAATTTTCCTGGATTCGATAAATTTTGGTGTTAGATTTTGCATTATAGTTTATTTCTTCAGTTCATTCACTTGTCACTGAAGAAGTAGCCATTTTTGTTCTGCCAGAGAAATTTGTTTCAGACTATTGATGGGTTAGTAGTCTACGACTCTAAGTCCATTTTTGGGAATTTTTGGTGTTAAGTGTTTATGTATATATACTAGTTTAGTAATTCTGGAAAATTTGGCAAAGCAATTAAGTGCGAATTTCCTACATTTTGACAATTTTGACTTTTCGAAAGTTTCTTTGCTACTTGTTGTTGTGTTTCTTTGTATGTGTTGCTTTACTCCTTTGAAGTCAGATGCTGATTCGCATTTTACCGACTGATGAGTGAGTGATGTGATGTTGCAGTTATGTACAATACCGTTGGACACAGCCAAAGTAAGGCTTCAGCTCCAAAGAAAGATCCCCACCGGAGACGGTGAGAGTTTGCCCAAGTACAGAGGCTCATTGGGTACTCTATCTACCATAGCAAGAGAAGAAGGTATTTCAGGGCTTTGGAAAGGTGTAATTGCAGGACTGCATCGTCAATGTATCTATGGTGGCTTGAGGATCGGGTTATATGAGCCTGTCAGTCTCTCTCTCTGATCACTTAATGTCCTTCTCTCTGATCACTTAACCTCCTTTTATGTACTCTCTTATATCTGATGATACCTTACGATATCTCTGGCCAGGTCAAGACATTTTTGGTTGGAAGTGACTTTATTGGGGATATTCCACTATATCAAAAGATTCTTGCAGCTTTGTTAACCGGTGAGTCCAGTTCTTCATTTTGTAGCGATGAGCTTAACGCTATGCGCTATGCGCCATGGCGGTCGCTATGGTCGCTACACATAACTAAAAGTGTTAATCTCACAATCTCTAAAAACCAGACATTCTCAAAGCATAAATATCCAAAAACCAATGCATAAAAATCAAAGACCAAAGCATAAATATCCAAAAACCAATGCATAAAAATCAAAAACCAAAGCATAAATATCCAAAAACCAATGCATAAAAATCAAAAACCAAAGCATAAATATCGCTATAGCGCACAAAGCGGTTCAGTTTTAGTCAAAAAGCGTCTATAGCGACCGCTTTCCAATAACGATTCGCCATTGAATTCCATAGCGATGAGGACATCGCTACGCGCTATATACGCCATGGCGGTAAAAAAGCACGCTTTTTAAAACACAGATTGGAAGTAATATGAGTGAAAGCACGACATAATAAAGGGAATCTTTTTGTTTTTTGGGTGAAAACAGGAGCTATTGCTATTATAGTAGCAAATCCAACTGATCTTGTTAAGGTTCGGCTTCAATCAGAAGGAAAACTACCGGCTGGAGTTCCTAGGCGTTATTCTGGAGCTGTAGACGCTTATTTCACCATAGTGAAGATGGTTAGTAAACTAATCATCGAATAGAAATGTGTCAAAATACTATTGGTTAGCAGAGAGAGTTATAGCCTTTTGATTTATAAAACAGGAAGGAGTTAGTGCGCTGTGGACAGGGCTTGGTCCTAATATTGCAAGAAACGCGATTGTAAACGCTGCTGAGTTAGCTAGTTATGATCAAATAAAGGAGGTGATATATCTTTCTCATTTCGTTATTCTTTATTAAGAATGTTTGGCTTCTACTTGTGCTCGGTTAGTCTCTGTTTGTTTTAATACTTACATACATATGCAGACAATTATGAAAATTCCAGGCTTCAGAGACAGTGTTCTAACTCATATGCTAGCTGGTTTAGCTGCAGGATTCTTTGCTGTCTGTATCGGTTCTCCAATTGATGTGGTAAGCATTCATTTTCTCCCTTTACATAAAAACAACCACAAAATTACAAGATCATTTAGCTAGCGTCTCATCATTTTCGGTAGCAGTATATTGCAATTCACTTTCAGAGAGAAGTGATAGATCTGAAACAAAAGTGCTAAATGCCTAAAATCAAATGACTTTTTGGGGAACTAACACAAGGGACTAGTAATGATTGAGTACTATTTATAGATTTGTGGCAAAGATTAAATCTTATCATAGAACTTCTATATTCTTGTTTTGCAACATCTTATCACAGGACAATACGGTGTCCCATGCATAGAATGGACAGAGCAGTACCTTGAAAGTGACATTTATGTAGCATCTCACATGTTAATGTCTTCCACAACTGTTGTTTCTGATCTCTTGCTTGGTAATTTGACTTCGGCATATTAGGCTTTGGCAAATGCAGCATTATTAGATAACTATGCTCTACCGAAGAATAGATTAGAATGATGGGAGAGATAACAATGATGTGTTTGGTAATTTTTTTTCCCTTGAGACGGCCATGGTTCTTTTTTATATGGTGTGCCAGGTGAAATCTAGAATGATGGGAGACTCTACTTACCGAAACACAGTCGATTGCTTCATCAAAACGATGAAGACTGAGGTTGATATTTTTTTCCAATCATCCTCTCTCGAGTTCAAATTTAGCCAACTCTCTCTTTGTAAACCAATCATATGTGTGTTTGTTATGGTATCTTTACAGGGAATTATGGCCTTCTACAAAGGGTTTCTCCCGAATTTTACACGACTAGGAACTTGGAATGTCGTTATGTTCCTCACACTTGAACAAGTAAATTGGAATTCTTCTTCTATTCTCTTTTATTTTTTGAGTGACGATGATCAGTATGGTTTTTGGCTCTTCTTTTAATCTTGTTCTCTCTGCTCTATCTTTACTCTGTGGCAGGTGAAAAAAGTGTTTCTAAGAGAAGTACTGTACGATTGATTCTGAGAAGAACCATGTCTTATTACATAATTCTTCTAAGACCTCGAACTGTTAGAGCATATATACTTCTGTGTTATGAGCTTTCTCATTTAGATTAATAATATAGAACATATTATTCAATCTTATTCTATATTTTTCGTTTCAGAAACTCTTTTTATCTGAACGGATTCTTTATTTCAAGGTCTTTCCAAAGCTAGATTGTCTTAAAAACACAGGACATGACACTAATCCACACGACATGCATTACAATGAAACCGGTTTAAGCCCTTGGAACCAAGTAAATTCTGGATTTGATGATTGATCCTTTCCCTTCATGGCTAAGCTTGAATCCTGGACAAACAGGAAACCCGACTACCTGACCCGCAGGAACACGGCCATCCGAGAACCTCACGACACTCTCCATGTACTGAGGATGAAACTCAGCTCCTCGGTTTGCTTCAAAGTGACTCGGAGATGGGTCGAGCGAGAATGCCAATAGGTGAAGCAGCCAGACTGCTTTAGCCAACCCCAGGAACTCTCCATAGAACTGACTTCTTGGGTGGTTACCAGCTAGAACCAGCTCCCTCTGTTCCGAGTCCCCGAACAAGGATTCCTCCATCTTGTTGTGAATGATCGAAAGGTACTTCTTTGAGCAGAACTTACCAAAATGGCAAGTCGGTAAGATCCCAAGCAACTCCATAGGATCCATTGCTTTCATGTCTTTGAACTGCGCAAAGCAGTCACGACGGTATTGATCCGGGTTGATAAGAGAAGAGAGGCTTCCGTCCATGTAAAACGTTTCGTGGTCGAATCCTTGGAAGATTTTCCGACAGATGTAAGACTCGAGAGCGAATTTCGCGTGCTGGTTCGGTACAGAGGACTGAACCGATGATCCTATCGTAGAAGCTGCCATCCCGTCTGATGCAGCTGAAGCTGCTTCAATGGAGCGAACAGCAGCTGCAATGTCCCAATGTGCAGCTCGCATTAGAGACAGTAGAATCCCTGTGAATGACTTTGATGCTTCTCTCACCTGAATCATCGTCACTTCGAATAACTCCGGCATCGGAGATACAGCCACTGTTCATTTTCCATCACAAAGTTGTAAGATTTGAGAGATGTTACAAATAGAATTCGGATTAAAGAAGAGAAGAAAAGAGTGACCTTGAGTGCTGCAGTTAACTTTCCGGCTTGAAAGCAATCGGTGTTTCTTGCCTCCGTTACCATTAGCCATGGAAGTGGCCATTTTGACTTTCTCCTTCAGATTCTCAATCTCATTGTCTTTCGCCTTCACCTCTTTCTTCAGCTCCTTCACGATGGCTTCGTACGGCGCCACCGCCTCTCTCAGCATTCCTCTTCCGCTGTCGTTTTTCCTCCGGCCACCACTTCCGGTGCCTCTCATCCTCCTGAATCTCTCCCTCAGCGAACCGATCCTTCTCAGCTCAGCCACCATCGCCATGTCAGCGTCGTGCATCTTCTCCGGATCCCACGGCGAGTGAGACTCCTGAAGCGCCACGTAAGCTCTCTTCAAAGCTGCGGCCGCCGTGAACACTTCCTCCATCACCATCTCCATATCCTGCACCGCCTCCACGCTCACGCCGCTCCCTCCGCTCTTGCTCTTTGCCCTGATTGTCTCCTCTTTACCATACTCCTTCTCCAATGCGTCTTCGTACTGAATCTCTCCTTCTTCCTCCTCCTCCACATCCAAATCCTCTTCTTCGGTATCGTACTCTCCCCGGCGGTTCCCAGCGAGATCTTGACGGCCGGCGGAGAGTGGATGCAGCAAACAAGAAGCCGTCATTCGCTGAATCAGATCCGAGAAGTTTGAAACCTTGTTCGACATTTCTCCTCGCTTCTTCGCCTTGCTGAATTCGCCGCTCCGACTGCAAACGCCGTCAAATACGAGAAACGGTGAAGCAAAATCAAACTTCAGGAATTCATGGACGGAAAGTCACAGAAGCTTACCTTCGGGACTGATGATTGTTGTTGTTCTCCGATCGCAGAGCGAATCTCGGAGGATCTCGATTGAACTGAACTGAGTACCAGTACTCAATGTCCTTGGGCTCAGTGTCTAAGCTCTCTCGATCAGTCTTCTTCTTCTTACTGCACAGTGAACAAAATCAACTCGGACAGTCAACGTCACCGGGATAATTATTTCTCCGGCCAACGAACGGAATAAACCGGAGATTTCTGGTTATTGTTTTATCCTAATCTCACAGAGAGTGAGACAGTGGAGAGAAGAAGAGGCAATAAGTTCGTAATTACCGAATTACCCCTTTTATCATTTTACGCTTTGACCTTTGATTTGACTCCTAAAAGCTTTACCTCGATTTTGGGCCCTCGGGAAAAAGTTTTGGGTCTTTCCACAACTTTCTTATTTAATTTTACAATCGCACATGATCGGATGGTGCTCTTTCGTTTTTCTCTTTCTTGATATAAGCCACGTAGGGCTGGGCAAAATATCAGTTATATTTGCTTCGATTCGTTATTCGTTTCGATTCCATCCGAAAAATCCGGATATCCGTAATTTTATGGAGCAAAGCAAATACTAAAATTTGATATCCGTTAAAAACGAAGCAAATCACAAATACTAAAACAAATTAAGACGGATATCCGCTCCGCTCCGGTATAAATATATATGTATATATAAATATATAATAAATCATATAAAATGTATAATTATTATATATAAATGTAATTTTTGTAAGTTTTTGTTTATAAATTTGATTATTATAAATATTAAAACTTAAAAAGTTAAGAAAAAATATTTTTTTAAAAGAAAATATTGTTATTTTTAACTAAATTTTGAATTTTTTAATATTTATTTTATATATATTATTATTTAAATATTTTTGTGGAGCGGATCAGATATCTGGTAAATATTCAGATTTTTGGCGGATATCCGGAAAACGGATATCCGGATAATTACGGAGCGAATACGGATCGGAAACATGATTATCCGGACAGAGCGGAGCGGATCACGAATATCCCTAAAATTCAGGATATCCGCTCCGTGCCCACCCCTATAAGCCAGTATTGTTTTTAAATCCAAGGGTAATTTATATTAGTAAAAAAATATAACAGAGGTTTTGTAATTTATAAACATCATTCCATCTTTCAAATTTTCATCGTTTATCACATTTAACCTTATTTATGAAAATAATGTATATTTTTGGACAAAAGTAAGTTTATTTTATAGTTTAATTGTTTTCTTAATACTTTCTTTTTGTATTCTCTCCTAAAAGTCAAAGTGGTATATGAAATCTAGTCATTAGTCATTATTAAGTGGTAGTTATCTTAGTTCTTTTTTGTTAATCACTCTTTCGATTGGGTCGAGGAAGTGATTCCATTAAGTCATGACACGGATCTTGCCTTAAATCAAATCATATCAAAAATCATTGTCCTTTTTTTATAGAAAATATAATATAAAAATATATCGATAAATCCAAAATATATTATTAAACTCGTTCCATTTAAAAACAAACTTTTGAACTAAGCATACTGAAGATATATATTCCAACGCAAAGAAAAAAAGGAATATTCACCTGTGATTCCTGGGATTAAGTGAACATAAAAGTATGCCTGGCAACATTCTCTCTCTATATAATATATGAACAAAAAAAAGGATGAAGATGAAGATGAACATTAAAAGTTTGGCATATAAATAGAGCATTCAATTGAAGATTTTAGGGAAACAGGCCAATGAGAAAAAGGGTTTTGATGTGACAAGTATCGAATTTATTATTAAATAATGAATATGATTGAGGGGGTGGGATCTCAAAATTTTCCTTGTTTTAAGTTTCGACATCTAGCCATTTGTTGTGTAGTTTGTTCTTACAAATAATATGAAGTTCACTGGATATCCAAAATCATAATTGGAGTCAAAATCATAACTTGAAAATCCTGCCAAAATTTCTTGTTAGATGATTGCTTTAAACTGTTTATCTTTCCTGATGTCCATAAAAAAAAAACAACTTGTTTATCTTTCTTATGTGCTTGGTGTTTCTATAAAGATGATTTTCAGACCAACCCTATATCTTGTTAGATGATTGCGTTAAAACTAAGTATTTTTTTCTTTGAAACTAGGGGTCAAACTTTCTATTCAACACTATCACTTACCAGTTGTTATATATATATATATATATATATCAAACTGGTTTATTACTTGACAGTTTTTGACTCCTTCACAACGCGACCTCAAACTTTCTCACCGCTTTTTTATTGAATTTGTTTTCTTCTTAACCCAAATTAATATTTTTTGCAAGTTTGACCTAAGAGCATCTCCAAAGGCAACTTCAAATTTGAGGTTGGCCAAACCTCAAATTTGAGGATTGATGGTGTTTGTCTCTAAAGGTAAAACCTCAAATCTAATCTCATAAAATTTAAAATATTACACTATAGTCCTTATTTTTAATCATTATTAATAAAAAATTATATTACTTTATAAATAAGAAAAACATACATAAAAAATATCATTAACTAAAATTATATTATAAACTTTATAACAAAATACAACATTAGATAAAATTACAGAAACATAATAATTAAAACACACAGACTAAATTATAAATGGTTACATTTCATCAAATTATTCAACAAAACTATTTTTATAATACTCTCAAATATGATCAATTTTAGTTTTTAATTTCAATTTTTAATTTTATTTTATATGAAATTATAAAATTTATGAAGATAAATGTGAAATATTTATGAGATAAAAAACTGTTTGGATTAAAATGATAAACATAAAAAAAGAAAATAATTATTTCTGAAGTATATAATTATAAGGACTAAAATGCAAATAAAAAGCTTCAACCTCAAAATTTAAGGTTTTAAGGTTGCCTTTAGAGTGAACAAAACCTCATATTTGAAGATTTGAGTTGTCTTTAGAGATGCCCTAAAAGTACAATTATACTCAGTATTTGGTTCTATTCATACACTAAAAACAGAAGTGGGAACCAAAGATCTTGTTGTTCAAAAAAAAGGAACCAAAGATAGTTTCCAACCAACAGTTTTGACAAACAGTTTTGACAAATCTAGTTCTCCCATTAATTTTTTTTATAGATTTTCTTGTACTAACTTTTTTATTGTGTATTTCAAATTAACAATGACAATGAACAACGTTTTTAAATTTGAAGTATGTACATATCTCTTGTAAATATCAAAGACACTACTTTTTTTTTTAGAATTTTCAAATAGTTTATTTTTTCGCGTATCCATTTTTATTCCTCTCCGTTTAGTTTTGCTCTTTAGTTTAATGTAAGACTTGGTTCAACAATGGTAACTTAGAAGCAGAACCATAAATAATGGGTGTGATACGATGATAGCTAGGGTCCAGTAAGAGGAAAGGGTGTGTCCAAAGGTGTAGGACATGATTAGGCACGAAGACAAAGTGATATGTGTGGTGTCCCCAAAAAAAAATTAACTATGTTGTTAATTAGCATTTGTGTTTTACCAATCTTTTGGACTCACCTATTCAATCATGCTTTCTCCTATATTCTTCTACTCTTATTTATCTTCTTGGCCATTTTGTTTTCTTCGTCCACACATATATTTATATTATACATATCATGATATCATATTGGGCTATTTAGGTAGATGACTATACTGGTAGGACTTAATTGGGTAGATAAAAGAAGGACCATCAAAATTCATGAGATCACAAAAAGGACCATCATCATAAAGGTTTTATTTCTACTTTGGGATCCAAAAAGGATAATCAACCTCACGTTAATGCAACTCTCCTTTGTCTTGGATCAGAACAAGAAAATGAAGAAATATAAAGACTAGCTCTAAGATTATGCGTGTTGTTTGATGAGAGTGAATGGATCGGGTTTGATTGTAGAACAAGATGACGAGCTTCTGGATTACGATACGACATAGATTGATCCGGATCTACTCTGTGCCCCAAAGAAAGCTCTATTTTCAAACTAAAACATTGAACTTCAATGTTTTAGTTTGAAAATAGCTCTATTGAAGAAATTGCATGCTTTCATTATTCATTTGTGTTATTTTCAGTTACTAAAAATAGAAATTCTTTCTAAAAGTCTTCTAGCGTCACAGTTTTTTGTCATCGTCTGAAATTGTCAAAATTAGCAGCACCAAGTGATACTTGCGATGGAAGTAACCTCTTTTTCTCGAATAAATTGAATTAGTTAGAGCATCTCCAACAATGGGATAAAGAAAGGTTCTTCATCAATAAAGTAAATAAAAAAAAATTAAAAAAGTAGGAGAAAAATTATAGGAGAAGCTCTTAAAGCTCTTATATAAGAGACTCATAAAAGAAAATCTCTACACCTGTCAATTTTTAATTGGCTTATCTGTTTAATAATAGTTAAAATTAAATCAAATAACTAAATTATATTAAAATAATAATATCTTAATAATATTAAAAACCTCTTTTTGTAGAGCTTAGGAGGTGGTTTTAGGCACTTAGGCTAGACCCGCAAAACAAAAAATTGTTCGAACCAACACAGTATCTTGGGCCATGTTTTTTATAAATGGGCCGAAAAAATAAACCTTTGAAATTTATATTTTATGAAATAATAAAAAAATTAAGATTCTCTATCAGACAGAATATAGGGTTTTATTACGAGCATATATCAGAGATGCTGACAGACAGACTAATACGCTGTCGTATTTTAACGTATTTTTCTCAAAATTCCAAAGAATTTCTTTTTCCACCTTTTTATCTGTGCAATAAAATGAAATAACAATTAAATCCATCTAAAAAGGCGTAAGAGGTCTGGATTCGTCAAAAAGGTCTTCAGAATCCAAACGTCTTATGGTTTAGCTCTCGATTTTCTCCATCGCTTTCTTCTTCCTCCGGCTTCAAGTCGCCGGATCTTCCGGATTTCGATTCACTTTTTTTCCTTGTCCCAGACCTAGGCTTCATGGTTTTCTGATTCCGCGTTTCAGGTAACTTCAGCTTCTGGGAATCGGAATTTGTTTCCTAATTCGCTAATAGATCCATCTTTATCGTCATTATTGCCTTGAATAGCTTCTGGTGATTTGATTTTCTGAGTATTGCTGCTTGATTTGTAGGAAAGAGGCATGTAATTCAGGATTTTCCGGCGATTTGGTGGACGTGTGGAGAAATTTTTTCGAGTTTAGTATTCCTAGAAAGTTTTTCTCTTTTGCTTATAGAGTTTGTGGATTAATGGTTGAAGGAGAAGATGGTCTTTCGATGGGTTTGAAAGGATTTCATTTCTTCGTGAAGGTGAGATTGTTGGAGATTGCAAGTCACCTCATTCGTATTCACGGGTTTGCTTGATCATAGGACTTTGCAAAAATTGAGGGTTTTGGTTGTTTCGTATGAGAAGGTGTTTAGGTCTTTTAGCATTTCAAGCGTCTTTTAAGCGATTTTTATTTGAGCTTAGAGATGGATGAAGAGGCTACTTCTTGGATTAGGAGGACAAAATTTTCTCAAACGGTTTCTTATCGTCTGAATTCGTCAAAGTTAGCCTCTCTCCCTTTTAAGGTAAACCAAGAGAAGTTTTCTGGGCTGAAAACAAGACCCCAGACATTAACGTCTTCATCATCATTGGATCCGAAGTTGGTTTCGAGTAACTCACAGACGACTACACAGGATTCCACGAGTTTGAAAGCTGATGTATATGTTGTTGATTCGGAAATACAGACAAATCCGGTAACTAATAAACATAGATCTGTTTCTCCCTCGCCTCAGATGGCTCTTCCTGATGTGTTTAAGGAAGCAAGGTCTGAGCGTAAGAGATTTTCTACTCCACATCCAAGAAGAATGGACTCAGAAAAGGGAATGAAGCCAAAGTTATCACATAAAAACTCCTTTGAAAAAAGGTCGTTCAACTTGAGGTCTCCATCAGGTCCTATCAGAGATCTTGGTACCCTGAGGATTCAGGAGAGGGTGAAGAGCAAGAAGGACACAGGGTGGTCTAAGCTTTTTGATAATGCTGGTCGTAGAGTGAGTGCTGCTGAAGCTGCTGAAGAGTTCCGCGTCGATATGTCAAAGCTGTTCTTTGGGCTTAGGTTTGCTCACGGGCTATATAGCCGGCTTTACCATGGAAAGTATGAAGATAAAGCTGTTGCCGTGAAGCTTATCACTGTGCCTGATGATGACGAAAGTGGATGCTTGGGAGCTCGTTTAGAGAAACAGTTTACCAAGGAAGTCACCCTTTTGTCCCGATTGTCCCATCCAAATGTTATTAAGGTGATTCGAGTCTCTTTTGTTATTTTCTTTAGGCCAGTGTAGGTGTAATGATAGGTTATCGGTTTGTGAGCTAAAATTTTCTTCTCTTATTTGTGTGCTAAAACAGTTTGTGGGTGCGTATAAAGATCCGCCTGTGTACTGTGTCCTCACGGAGTATTTACCTGAAGGATCTTTAAGATCTTTTCTGCACAAGCCTGAGAATAGGTCTCTTCCTCTGAAAAAGCTGATAGAGTTTGCTCTAGATATTGCAAGAGGGATGGAATATATTCACTCACGACACGTAATTCATCGGGATCTCAAGCCAGAAAATGTTTTGATCGACGAAGACTTCCAATTGAAGATTGCTGACTTTGGCATAGCGTGTGAGGAGGAGTACTGTGATATGTTGGCTGATGATCCAGGGACGTATAGGTGGATGGCACCCGAAATGATAAAACGGAAACCTCACGGACGTAAGGCCGATGTGTACAGCTTTGGACTTGTTTTATGGGAAATGGTTGCTGGAGCAATCCCTTATGAGGACATGAATCCTATTCAAGCTGCTTTCGCAGTCGTACACAAGGTAATATATTCTGCGTGTCTCCCTACATATTCTCGTGATTGTAATCTTTCAGCCCAAGTAGGTTTTTGGTCCTTTATTAGAGACCTGAAAAATGTTAATATTTTTGGTTTCAGAACATTAGGCCGGCTATCCCTGGAGATTGTCCAGCAGCCATGAAAGCTCTTATAGAGCAGTGTTGGTCGGTTGCGCCGGATAAGAGACCGGAGTTCTGGCAGATAGTGAAAGTGCTTGAACAGTTTGCGGCTTCATTGGAACGTGAAGGGAGCTTGAATCTGACCTCAAACAAGATCTGCAAGGATCCAAGAAAGGGTCTGAAGCATTGGATTCAGAAGCTTGGACCGGTTCAGGGAGGAGGAGGAGCAGGAGGCAGCAGCAGTAGCGGCCTTGGTGGCTCGGCCTTGCCTAAGCCTAAATTCGCTTGAGAGATGTGAAGCGTCGTCTCTTTTTGTAAATCTTATATATATGAAATACAAAAGAAGGGTTTTGTGTTGTGTTATGTTGTGTCCTGTCTCCTGTCCCTGTTTTGTGGGTTGTGATGTGATCTTTTCATCTTTCATCTTCTCTGGATTTGTTTGTGTAATGACAATCAAACTGGGGAATGGTTGTGATTTGATGTTTATGGGATTCAATATCGTTTCTACTTTGTGGATTTCTAGTTTAAATATTTTATGTGGAATCTTAATGGCTTAATCAAACATTATTCACACAAAATACTGTTAGGAATCCATCTATTCTCATCCTTGATGATTTTAATATCAAATCTCTCGTTCGTTTGTTGGTGTCAATCATCTCTTCTATTGCAAATCTATTAACAAAACAAATAATATTCACAATTTTGTTCTTTTATAATAATAGCAGTTGTCCAATTTCCTAAATCCTATCTTGTGAACAAAGATTTACATTCCGTACGAGTAAAACAAAGAGATATCATCATCATACAATGACGAAAAAAAAAGAGTATATGAGAGTATTTGGTAATGTGTTCATAGAGAGAGCTACTCAGTGCTCTTCTCATCGTCTATGATCCTTGGTAACGCGAATCTGTCTGAGTCACGACCCACGAAGCTGTGCGTTGCTGAAGAAGACGAAGAAACAGAGGCAGAGGAACAAATCATTGTCTCCTTCATCTCTCTCCTTATAGCCCATAGCTTTTCCACACATTCTTTCATACTCGGTCGTGTACCTCTAGTCTGGGAAACACATTCGCTCGCCAGTCTCAACATCTTCTCAGCCACTTCAATGGCGGCTCTGTTTCTCTTGAGCAATGGATCCATTACAAGAACAGCTTCATCGTTTTTGAGTCTCCTCAATGCCTTCACAACAACAGAGTTTCTCTTTGTTTTAAAGGTTTAAGATTCTCTCGAGCTTATGGTGAAGCAAAGCTACTAACTTACCCATTTAACCGTGAGTCTGTCTTGTCGTGGTCTCTTTAACTCAATGGGTCGTCTTCCGGTGACAAGCTCTATGAGCAGAACACCAAAAGAGTAAACGTCGCTCTTGTCGGTTAGTTGAAACGTCCTGAGATAATCTGGATCAACATACCCTGCAGATCCTTTGACCTGAGTCGAGATATGAGTAGCCCCTGGATCTTCAGAAACCAAACGAGCAAAGCCAAAGTCTGCAACTTTGGCTCTGAGTTTCTCCGTGATGAGGATATTTGATGCTTTTATGTCTCTGTGTATTATTGGAGTATCTGCATTCAGAAGTGATCGTTGAGGTTGTTCTTGGCTTACAAAATCCACAAATGCATATCTTCTTGGCACTAAAGCTATATTGTAAGATCGGTAAAAACAGAGAAGAGTACCTGTATATGTGTGCAGGTAGGTCAATGCATGAGCTACATCAATCGCAATCTCAAGACGTTCTGCCATTTCAAGGCGTTTACCTCGTAAACCTGAGTTGAGAATTCTAAGTACAGAGAGATTTTGTATTTGGAAACTTTGTCTATGCTCTAAAAGTTGAGAAGAAAAGGAAGAAGAAGAAGGAAGTACCTCTTGTAACTTACCATCTAGATGTTCTCTTAGGTTTCCATTGCCAACATACTCAACAACAATAACCCTTTCGTCTTCATGTTCCAGAAAGCCGTAAAGCTTCACCAAATTCATATGCTCGATCTTTGACAATGTGTATATTTCATTCTTGAACTCTAGCAACCAGCTTCTTCCATAGTTGTTCTGCCACAGGATTTTCAGTTTTAGATCATATCTTTCTCCGAACTAGTATTAAAAAGATAAAAAAAATGAAAGATTTCAACGAGCACCTTTCTGGCACGCTTGATGGCAACAAAAGTTCCATCATCAAGCTTTCCTTTAAAAACAGTTCCAAAACCGCCTTCCCCAATCTGATGAACCGTTGCAAAATTTGCAGTTGCTCTCTGAAGCTCCCCAAAAGAAAAAATCACTGGGCCAAGGTGCCAACTTTTGCTACAAGAAGAATCTTTCCCATTGTTTTGAAATCTTGAACCAGAAAATCGATATTGACTGCCTGAGACCCTTCTTTCTATTGACCTTCCAAAAGAGCTTGGTGACGAATAACCAGTCCAGCCTGATACTGCACATTATACAAGAAACAAAACAAAAAAAAAAAAAAGAAAAAAAAAAAGATTGTTACAGTAATATAGAGATCATAGACTCATCCATTAAAAGACCCTCAGGTTTTCTTGATAGTAGGCATACATTTTCAAAGATTCTGATTCAAGAGAGGATGTTTTAGGAAAGATACGATCAAAACACCAACATGCTTACATGTAGAATCTGCTCTGTCGATCGTGCTGCTCTCTCCAGGATCAGATCTACATTTTCTTGGCTTTAAATTTCTCTGTCCCGAGAAAATAAAAGCAAAGACTCCTACTACTTTCTTGGCTGCCCGTCTGATAGCACCCAAGGCAGAGACATTCCTCGCCTTCTCGCTAGAACTACCTACATCACTCCAATCATACTCAGAATCGGCTTTTTGATGTTTTCCGTTTTTTGGGAAGAGGAGAGGCGTAGGGGTTCTGCTCCTCATTGGTATATGTCTAAGACATGGTTATAGCAATGAAATTGTTTCTAATGTCCAAAGTCCAAGAAAGAAAGTTTGTTGCAGTCATGTAAGTTTTTTTTTTCTTTTCTTTTTGTTAAACGCCAGATGTATGTGTGCATATAATATAAGCATAATGACACATTATTATCTGTATATATGTTCTTTAATGTGTTGTAGACTGATTCAAATTTGAGCTTGATTGGTCTTGCAAGTTTTGCTGTTATTCTATTTTCCATAGTCAATGAAAATGAGTAGCGATGTTTTTGATGAGTTTTTGTATACATTTGACTTTTCGACACAAGAAGACTCGAGACTAGATAACGACTAATTGATATTAAAACCTTTATTTAGTCTAGTCTAAGGAGAAGAGGAATATAAGAAAAGAAAACTAATCACACGTTTTTTGTTAAATTTCTTACTCTTGTCTAAGTAACAGAGTCAAAAGTTATATAAAACCTAAAAGTATTGCTCTTAATCAAGCTATCTACAGATCCTATACTTATCTAGATTACACTTAGAAATCAATAAAGTATTTGGGGAAGCAAAATACATACCTTCGTGCTAGATGATTCAATGTAGAACAAGCCTTCAGGTTGCACCTGAAATAAAGTTTTATTCAAGAACATTGAGCAAAAGAAATGTTTACTGGTTCTGTTTTTTACTTTTTTGTTTTAAATGAATCAGAAGAGGAGACAAACTCAAGATCTTCTCTTAACATATCTTGTTTCTGATAGCTTGCAAGTTGTCTACATAATTCCACGGCCCACCAACAAGTCCAAAGTGGTCCGTCGAACTGGCAAGAAAGGTCCACATAATATGGTTAGGATGAAAGATCATTATTTCGTGGCTAATGTCTTAGCCACAATACAAATCATCTAAACGATGACAAAACAACTCTCAGTTCAAAACGATATTTTGTTTTCATTTCTTTGAAGGAACAAAAAATGCATAAAAAAGACGGCTACATAACTAGAAGAATGATAAATGAGACTGACCTGCTGGGACAAAGTGATTTCTCTCCCCATTTGAGTAGTATAGTTTGATGCTTGTGTTTTTTTTTTTTAATATCATGTAATTCACTTCAAAATTTTGTAATCTGAGGGTGATGATCAGATGTACTTTTGATTCTTCCATCAAATTCTCAAAAACAGAACTGCGCAGCAAAAGCGTTGAAGAAAATATTAGACGGAAAAAAATTACACTTTTGGAAAATACCGAATTCGGACATAAATGAGAGGATTAAGTAAGTTGGTCATTAATCTCCGGCGATCTTGCTCTGGCTGACGAGAACAACCAAGAGTATGCAATTTTTTATGGGCTTATTTGCATCCTTTTAATGGCCCTGGCCTCATAAAAGTTCAGATCATTTTTTTTTTCTTTCAACTTTTGTTTCTGATATTTAAACTTTACCCAAAAATATAGAGAAATTATATTAATATTGAATACATTTGGATCGGTCTATTGGCTTATAGTTTACTTTGCATTCTTTTTTGAAAAAAAATTATCTTTGAAATACAGTTTGTTTTAGTCTAATTATTTATAGTAAAAAAAAAACCACATTATTCATATCACTTTTTTTCATTTAGGTTTGGATGATTGTATAATTACACTTTTTCTGATCATTGGTGGACTAAGTCGTCGGAATATTCCAATTTTTTATCAGAAAAAATAAAGTCAGTACAATCACATTCAGACAAAAACAATGACTGTGTATTTTTTGGGACCTGCTATGTGTGGTTTTTTAGTAAGAGGAAGACCAACACATACTCTTTGGTCTTTATCAAAAAAAAAAAAACACATACTCTTTGGGAACTTGTCGTAACTCCGAATCTCTATGTCACTCGTCGGCAGTTGCTGTGTCCACAAAAGTTACAGAAAATCAATTTCCCTGCTTTTCGGTATATGCCACAACAAAGTTATATTTCAGTTTGGGTCGATTTTTATTGATAATTACTCAAGTTTATTGGTATTAATTTTTATAAGACAATTAACAGTGATTTTTTTAAATCAGAGAGTATTGTGATTTGTTTCCCCTGTCATTACAATAACGATACTAAAAATATACTATTATTGTTTTCGATAATAACAAACATTAAGTTGGCGATGAGTCGGATGATGTAACATTTGTACAACACACTTTCTTAAGAAAACTAAAGTCGCTGCTTAAAAAAAAAATGTCTTCTTCAAATGTAACATCTTGCTGCAATAAAATAACTCGTGTTGCTTTCTAACTTGAAGAAAATCAAACATTAATCAAAACCCTAATACGTATACAGCTAAAGAATTACTAAAGTCAACATTGAAAGACACTGACTGATTCAAAAGGAATCCAAAGAAGTGACGGAAGCAGCCAACCCGCAAAGCAAAAGAAACAAATGGCCGCACACGTGTTTTCACCATTTTCAACTCTAGATTATTTTCTTAGGTTTATGCATTGAATTTACATAAAGTATTTTCACTAATTGAGAGCCTTTTATGTTCGTCCTACAAACGCAGAAGTCAGGCCCATAATGGGATGTGTTTTTGTACACATCTTCCTTTGATTCTCTCTGCCACACTCATGTGACACAATTATACTAATTTCCTTTCTTCCCCGATCAACTACATATTTCTTTTTTATTTTACTAAAAAATAAGGGTAACTCAATTTAGTTACATAATTTTCAGTATTTATTTAAGATTTTTGTATTTATCACAATATTATGCAGAAGAAAACAATTCATTGATCTGAATTTAAGTTTCTCAAAATCCTAAAGATATCATTCTAGATCAAATTCTTAAGAGTAAATTTTTGTAGACTATAAAATACCATGATAAACAGATTATTCAGATATTATTTAATTTTCTTACTATGACAAAGTTTACTCCATAATAAAGAAATAAGATAAATGAAGAAAAAGGGTTTAAGGAAAGGGAAAGGGGTTTCATTAGTGTTGACAACGCCACTCTCTCTCTTCTCTTCTCGAGATCCTAAAAATGGCACTGACCAATTCAACTTCGATTCACTGAACCATCACCGTGAGTCACTACTGAGCCATGACCCACCAAACCCATCGACGTCGCCGTCGTCACTCCGCCGTCTGTCACCGTCATCCCACCTCCAAACCCACCACTGGTTTCTGTGCCAGCTGTCTCCGCGAACGCCTCTCCACCATCGAAGCTCTCTCTTCCTCCCTTGCCGCCTCCGATCAGGTCCCTGAGCTCCGTCGTGTTCGCTCTTACTCCGTTCGCGACGCATCCGCCGCAGATTTCGACCAGCCACGACGCAGATCGTGTGATGTTAGGTCCAACGACGGCTCTCTCCACGACCGATTTGCCGACGATGAAGAAGAGAGGCTGGCGAGCTCGATTCGGTTCCCTTTGGTCCCAGATTTAAAAGAGGATGAAGAAGACGAAGAAGAAGATGGAGAAGACATCAGAGGATTCGATGAAGGAAGGGCGAGTATGAGACTCGTGGAAGAAGAAATCGAAGATGGAGAGCAGAAGAAGACGATGAAAGAGTTTATAGATCTGGAATCGAGAAATCACCAAATCAAGAAGAACAACGGCAAAGATTTGAAAGAAATCGCTTCTGTTTTCAGCAGAACACTTAAGAAATTTTCCCTCCCCAAACATCCAAAGAATGGAAAAAACCCAGATGCCGGTAACGTCGGAATTTACTCAAAACGCCGGTCAGAAACAGGTCTTGGCCGTCGCTCATGTGATGTAGATCCTAGACTGTCTCTCGACGCAGGTCGAATCTCTTTCGAGGAGCCTAGGGCGTCATGGGACGGATGCTTGACCGGAAAGACATATCCGAAGCTGACTCCACTGTCCGCTGTGACGGAAGATGCTAAAGCCTCGCCGGAGAAGAAAGCCGACGACGATGAGGAGAAGAAACCAGGCGGGACAGCTCAGACAAGGGATTACTACTTGGATTCACGGCGGAGAAGAAGCTTCGATCGATCATCGAGACATGGATTGCTCGAGGTTGACGAATTGAAAGCTATCTCCAACGCTAAGTTATCACCTGAAACTGTTGGTTTGTTTCATGGAGCAAAGTTGCTTGTTACGGAGAGGGAACTTAGGGATTCGAATTGGTATTCCATCAAAAATTACAAACCGGAGAACTTGGAATCATCTGTTTCTAAAGGCGTTGGTTGTGTTGCTGCTGCTGGTGAGGTGAAGCAAGATGGTTTCGGGTTAAAGAAGTCTGGAAAGAAATGGTCTAAAAGATGGAATCTTTGGGGATTGATTCAGAGGAAAACCGATGTGGCGAAGAACGAAATCAAAACGAACCAAAGTACGAAACTTGGAGGAGATGCAATGGAGGGTTCTTTAGCTGAGTCTTTGTTGAAGCTTAGGAGAGTGGCTAAAGGAGATACCAATGGTGACGTTAGCGAGAAACTCATAAGAAGCTACAGCGTTAGTGCAAGAAAGTCTTGTGATGGTATGTATCATGGTGCTTCTATTGTTAATGGCTTCGAAGGTGGAAGAAGCTCTTGTGATGGTCTGTTCCATGGCTCTATTACCGGCGTTGAGACAGGAAGAAGAAGCTCCTGCGAAGACGGATTGTTTCATGGCGTTGAAGGCAAACGGAACCATCTTCTTCAGAGAGATGCCAAGCTTGGTACTTACTCGCCAGACAACCTCAGAAATGGTATGGTTAGATTCTACTTGACGCCATTAAGGAGCCATGTGACAAGCACCTCCGGGAAAAGTAGGCTGATGAATTAGTCTGATCTGTAATTGTCCCGTTCATGGTGGATTATATTGATACTGTGTTGTAATTAGCAATTACCATGTATGTTACTTATTATCCCATTGTTGTTTTTATAGATATATGAAGTAAGGTCACATGCCTATCTTTTTCTTTCTACTTTGTAAGTGTATTAACGCTCTCAAGAGTTCAATACAATGGTGATTTTGTTAAAAGATTGACCTTTTTTAGAAATTGGCTCTGATCAATACAACAGCCACTATACTCGAAAACAATAGTTTCAAACTCAAGATATTGGGCAACTTTGATGGGTGCATAAATCATCAAGTCATATTCCAAAGAGTTTATGCCAAAAGATGAATCAAGCCAACAATAAAGGACAAGAGCTACTTTCCCAAGAGCCAGAACATCAATGGCAACGTAGAACATAAATGTGTCATATAAAGTTTTGTACTTTCCTCTACAATTTAAAAGGATACATCGGTAGAAACGCTCGTACGATGGTTAAACCTTCAATCTAACCAATACACATCCTAAAATTACACAACTTTTTATCACATCTCTTTTGCACCTTACTCAAGATCATACCCTTTCTCTTGAAGTTCAGTCATGACCTCATTCCTCATTCTCAGCCACAGTTTCTGAGCCTCTTTGTCAAACTTCTTCTTCTCCAATTCTTTCTGGTAGTTATCGGCTTCACCTTCGGATTCAACAATCCCTTTAGGCCCAATTGCTGTGCCGATCATCCCTCCCTTTGCAACAAAATCCTCCATGGCCTCTGTATCACCTGGATAAGGAAACTCACGCCGCTCATACAAATGAGCCAATTCCCTCTCTTCCTTTGGTCTCGGCTTCAACGTCCACCATCCTAGAGGAGACGTTTCATTGTATACCCATGCCATGCCAAAGATTGTGTAGGTGCATAGCAATGCTTTTCCCACTTGTTTCCAAAAGAACATATCGTCACGCCCTAAGCCAACTTTCTTCAGGTACTTATTAGCATCCATTGACTTCAATGCCTCTATTCCTATCACGGAAAATTAACCAACCGAGTCAAATTGAGCTTAAAATGATTTCGTTCAGGCATTTCATCGAACACCTTACGCCACTAACTTAGATCACACCAACAAGCAAAAGCCGAAACCTTTGACAAAAACCCACAATATCCGGTGATCTACAGAAACATAGGACAACAGTTTAAGGGATCTATCCCCATGAATTTAATCGACGTACGGGAAAAAAAGACTGAAGATAGAGCAGATTAGATCGGGAATCAAGTCAAGGGTGGTAGAAAAGTCTCACCCGTTTTAGCCTGATGAAACTTTTTCCGCACCATCTTCTTCTCGGAGATGATCGACGAGCTGAGCCCAGCGACAACGGCACTCGCTGTAATTTTATTAAACCCACGACGAAGAGAAACTGATCTCACTTCTTCAGGCTAACACAGAAAAGCTCTGCTAAAAACGATGCCGTTTCAATAATAATATCGGCCTTATAACTTTGTTTTGGGCCTTCTTATTTACCATCATGAATCAAACTGGTTTTGCAAGTTGTGGGCTTGTTTTAGTAGCATTAAGCTGAATACGTTATCGTTTAGCTTATGTTTAGCCTCCGATTTATTAAATCTATTTTGGGAGTAATCACTGTTTTTTTCCCGGAGAAAGTTCTATAATTGGATTAGATGAGCTGTTATATAACAACCAAAAAGTAGCTTTAGCTCACCTTTCAAAACGAATTATTGTAGTTCCATGTCAAATGAGTCAATGACCCTATAATATCTACTTTTTTTTTCCGACTTACTATCTACTTTATCCCGCAACTATTTACACATATTCATCTCTTTATATAATTTTAGTTTTCTTAAAAAAAGAAGAAGAATCTAAATAAATTCAAACACAAAATCATATTAAAGTTACAAATGATACCTTTAATAGAATTAATTTCCTACATTTCGAAAATAAGACTTATGTATACACTATCTAAACCATTATTTTTTAATGTAACAGTTATATATCTGTGTATATTTAATTTCTAATTTTTAAATGGTTACAACGTTTTTAGAAGTGTGTGTTTAATAGTATATAAGAAACATGCTAAATCTAGATGTGATGTGGCTTGAATTAGTCTTTTAAAGTAACTAGATGAATACCCGCACATTACGTACGAGTTTTTCTTTTCAATTTTTTTCAAATCTTTTTTTATATAATTGAGTTTATATATAATTTTATAAAAATTAATATAACCATCACTTGTTAGTTACTTACTTGTTAATATATTATTCTAAAAATTTTAAAATATTAATTTAAAATATATATTGAATATTATTTAATAATTTAATATTATATTAAAAATTAATAAGTATCATTCAATATTTTTAATTAGTTATAACATAAATTTTTGTTTAACATTTACACAAATATTAATTAATAATTAATTAATAAAAATTTAAAATAAATATAATCATCATTTCATTTGTTACTTGTTAGTATTTTATTATAAATAATCTTTAAAAATTAATTTAAAATACATCTGGAATATTATTAAGTAATATACAGTTATATAAAAATTAAATACATATCTATTAATATTTTTAATCAGTTATAACATAAATATTTATTTAATATTAATATAAATGTTAATTATGAGTCAATTAATAAAACAAATTTTTCATATTTTTGAAGTGCTTTAAAATTTAATATTAAAATTTATTAATTAAAATTTAAGTGACATGTGTCAACCTCTCCAATATTGATGTGTGAAGCCTATGGAGAAAATTGATCAACTTTTATATATAAGATTCATTAGTTCGTCATGCACCTTTATTGTGCTAAGAATATGCTTTGTTATTAAGTCAAAACACGTCTAATTGGCATTAGTTCAATATAATTGACGTTTACGTTTACGTTTACAATCAATAAACAAAATTTACGTAAGATGTCTTAGCGAGTTTGTTAGAAAAAAAGAAAAAAGCGCGAACGTAAAAGAGTAATCCAAAGTCAGATGTTGTATATATGCAGTTTTTATTTAAATAAATTTGATTAATTACACACAAAAATATTGATTAATTACCGGGGCCCAGAGGGATGCGCACAGGTGCGACGGTCCATAATTCTAAAAAAATTTCTAACAAAATGAATTCATATTTGAAATAAAAATTCTAAAAAAAATCCATATTATTCTAAAAACTTTGTTTAGAAATGACCATATTTGAAAAATTGTTATTTAAAAAAAAATCTTAAAATACAGATTTTTTTATATTAAATTGATATAGGGAGCTCAAATTTTATTTTTTTGCCCTAGGTTCTTATAACAGCTGTTAATTACACCAGTTCATACATTCAGCATATATTATTAAGAGAAATTAGACCTCCAAAGAAAAGAGATAGGAAAGAGCAAGTGTGGGTGAGTTTAGATAGATGGAGGATGAGGTAACTTAGACATGAATACGGTTGGGCCACCAGATCACCTAAGCCCTTTTGACCTGTATATAACATCTCATTTCTTCATCTTCAATTTTACATTTTGTTATTATCTTTAATATCTCTCGAATATAATTTAGTAGAAGCAAATCTTTCCTCTTCTTGTTTCTTCTTCTGCGTTCCCTTCAAAGAGCTTACATTTCATGACGCTTCCTTCAACCTAACAAGTAAAAACGACATCGCATCAATTTTCTACACACTACAGCTATTATTTCATTCATATATAGTTCACACACACGTATATATACCAATAGCAAACATCAAGGAAAAAAGACTTGGAGGTTATATGGAGATTCCAAGACGATTTTGTGTATGCGTCCTAACGCTTTTGGTTATCTTTCTTCTTTCGCCAACCACCGTTCACTCCATGATCCGACATTACAAATTCAATGTAAGTCTCTCTGTCATTCATATGTTACATGCACAAAATGGTATGTTATTCTTGAAAAATGCAGAAGTTATGTATATAATTTTTTTTCCTAATTAGTTGTCTCTAATGAGTACGCTTTGATAAACTCAATCAACAACTTAAAATCAACGACAATTCATGAATATGTTCCATATCTCATGCATATATTACATTAAGACTTACTATATTCACGTCCGATATTAGATCCCTAAACATTATAGATATGCGGCTTGCATCATGATCCATGCATTAATGAGATCATGCACAATAACTGACCCGTTAACGTTCATGCACTATGTACTGACCGTTGGATTTAAATGTGTGCACGGCCAGGTGGTGATGACGAACACCACGAAGCTGTGCTCGTCGAAGCCTATTGTCACTGTTAATGGCCAATTTCCGGGCCCCACCATTGTTGCAAGAGAAGATGACACCGTTTTGATCAAAGTAGTGAATCACGTCAAATACAACGTCTCCATCCATTGGTGAGCAACCTCAAACAAACCTTTTTTAAGATATTAGTGAAAATGACCCTTGAATTTCCGTCTCTTTCTTTAAATTCAACCCCATAACTTTAACAATGGCATCAATTAGACACAACAACTAACTAACAATAACGGTATTACTAGCTAAAGTATTATCAACACATGTGTAGGCACGGTATAAGGCAATTGAGGACAGGTTGGGCAGATGGACCGGCTTACATAACCCAATGTCCAATTCAACCGGGACAAAATTATATTTATAATTTTACATTGACGGGCCAACGAGGAACTCTATGGTGGCATGCTCACATCTTGTGGCTCCGTGCCACGGTGCACGGTGCCATTGTTATCTTGCCTAAGCTCGGTGTCACATACCCTTTCCCCAAGCCTTACAAAGAGAAAACCATTGTTCTTGGTGAGCTACCCGAGTGAAAAGAGAACTTAAATCCGATTAATTAATGATTCTCACTACAACTAATTTTTAAAACAACATATAGGTGAATGGTGGAAATCGGACGTGGAACAACTTATAAACGATGCTTCAAGAATTGGAACAGCTCCTATCGCCTCTGATGCACATACCATCAATGGTCACTCTGGCCCCATCTCTAACTGTCCTTCCCAACGTAATTACTTAGAATTCTACATAATCAAACTGATTATCCACTTTTACTTGAGTTGAGAATAGTTATGATATCAGAATTATTTCATCACCTTTTTTTGGTACATTTTTTGCCCGCTTCTTTTAATACCGTATAACCATTGGGAGCCTTTTTATATTTTTTACATAAAATTTGATATATGGATTTTCTTTAACTTTTAGGTGGTTATAATTTACCGGTGAGACCAGGAAAGACATACATGCTACGTATCATCAACGCAGCGTTAAACGAAGATCTCTTCTTTAAAATTGCTGGTCACGAACTAACCGTTGTCGAAGTCGATGCTGTTTACACCAAACCATTTAAAACCGACACCGTCCTCATCGCACCGGGACAGACTACTAACGTTCTCTTAACAGCAAACGCAAACGCTGGTTCCAAATACATGGTCGCCGCCACAACGTTTATGGACGCTCCCATCTTATTCGACAACGTCACAGCCACCGCCACTCTCCACTACATCGGCAACACCACCGTTCCAGCCTCCAAGAAAACAGTCCTCGCATCGCTTCCGCCGCAAAACGCAACGTGGGTCGCGACCAGATTCACAAGATCACTGAGGAGCTTGAACTCCCGCGAGTATCCGGCTAGGGTTCCAACCACCGTGGAACATTCTTTGCTCTTCACGGTGGGTCTTGGCGCAAACCCATGCCGGAGCTGTATCAACGGTGTTCGTTTAGTTGCCGGAATAAACAACGTAACGTTTACAATGCCTAGCACCGCTCTTCTCCAAGCTCATTTCTTCAACATTCCTCACGTATTTACCGACGACTTTCCGGCGAGACCGTTGAATCCGTATAATTATACTGCACCAGTTACGCAGAGCGTCAATGCAGCGACGATGAAAGGTACAAAGCTTTACCGGCTTCCGTACAACGCGACGGTGCAAGTTGTGTTGCAGAACACAGCGATGGTCTTGTCTGATAACCATCCGATTCATCTTCACGGGTTCAACTTTTTGAGGTTGGTAGAGGTTTGGGAGATTTTGACCCGGAAAAGGATCCGAAAGTGTTCAACTTGGTGGATCCGGTAGAGAGAAATACCGTTGGAGTTCCAGCCGGTGGTTGGACCGCCATTAGATTCCTCGCCGATAATCCAGGTACTTAATAATTAAAAATAATTTGCCTGAGGTGTAATTGTATAGCTAATTTCTAGTAGAATATTGCTTTTTCTTCTTTTTCATATAAAAAGTAGTTAGCCTTGTTGTTATGCATTACTTTTGTTAAACAGTTAGTCACTTAGTCTTTTTCAGTCACGGTTTATTTATTTCGTGTTTATAATCTTGTAGCGAATTATTTTATGGGAATATTCGGTCCAACTTGCTAGGCTACAGTTTTGTTGCGTGTCTAATTGGATTTGTTTTATTAAAATGAAGGGGTATGGTTCATGCATTGTCACTTGGAAATCCATACAAGTTGGGGATTAAAGATGGCATTCGTCGTCGACAACGGTCACGGCCCTGACCAGTCACTGCTTCCTCCACCCGCCGATCTTCCCAAATGTTAGGCTTTTTTTTAAAGAAAAAAAATTGTTTTGTAAAATCTATATTTAGAGTTACTTTTGGGGAAATAAAGGTAGGGGGTTTGGTGGATGGTTTACAACTTTTCTATAGTATGTAATAAAAGAATGAATATGGAAGGGAAATTTTATAATATTATTTTTTTGAGACAACGTTATTCTTCTGCTAGGCTTCTGTTTTTTTTTTTTTTGTTATATATTTACTGTTTTCGTTGCAACTTGTCAAGTAGTTTTTAGACCCATGAAGAAAGGAAATCAAAGAAAACCACACGGTGCTCGACGGAATCGTAGAAGATAATAATTTCTAATTGGTAAATGCCAATTGTCAGAGATCCTATTTCGAAAAATCAAAAGATTCGGTCGGTGTTCATATATATGGTAGAGAGATTTATGTGGCAAATTTTGGGAGTGTAACACAAGAGGGCGTTGTATCGAAGTAGGCAAGAATATAAAACGTAGATGTTGAACGGTGAGTTCATATGTAACCATTTGTTTGGATCTTTACACATTTGTTTGTTCATTAACTTCATATAAATAAAATATTATTTACGTGTTTACATCCAGCTATACTGGAATCACAATTTCCATGAAAAAAAATTATCATAATAATTTATCATGAGAAAATAAAACAACATTGTCAGGGAATTGATTCCAAAAGATTTTGGCTGTTTCATCAATTTCGCAAGACGTTTGTCCCTTGGTGCACTAAAACCTTAGTTTGATTTTAATTTCTGTTTAAACAGATTTCTGACTTATTCCTTGTCTGAAATGATACTCTAAATAATAAAAATGTTAAAGTATTCAAATGAAATAAAAGAGTCTTTAGACTGGAAACCTTTCTATTAATGGGAAAAACATATTGTTTGGAGAATATTAGCTGTACCAAAAATGGCAAAAAACTACTATTCAATTATTGCCATGTCTCTCCAACAACTAGACCTTCCCCTACATGTAGCTCCTGGATAGTCCAAAGGGCCATTAAATAAAATAACAATTTTATATTTTAATGCGGTAAATATGTGAGCATCCTGTTAAATAAAACTGGATTAAATCATTTATAGGCCAAAATAAACATGCATATATTCTGAAAATGATACACCTTCTTTTTTTTGTGGCAATCTTGGCATGACCACACCTCATACCCATAGAATTGATTGAGCAGTTTTTCATAAATTGAACATGTGCGAAAGATTTTAGAATTGACGAATTCTTTTTTAGTCATATGATCATTTTTAACTCCGATCCTTTTTAATATGAAATGACATAATATAAAGGGGATAGGTCAATCATTTTTTTGTTTCAGTTGACTAATTATATTCCCAAATGAAGTATTTACTTTTATTTTAAAAATGTTAGATTTTTAATGTAAAAACATTTGAAAAGTAACGTAGTTGAGAAACTTCTAATTAGATTTGCTATACATAAAAAAAACTTCTAATTAGATGAATTCAAAACTGGGAGTTTAGAAGTATATATATTAGCCGTATCTATCACTCTAGATGTACACGGTGACATATAAATGATAAGGGGGGACACATATTTTTCTTATAGTATATGATCAAGGTGATTTTAAGCATTTCGAACTGGATGAAGGTGATATAATATATTCTCTAAGTACGGTATGGTACCATTACCGGCCACGTAACAAAGCTTACCGGCTTAAAACATATAATATCTTTGTCCTTTGACAAATGTAATTAAAGTAACACTCCCTACACAATGTAATTAGGACGTATAAATCGATTAATCTATGTGATCCGTGAAATTAGGAATGTTATTTTGTACTAAACGCTATGTATTTAATGGATTTCCTTGACATGTTCTAAGATTCTTGGTAAAATAAAATATATGTATATATATAAATATTTGTTTTTTAAATCACTACTGTAGGTTTAATAAAGAACAACTCATGCTGTGGTCAACTATTGGGAAACTATGCTGTATATAAATATAAACTGCAAATCTTATCAAACCCTGTGCAGAAGTAGTTTTATTAGAACGTTGTAAGAAAAAGAAGTTTTAATGTCATTAGAACATTTTGGATTCAATCGTACAATTCAATATTTTCAGAAAGGTGATTGGTTGATAATCGTGAGCTCCATGATGACAAACATACGGTGATTGATGTGTTTGTTGTAAATTTCATGATGAGCTCATAACGACCCATAACTATTGTGAAATGAACTTTTGTTGGTGAAGAGAAATTTGAGAAATGGTAGTTTAGTGATACACCATCTAGAATCTTGTAAAAATGTAGTAAATCGTTTTAATGAAAATAATATCAAGAAAAAATGGTTTGGTAAAAAAACAATTGAATAATAGAAGACAAATTTTGTTCACATTTTTTTGGGAGTAGAAGACAAACTAAATTTTATTTGAAACAAAATAGCTTAGTCTACAGGGTGTTCATATTGTTTGTTTTATGATCTGAATTGCTTAATTTAAACCTTCATTTCATTATTTTATTAGAAAAAAAACATTTTTGAACATTGGTAACTTCGTAGAATTTCTGTAAGATCAGGATTCTGGAGGTTGTGTGGCACATCAAGGCGAGATGTGTAACACAACATGAAGACGCGGGAAAGAGGAAGAACATGAATAACCACGTGGCAGCAGCTGAGTGGAGGTGAAGAAAAAGAGTACGTGAGGAGCAAACCAAATCACAAGAAAGAAGATACGGAGGATCGTTGAAGATCTCAACAAAAGGAAAGAGTATATTCGCCAACTCAGGAGATGAAGGGGATATATATACGTGAAGGAAATCTAGAAAAAGGTTGGCCGTTCACAGATTGTATTGAGAGCTTACAAGAAACTACGAGAGAAAGGTTAGGGTTCTTGGTGAGCGAACTAGGCTAGTGTGACACAACTGTTGTTGTGTGGGACTTGGTAAATTAAGAATTGGTCAGTGTCGAATTGCAGTGTGCAAGGTCGTGTAATTCTGATTAGACAAGTCTTTAAGAGATTGTCTAAGTGATTTCTAATAAAAGAGCAAAAGGTTCTTGCATTCCCAAGTGTGTGTTACATACGTCTATGTTTCACTGGTTTTACATTTGGTATCAGAGCGGGATCACCTGCTAGATACCTATATCTATATACAGGTGAAGATCTTGAGGAAGAAATGGAGACTACGAAGTTTATTGCAGTTCACAAACCACTCCGTCTGGATGCTGGAAACTTCGGACACTGGAAAGCACGTATGAGACATGTTATTCGAAGTATTGATGAGGACGCTTGGACTGCAGTTGAAACAGGATGGTCATACCCTACAGTGGTATCAGAAGACAAGGATGGTAAGAAGATTCAGATAGCCAAGCCAAAGAATACCTGGACTGAGGTCGACAAAAACTTGTCAAAATTCATTTCTAAGGCTATCTCAGCAATCTTCGATGCAGTTGATCTGGATGAATTCAGTATCATTCAGGGATGTGAGTCAGCTAAAGAGGCGTGGGACACTCTGGTGAATCATTTTGAAGGAGATACGAGTGTGAGAAGAACTCGGATTGATCACCTTGCGTCACAGTTTGAAAATCTCAGAATGGAGAAAAACGAAACCGTTGGGAGCTTTACTACGAAACTGAGTACACTTGCCAATGAAGCTGCTGTTCTCGGAAAGAAATACAAAGACAAGAAACTGGTTAAAAAACTGTTGAGATGTCTTCCACCAAAGTTCGCTGCTCACAAGGCTGTTGTTAAGTACTCAATGGACACTGATGACATGAAGTTTGATACCTTGGTGGGCATGCTTAAGGCTGAAGAACTAGAAGCAAATGCAGATGAAACAGCCAAGCAGAAAGACATTGCATTTGCGGCTGCAACTGAAAATGAAAGAGTCAATCAAGTTGAGGAGAATCTGAGTCTTCTAGCCAGGAACTTCAACAAAATGCTGAGAAGGGTTGAGAAGGGTCAAAATAAGAACACCAGAGGCCAACGGAATGACTTTGACAGGAATAACTCTCGAAGTACTCGCACTGATGGAGCTCGTTCTGGAAAGAAGAAGGATCTGCAATGTCATGAATGTGAGGGATATGGACACTTCAGGAATGAGTGTCCACTGGCTAAGCAGAAGGCGCTGAAATGCATAGAGTGCAAGGGGTTTGGGCACACGCGAAACGAGTGTCCAACCGTTCTGAGATCTCGAGAAAAATCCTTAGTTGCATTGAGTGAATCTGAGTCTGGAAGTGATGAAGATGATGAGGAAGAAGACTTGATGCTGAATTTTGTAGCCTTTGTTGCTGAGGGAGAAGAACAGGCTGAAAAGAAATCTGCTGAAGTTGCTGGATCTGATAGTGAGGATGAGGATGGTGACTTTGATGCAAAAGCTGAATACAGGAAACTCTATGAAAACTGGGTTAAACTGAGTCAAGAAAATCTTCAGTTGGTTAAAGATAAAGCTTTAATGAAAGCTCAAATTAATATCTTGGAGATGGAAAAATATCCAGTCGAAGAAGTCCTTGAAAAACTGGAGGATCTCAAAGATGAAAAACTGAATTCTGACGCTCTTGAAGTTGAGAGGAAGAGGAACATCGAACTTGAAGGGAAGCTCGAGAACCTGAGAGAAGTGTGTAAACTGGAGAAGGACAAGTGCATAACTCTCCAAGCTCAACTGACCGAAAACCACAAGAAGATCAGAATGCTTAACACAGGTGCTGAGAATCTGGATCAAATTCTTTCAATGGGACTGCCTCCTAAGAAGAACTGGGGTCTTGGATATACTGGAGACTTCAGCACAAGTTCCACTACATTGGGGAATATGTCGAACTTTGTGTATGGAAGCACATCAAGGAGTGAGTTTGCCGAACCACCAGCTGATGTACCACAGAAAATCATGCGTCATGTCACTGGAAATTCGTCAACAGTCCGGAATCAACACTCTCAAACTCAGACTGCTGTTGGTGATGCCAAAAGTAAGGAGTTACAACGAATCAAAAGACCTTCGAAACCCTGTTGTTTCTTCTGTAACAGACCAGGCCACAAGAAAGTTAGGTGCT